AAAAGCCTGCTACTAAAAATAGGTAAGTATAATTAATTAAGGGTTGGCTTATAGTGCCGCAGTTTTATATATATTAATAGGTATAAATTAAATATTTATTACTAGTATTTTATATTTACCTAAATATAAAATAACTAGCTAATTAAAAAAACTGCCACCGCGCGCTACTAGCTGCTAAGTAATAAAAATAATTATATAAAAGGTATTATAAAATAGCGCGACTAATTTAGTATAAAAAGTTACTAAAAACCTATACCTACCTAAGTTTACAAAAGCATTAGCCTTGCCTACTAAAAGTAAAAATACCTATTATTATATATAAGTACTAACCACTATTAATTTTATAATTAAAACTAGTAAAAAGTAAAGCACTACCCTACAAGTATATACCCTATAATAAATTTATAAAGGGACTATACTAGTACTAAAAAAAAAGTACTAATATATATACTACCTTTATATAAAATAACTAGGGGAAAAGATTAATATAAAAACTAACTTACCTAATAAAGTGCTGCACCCTTATATTAAATTTATTTTAAAAAATTATTTAAACCTAAGTAATATTATAGCAAGCAAGGCTTATTTTATATAGTTTTAATAAAAAGTTTAACCTTTACGCCTAAAAAACATGCTAGGTATTTATTAATATTATTATAAGTATTTCTAGCTTTTTAAGTTACTTTTATACCTTAATATTATAAAAATTACCCGTGGTACTTTCCCTAGCAGATTACAAAAAAAAAATTATAAAGGTTTATTTAATAACTAAGGTTTTATTAATATTAATAGTTTTTTTAACTATTTAGCTAAAAAACTTAGTAATTTAGCGCCTAAAAAATATAAATTAAACACCTAATTTTTAAACCTTGCCTAAGAAAAAATAAATATTTATTTTTATTACTTGTGTAAGTACTAAAGGGTGCTAAACTATAGCTAGCTATAAAATACTTATTATATTATTATTTAATAACTTGTGCGCTAGGACCTATTTTATTAGGCTTGGTATATTATATTAAGGCCTAATTATAAGTACTAACTAATTTTATATTTATATTATATAAAGTACACCCAGCGGGGAGACCACACCTACTTTTAATATATAAATATTAATATTAACCAAGCGCTTTAAAATAGACAAAAAGTAAATATTATTTAAAAATTATTATTATTAAATATAAAAAATAATAATAATTATACTAAGGTTTTACTAGGCATGTATTAAAAAAATAAGATAAAGGTATAACTAGCATGGGTAAAGGCGCGAGATAATACTAATAACCTTTTTAATTTAATTAACTGTGTAAAAAATAAAAAGTAAACTAAAAATAATATTAAATACTTTTATATAAACTAGGAAAAGAACCCTTACTTATAGCTTATTATATAAATTATATACTTATTAGTACCGCATAAATTTACTAAACTAGTTATAAAAATAAAATATATAATATTACCCTGGTATATTACCATGTTAGTTAACTATTAAATACTTAAAATAGTAAAAGGTAGTACCTAAAAAAAATTAGCTATTATATATTATAACCTTATGCCCGGCCCTACCTTCCTATCTAGTTTTTTAAATTATTACTTAAAAATTTTATAATTATTTACCTTAATTATTTAACTCCAGGGGCTGGGAGCTATTAGCAATGCCTTAATAAAATATTATAAATAAAATTTAATTAAGGTGGTTAATAAAATAAAGCTAGTATTTAGCCTAAATATATTTATTAAATTACTTAATTATTACCGTATATAATAATAAAAAAAAAAAATAAAAAAAGTAAAAAAAAAAATTTAATAAAGGCTAGCTAAGTAAAGCATAGCTAGCTATTATACTTTAAAATACTACCTTAAAAAAGGGTAAAAAATATAAGTAAAAAAAAGTTTTATTTACTAGCAAGTTTTAGCCCCCTTTTAAAAAAATATAATAGGGTTGCACCTTAATATTAATTCCTATAATATTTATAGCCTTGCTATTAGCCTTTTATACCTAGTTTATTATTTACCTTAATATATATATTTTCTTTTTTATTATTATTTCTACCTATACTATGTACTATCTAGTCCTAGGTTTCCGCCACCATTTGGCTCCTTTAGCTCCCATGCTCTAGTACTGCCCCTCCACAATAGGTTTTAAGAAAGCAGGTTTACTACTTAAAGCATGTTTTATTTAATAAATTAAAATTTTATAAAAATAATTACTTATTTAGTATTATATTTATAAAGGGTGCCCCGTCTTAACCTAATAAATTAGTGCTGGGAGTTATTATATATAATACTAAACTTAATAATATACTTATTTTTAAGCTAATTTTAATAATCCAGGCGCTTAAAATATTAATTACTAGCTAAATTTAAACTATATCCCTAACTTTATAGTGCTAACTAACTTTAGTGCCACGTGGTAATATTAAATTAAAGTTACTTATTTTATTAATACTAAAATACTAGGTTAACTTTATTTTAGTGCTAATATAGTGCTTACATGCTAGAAATATAAAGATTTTATTAAAATAATTAATTAATAATAATAATAATAGTACTAGCGCGCTAAGCCTAACCTTATTAAATTATTATAATAACCTTAATCTAGTAACACCACCTTAATTTTTAATAAAAGGTATTAATATTATAATAATACTAGTTTATATACTATTATTAATAAATTTTATTAGTTAACCTTAAATATAAATTATATTATTTTTACTAGTAACCCAAGCCCCACTTACTCCGCGCCCTTAAAAGCTTAAAAATAACCTTAGTTTACTAGGATTAGCGCTAAATAATATTTAAAATATATATAAATAAATTTTTAAGGTAAATTACTTTAAGCCACGTGTATTTAACACAGATACTAATATAATATTAAATATACTAATTAATTAGGATCTAGGGATATTAAACTATAAGATATTAGGTTAATTTCTTAACTAACTAAAAATTTTAATAATAAAGGCTATCCTACATAAAATAAATATAAATACTAATATTTTTAATATAATAGTTATTTTATTAACTAAATACCCTAAACCCTATATTAATTATAGCCTACTAACTAAAGTAACCAAGCGCGCTAATACTAAAGTTATTAAAATATTTAATAAAATAGTTTAGTATTTACTTACCAGGAGGTTCTAAATATTAGCCAAAGCTAAATTATATATTAATAATATTAAAGTATTAAAATCTTATAAAAAAGCGCGGTAATTTAAGTTTTTTAACTAATAAAAAAAAGCTATATTAATTTATATTAGTATAGTAGTTACTATAAACATGTAAAAGCTTGTTAAATAGTTAAAAAAGGCTAAGATTATTTTTAATAAGTAAGTATTTATGCTTAAAAGTAATAAAAATAGCTTTATTTTATTATTTAAGGCTTAGATTATTACATGTAATAATTACTAAGTTATTAAATTAAATTATAATAAAAGCTTTTGTTTAGTTATAGCTAATATAATAGTTAAATATATATTAATAATTATAATTATTTAAAGGCTTAGCTAGCGCTAGTTTAATATTATTAATACTTATTTTAATATAAAAATAGCTAATTAAAAAGTTTATATATAATAGCCACGCAGCCACGGGATTAATAATAACCTTATATATAAAATATAAAAAGCCTTATTTAGCCTTTATAACTTTATATACTTATAAAACTAAAAATTTAATTAATTACTACGCGCCAAGGGCTTTAAGCTGCTTATTAAAAAACTTTATATATATATTTAAAAGTTACCTTACGCGCTAATTATTACCTATATAAATAATAATATTATTATTAATAAAATAAAGGTTAATATAAATATTATTATTAGCCTTTTATAAAAGATTTATAAACTTAAAGTTAGTAATAAGCTAATTAAATTTCTTAAATTAATAATATCCCGTGACTATAAAAATAGGATAATCCACCTTTTTTAAGCTATATATATAAAATAAATAGCTTAGTATTTTAGCCTTATTAAGGCTAGGCTAGTAAAAACACTAATAATAAAAAAATATATTAAAATTATATAAAAAGTTAATTAATTAAATATTATAAATTTTAATATACTTTTAATTTTTAATACTTCTAGCGCTTACGCCTTTACCTAATTAATTAAATTTTTTTAGCTAGCTTGGGAAGACCCGTGTTAACCTTATATATTTAATTTAATTTTTATAATATTAATAAAAATTTTTAATTATTAATAATATAATAGCTACCAAGCACGTGGTTTATTATATTATAACTAATTAAAGTAATTTAGTACTTGCTAAAACTTATATAAAAGAAATAATTATTTATTTTAATATATTTTATTAAAATTATTTTAATAGGAAGTTTACCAAGGGCTTTATTATATACTTTTATAAGTTTTTTATTATATAAAGTTTAAAAAAACAAGTGGTTATAACACCTTTATTTATTATAATAAAATTTTTAGTATTTAATAGGGCTATTAAAATAGCCTTATTTATAAAAAAGCTTACTAAGGTGCTTAAAATATAAAATAATAAGTTAATTATAATATGCTTTAATAATACTAGCGCTATTACTAATATTATTAATTAAAAAATTTTAGTTACTACACGCTGGTTGGTTAATAAATATTTTTTTATATAAAATATTTATAAGTAACACCTTATAAAGTTTTAACACGTGCTAAAAAAAAAAACCCTGTAAATAAAATAACTAAACTACTAAAAGTAATTAAGTTTACCACCTTTTAAAATATAACAAGCCTTAAAAAAGCCCTTTAATTAGCAAATTAAAAGTATAAAAGTTTTGTTATTCTTATTTTTAGTAATATTTTTTATTTAAAATATATATATAGCTTTATAGTGTGGCCATGTATTACTTAATTAAAAGGTATATTAAATACCCGGAGGGCTGGCGCCTAAAACATGCTTATTTTAATTAAAACTAACGCAGCACGTGATGGTTAAGGTTTTCTTATAACTTGCTGCTTGCTACACATAGATAATTTAGAGGTTTACTATAAGCAACGCTATTGGCTAGTCATTATGAAACAATCTGTGCCTGCACCGCCGACATAGATGACTAGACACGCACCGATAAGCGGACCGATGTTGGTAAGGCCAAGGGAGGACGAGCTAAAGCCGTAAAGTGTGAAGATTGTTGTGGACTCGTAGGCCATGATCGTTAGCCAGGAGACGCCGAAGCCGTACATTATGCCGCACCACCAGATTATGGGGTCGGTAAGAAGGAGGAACGGTCTTGTCGCCGTGCGCCAGAAGGGAGCATTGTCGGCAAAGATGGTGATGAGGTTCAGTTTCTGGAGGTAGGCTTTCGGGACTTGCGGTTGGCTTCCTCCGGTGCCCTCTTCTGAGCCATGGCTCAGGCGCGAAAAGCCAGTTTCTTCCAGGCCGAAGAACATCAGGATAGCGATGGAGAACAAGAAGATGGCGTAGAACCAGTAGACCCCTGGCACCTCGTTAGCGAGGACAGAAAGCAAGGAATGACGAATATACATCTCCAACCCATAGACTCGATCACGAAGCCACTGGCGATGGGACCGAGAAATGACCCCGTCGTGATAGCGAGGGTGTATATGGACAATCCCAACCCACGCTGATGAACGAAGAATTGATCATCAACAGTCAGTGCAGGAAGCTGCTCGAATGGCGCCGCTCCGAAGCCCAAAAGAATTCGACCACCCGTCACTTTCTCCTTCGTTTGTGCTGTGGCAACCAAGACTTGCGAGGCAGCGCTGATAAGGGCGGAAACCAGGTAGACATGCCGTCGTCCAAACTTGAGGGCCTATGCGATGTTAGGAGCCGCATAGTGCAAGGCAATAAATGGCAAACATACCAACGGATTGAATAGAAGGTTTCCCAGCCCTAGCATAAGTAGAGCCAACGCCGCGCCGATGTTCAAGTAGCCAGTGGAGGCACCGAGCTCTGCCACGACAGGAGCGTACGTCACAGCAGGAGAGAGCGTGGCCGCTCCTAGCATGAACGCCCAGATAAAGACGATTGCTTGAGCAGTGTACTTGCGCCTCCAGGTCCAGTTAAGCGGGTCGTCTGGAGAAGGAGACGGATGGGGGAGGAGGACGACCTCGGCTTCGGTGTGGTCAATCAACACGCGGGTACCTGGAGGACTCTCTTCAAACATAGAGCCTTGTTCCACGTCTTCCCTCTCACGAGGGGATAGGATTTTGGTGTCTTTCATGAGGAAGAATCTGTCGTCTAATTGGGAGTATCTCTAACACTGTGACTCTCTCGGCCCCTCGAATGCTTTTATACATATTCGTAAGATAAGCGAGCACCGCAATCACTGCGTCGCCAACTCAACCAGATAGTCTTCCCTCGAAACGAATGGAGGAGATGCCCCGGATTCTGTACAGCCTAGCCATGTGGCGTTGATAAGCCGGAGGTTTACGTCGATAAACCGGAGCATACAATGGACGAATGACAAGTCGTGATAAACCGGCCATTTCACCATCCGATCTATACTTGTTGCGGTTAAAGGGACGGAGTTGGAGTAGGTAGACAAAGACACTCGCATGACCTCCATGCTTCGATACTCCCACACCTTGGTCGGGTGCCCTTGAGCTTATAAGGTGGGAATCGCCGCGTATTGACCAGGATTGCGGCCGTCTTTTGTCCTCCTAATACCGACATGTCTTCATCCTCAAGCTTGGCCATCAGCGCCCCCTGGAAAGATATTGTTGAGCGAAAACGAGCCGAACGAGCCTCGAAAATACCCAAAGGTTGGCTATTGCCCGACGACATCATTAATAACCGCACATCTTCTCCCATCTCTCTTTTACATTCTTGCAAATTGCTCTCTCAGACCGAACTTGGATTGACCAGACCGGAAACTCACGATGCCACGTCTCTGCTCCAGAAGCTTGCCACTTCAGAAACTTCGAGCACCGAGCTTGTCACTGCCTTTTGCAAGAGAGCAGCAGGAGCCCATCAACTCACCAACTGCCTCACCGAAATCCTCTTCGACGAAGCGATTGCCCGGGCCAGAGAATTGGATGAGTATCTCCAGCGAACCGGAAATGTCGTTGGCCCCCTACACGGCCTTCCCATCACATTCAAAGATTGCTTCGACATCAAGGGCCATGATACCTCGATCGGGATTACTTCGCTTTGCTTCGAACCGTCAACGCATAATAGCCACCTTTATGACATTTTAACCCGACATGGTGCGATCGTTATCGCCAAAACGACCGTTCCGCAAACCATGCTGAACGCAGACACAGACTCAATCGTCTTTGGCCGAACAGTCAATCCCTATAATAGGGACTTCGCGGTGGCCGGGTCAAGTGGTGGAGAGGGTGCCCTTCTTGCGCTCGGTGGCTCGACGCTTGGTGCTGGGACTGACGGCGCAGGGTCGGTTCGGATGCCAGCCGCGGTCAATGGAGTGGTAGGGTATAAGCCCAGTGGGTATCGGATCCCACTGGATGGAAGAAGGGTCATGGGGACTGGCGTCATCGGCAGCACAATTTTGGGTCCTGTGTCGGTCACTGGATTCCTCGGCCGCTCGGTTCGAGATATTATACTCTTCACCAAGCTCACCGCGGAGGCAAGACCATGGGAGAAGGACCCCTTCATCTACCCTCATCCATGGCAGGGCCTATCCATACCCGCAGCAAATCAGCTTCGCATTGGAGTATGGTCATCTAACGGCTTCCTGCATCTTCACCCGCCGGTTGAACGGGGCTTCAGAACGGCTCAAGAAAGACTCGCAAAATCCGGTGTTGAGCTCGTTGAGTTTAAGGGCCCTGACATCAGCGACGTCTGGGAACTTCAGAAGGAATGGACAGAGCTCCAGGACTTGTCATACATCCGCGAGCTGTTGTCTTCGGAGCCGCATACCGATATTGTGAAAGCTACCGCGATCATCACTAAGAAAGCCACACCCCCACCGCTGACAATCGAATACCTCCACTCGATGAACGCGCGGATCAGTGCTTTGGTCCGGGCAATGCATAGTGCTTGGGAAAGTGCGACTGGAAGCGAGGATCGACCCATCGACGCGCTGCTTTGGGTTACCGCGCCACACACGGCTGTCCCCTTTGACAAGTACACCTATCTGGGGTTCACTGGGTTGTTCAACCTGATTGACTGGCCTGCTATGGCACTGCCCCTGGGAATGTTTGCAGATAAGAACATCGACGAGAAGGTCGATATTGCTCCGTTCAACGCACTTGACGCTGAGATCCATGATATTTATGACGAGGATTCGTTCGACGGACTCCCACTGTCTGTGCAGCTCATCGGGCGGAGATTTGAAGATGAGAAGCTTCTCGCTGTATCGGAAGTTGTCCATGGTATCATCAAGCATGACACCGCCAACTGAGTCCGTAATCAGACGTACCTAGGGTATATAGCGAAAGTTCGGTATTTGCGCAGCAAGAACATTGAACCATGAGACATTCTCTCCATTATCCCTTTCCCCCCATACAATGCTGAGTAGATGCCTCACCCTGCTATGAGGTTGAGCAAACAAGCCGCAATCCGCACCGAAGTGCATTTTGATTAGACGCTCACGCTGAGAATGCTCAACAAGTTCGAACCCAGCGATTAAGAGCGCAAGGCCGACTTTGGACGGATAGTCCCCGGACAGCTCAAAGCAAGTCTTCGTCTCCGCAAGGATGGATTCTGAGTAGATGGTCGCCGCTTTATCCTCCTCTCCGAACGGGTACCGCAGCCTGTGGAGCACTAAAAGCCCTAGCTGACGGTGGATATTCGCCTGGGCAAACATCCCAATCACCTCCTTGGAGGTGTACGTCTCTGAAAACCTGGGAGAGACAAAAGGCTGCCACGCTACAATAGCATCTCGCGCCTTCTCCCACGCCTCTAACCGTACCTGCTTCTGGTTTTTGATATCACGCCCCACCAGACAAACATCATACAGCAGGGGCAGCAATGAATAACAAAGTCCGATATAGCGGTCAACCACTGGCTCGCCTTCCCGAACCCTTAGTCGTAGAACAGGTATCTGTCGATGAAGAAGACACTCCATCGTATCCAGGTATATAAGACAATTCATCTCGAAGTCCATCTCAGGCATAAGCGCAAGTGGCCCTGGTGGTTCGTACCACGGCTTCGCATGCGATAACACGTATCGGCAGATCATGGAGGCGCCTTGACCTTGCGGCGATGCTGACACGGCTGGTGACGCCATCTGGTCATAAGTGAGAATACTAGTTCCCAGAGCTAACATGACCCGGACTTGCGCAATGTCTGTTGGCGAATCCAGCGCACGGAGTTTGCGGATTGCTGTAGCACAGCGGGACATGTTCTGCGTTTCCACCTGTGTCGGGAGGTAGCCCGATCTAAGGGCGAATTCGCCGGCGCAAGCCAGAAATCCTTCCAGAAGGTTTTCAGGGGAAATCAAAAAGCGCGTTTGCAGTGATTGGCGCATCTTGTTCCTGAACGAAGGTCCGATCGTGAAGTGAGGGATGAAGGCTGTTGTTGAGAAGAGGATTTGCATTGTTGTGCCTTCTTCTGAGCGGAGACTGATAGAGGAGCAGGGGCTGATTGCTGGGTGAAGGATCACTGACACCTCCCTCGACTCTTCATTCTCAAGAATCGGGATCCGTGATGACGAAGTCGGAGTTGTCTGTGGCCTCCGACCAGGCGGGCGGACCCTGCGCAGGGTCTGGCAGTTGTGGCCTAGTCGCTCACATCGACGACAAATGGAGGGATCTCGGCCGCGTCCGGGTTGACATTTGACCTTGATTGAGTAGCAGCGGTCACAGGAGCGTCTGGTCATGATGGGTCGTCGGCTGGGGATGATGGAGAAGGGAGGAAGCTGTCGAGTTGATGTACGGAGGCTCGGCAGTTGGAGTCCGCTTACTAATCGGGAAGGTGCCGACCCCGTCGGGTCGAGTAGAAGGCCCACGAAACTCTTCTTCTTTCGATCACACTTTCAGATTGCAAAGGACCGACAGAACTTGCAAGGCGGCGATCCGCGCAACGGCAAATTCATAGTTCCCTGGCATGACCGTGCCGAAGCGCAGATTGCCATGGCGCACATTGCCGTTGCTGTCGAACACTTGGGCGGGCAGCCTCTGCCGGATGGAATCGCAGAAAGCCCCATGCCATTCAGCAGCTGGAGATAGGTCGCTTGTATGGGGAGGGTTGCGTCGTTGAGAATCACCTTGGGGTGAGAATGGGTATTGTAGAGCAGGCTCTCGAAGAAAGGGTATTGTCTGGGTTCTCACAAGCTGTTCCTGACTTCGGAAGGATCAGGATGGACTCCTATCTCGGTAGGGTTCCCACCAAAAAAAGCAGAGAGCTCGTGGCTGTCAGAGGGTCTGCCCGGAGATCTGATCCTTCAGCAAACTGCAGATTGCATATGCCTGATGGGGCACACCGCTCCTATCAGCAAGGGTTGCTTTTTGCCAGCTGCAGGCCAACCCCGGAGTATCTAAGTGCCCAGTCAGCCTGCAATGGACTCAGCTGGAAGTGTCTCGCTTTCCAAGCTACGCTTTTCTGGTTGCGCGCCGAACCAAGAATCACATCATGGCAAGTGACCGCGGAGGGTTCCCTGATGACCCTATATTTGCCCAGTTGCTCCATGTCGCCAGACAGATCGACCATGTCATTGTGCATGACCCCCGCAATCGGATTGATGCGGATTACGCCCAGTTGCTAACGGATGTCTTGAGGATGCAAGCCCGAATGAGGGAGCGCCTCCCCCGGTCTCTGTTCAGCGATGAGCATCTGCAAGTTCTCCAGGACGGCAGCCCGTTTGTTGCTGTTCTGGCAGACGGTAACTACGAGTTCATTGTTGCTGCATTCGCGACCCTCTCCATTGGAGGCGCAGTGGTCCCGTTATGTGAGTCTGACCCTCAACAGCCTGGGTATGAAGCACCGATCTTACCACAATGATTGTCCAGCGACAACTATCTCACCAGTAGAGGCATTTCGGCTCCTCCAGCGATCTCAGTGCCCCACCATCCTCGCCAGTCCAGCCCACTTCCAGCGCGGCACCGACATCCAACGGTGCGCCGCCTCGCAGGCGGGGGCCGCGGGTGCAGGTGTCCAACCCACCCTCCTGCAGATCCAGCACAGCACATATCCGGTCCACAACACCTCAAGTCCCCTCTTCGACCTCAACGCCGCAATCAAGATCCCCGAAAACAGACCGGGCCTGCTCCTCTTTACATCCGGCACCTCCGGCCCCCCCAAAGGCGTCGTGCACGCCCGCCAGCTCTTCTACGAGATCCACCGCGCCAGCGCGCCCACCGAGACCTTCCTGCACCACCGCCCCCCGAGCTGGATCACCGGGGCTCTGCCCTTGTTCCGGCACCCGCTTGCGGGCGCGCGCATGGAAATCGTCCCCGAGAACCCCGAGATAATATGGACTCGGCTCCGTGAGGGCGGCGTGACGATGCTCATCGGACCGCCGCGGTTCTGGGGCACGCTGATGCGGTATTTCCAGGAATGCATCGCCGGGCTAGCGGGGGAGGAGAGGGACGCGTATGTGCGTGGAGCGAGGGAGCTTAGGACGGTACGGTGCGGCGGCACAATGCCACATCGACTCTTGCTGAACTTTTGGCGCAACGAGATCGGGCTCCCGTTGCTTGTTTCGTATGGGGCGACTGAGCTGGGTGGACGCGGGTTGAGGATGACGGGGGACTCGGATTTCACGCTCGAGGTGCGTTTGCGATTGTGACCCTGCTCGGGGTCAACGACCTCATCTCTGATTCTGATTGATTGGCAGCGCTGCGTGGGACGGCCTCTGCCCGGCGTCACAGTCCGTCTGTCAGAAGGCGACCATGGCGAAATCCAGATCAAGAACCCGGTGCTCTTCTCTCAGTAGGCTGCATGCCCATGCCCACTCTGCGCATTTCATCACCAGCTGACAAAAGGTTGTACTTCAGTTACCTCGGCGACGAACAGGCAACGCAGGCTGCATTCACCACCGACGGATACTATCGCACTGGAGACCTCGCGCACCGCGTGGGAGAAGACTATGTCTTTGATGGACGGGTTGGCGAATGCAAGTCTCTCTTTCTGGTACACCTGAAGCTAGGCATACCTGCTGACCAATCCCCTGACTGGCAGACGTCAAAGTCCTCGGGGACAGAGTCTCCGTGCTGGACCTCGAGATGCGTCTTCTCGAGCAACCATTCATCTCCGACGCCTGCGTGCTCGCTGTCACGGACGCCCGGAGCAGCGAGCGCGTTGCGGCCGTTATTCGTCTGCAGGCTACTGGTTTACCTGCACGTGGTATGGCTGATTGTCAGCCCTGTCTTAGATTCCTGCGCGAGCAGCTCACGGCAACTGGCCTGGTGCCGGAGTATATGCTGCCGACGGTTTTGCGGGTCCTGCAGGATGATGAAGAGATACCCCGGACTGCTTCGACCAAGATTCTTCGAGCGAAAGCCGCGGAGCAGTACTTCCCTCTGTCTGCGAGCTTGGAGTTCCCTGGGGATGTGGAGGTGTGGCCGATTTGATAGATTACAAGATTAGGGTTGAGTATTCCATTACCTAGGTAGCTCATAGGTAGACATACTAGTAGTCACGCGCATACCAAAACATATTCGGCGCCTCAATGGTCGTGCACTCCGCCCTAACCCCATACAGCTGCATCGAGATATGCGCCCGCGCAATACTCGTCTCCTTGTCCAGCCACAGCCTCCTCGCCAGTTCGTTCTCCACAGGGATAATCCTCTCCAGCTCTGCGCGCGCAATCTTCCACCCAGCCATCCCCAGCCCCAGCGCGCGCGTCATCCGCGCAACATGCCCGTGCACCACACTCAGGCTATACTCATACACCTTCTCCAGCGAGTCCATGCTCGTCAGCACCCAAGCCGTGTCGATATCCAAGTGCGCGGTGCGGCGAAACGTCTCGGCATGGACGCGGAACGAGCCAAAGTCGCGCGCCACAAAGCCCCGGATCTGCTTCGTGGCGGGGTCCAGCCGCACCAGCATGTTCTGCTGATGCGCCTGCAGCGCGAAGCCGTGCAGGAACACCGGCGGGAGCACGGCGCGGAACAGCTGGCTGCAGTATTCCCGCAGGACGCATGCCGCTTCGCCCGCGCGCATGGTCGCCGGGTCCCAGATCCGGGCGATGTTCTCGGTGAGTGCGGCGCAGACGATGATGCGGGAGCCTGTGCGCGCGGCGATGGCCTCCGTGCTCTCGCGGATAATGCAGCCCAGGGATTCGGAGGGGGTGCTGGCGGCGCCGTACTCGCGCATCGCGATCAGCGAGCCGCCGAAGGATCGCGCCGCTTGTTCCAGGAGGTTGAGGATGGGGCTCATACGGTGTCCGATCGTGATGGCCCAGGGGCGAATGTTGCGCACGATTGAGGTGATTTTGAGCGGTAGGGGGATCTTGATGCAGATCTCGGATGTTGCGGTGGGGAGGTTGATCGTGCGTAGAGAGCTCTGTGGCTTGCCCGGCAGAGTGTACGGGAGGGCCTGGGCGTCTGGGAACAGTTGCTGGATGTTGGGCAGTTGCAGCTCGTGGACGGGGATGGTGACCTGGTCGTCGCGGACGCTCGTGTTGGGGCAGAGGACCTGCAGCCATTTGTCGTACTCGCCCACGACGGTCACGGCTTCTCTGGCAACGACGACGAAGTGGATTGTCGCGTCGGTGAAGTCGCCGACGACGGGGTGCCGGCACTTGTGCCAGGGGTGGGTGCTGAGCCCTTCGATGACGGCCTGCTCCCAGTCGATGCTCGGCGAGTCGATGCTGAGATGGTCCCTTGGCTTCTGGTATGCTCGCTCCTGGTTCTCGACGCAGTTGGTAAGCTCGGCGCAGACGCGGTCGACGTCGATGGCCGCCCATCGCCCGAACAGGCGCATCAGGTCTGCTCCATCGGCAATGGCCTCGCCGGCGGAGTGCACGACCTCGCGGTCAAAGGCTCTCGGATAGACATAGCGGCTCCCCAACGGGGCCCCGGCCGGGCTCTCGTGGAGCAGAAAACGCACCTCTTCGTCGGGGCAGTTGGAATGGCGGATTGTCACTGTCTTGCCAGAAAAGGTCGACTCAACCGCACCTTCGTTGATCAGGCATGCTGCCACACGGGACAGCGAGCCCAGCTGGGCGCGCTCTTTGGCTGTAAGACCTGCCATCAGGCTTGATTCGGGGTCGTCAGGATTCTTCCTCTCCAAGCAGGCTTCCATGCAGACTTCAAGGCTTCAAGACTGGATTCAAAATTGGGGCTCCTGCTAGTGCTCATCTTGCAGCTGAATGTTACGGTATGCATGATGCAGATTCTCATGCATCTTGATCACAGAGCAGAGATGGTCAAAATGCGACGTGTTCGTCAGCCATTCGCTTTCTCTGATATTGCTTTTGAGCTGATACAAGGATGTTCGGGTTGGCTATAGGCATTCGCGACAGTCCAATCCTTGTCTTCTCAGCCCATTGCGTCCGCCGGTGAAAAGCGAAAGCAGACCGACAAGACGAAAAAGCCTACCTGGCAAGAACCATCTCGTCTCAACCTCTTAAGCATCCGGTAGCCATTGACAAGGCATTAACCAGCCGTTGCCATGTCTCGCTCTCGGCAGGACGTGATATTCGAAACCACCAAACGCCTTCTCGCCCAAGCCATCAATGACGGACTCGCCGCCGCTTCTATCAGAAGCCGCTCACTCGACTCCTCGTCAACTGAGCGAGAACTATATGTTCAGCCGCCTACCCCTTTCGCGACTGACTGTACTATCCGTCTCACCTGTGCCTTGAGTGTTGATGCCTGCGTGGAAGTAGAACAGCACCGGGTCGCTGGGTTTCTTCGACCTGACTATCTATGCCCCCCTCTGGCGTTGATTGACAAGGTGACAGGGAACAGTATAGAGGAGGTCCATCCGGGCCCTGTATGCCAGGTGATCTTTTTGTGGCACCCCGGCCTGCCACATGAAGTTCTCACGGGTCTGCAGCGCGAGTTGCAGAGCTCTGTTGACAATCAACGTAGGTGCCCATGACGCTTCTCGTCGACGAGATACGAGGCTGACGTCGGCCAGAAAGGTGGCTGGAGTATGCCGCATCCTCGCTGCCACTGACGGTGGCTTCCCCGCTGATCGACTGGGAAAGATCCGTCATATGGGGACATCCCTGTCATCCTGTATGTTCTCCTTCACAGGTAGAATCCATGCATCTCTCACAAATGGCCGCAACAGCTTCATCGTACATATCTCCCTCTTCCCCCCCTTGATCCCGTCCTGCCAAACCACGACGACTTCAACACCCTCCTCGAGCCATCCATCACCTTCCTTTCCGTGCCCCGGCACGATCTGACCATCTCCGGGCCTTTCTCAGCCACATTGGCGCCCCTCCTCCAGACCCTCAACATCAACCCCTCCAGCCCGGACCACATCGTCATCCCCGCCCTAACACACCAGCTCCCGGCCATCCTCCCCTCATACCCAGCTGCGACCCCCGTAAAGACCATCGATGGCCTCGCCAAAGCTCACATCTCCCTCCGAACTGTCTCCCTCTCCCCAGAATGCAACTTCCCATTTCACCTGAAATTCTCCCTCAACTGCCAAATCACCTCCGCAATCCGAAACCTCCACCCGCACACCGTCCAGGACGGGCCCCAACTCTCCTCCCTCCTGGCCGACCTCCTCCCGCAAAATCTGTGGGTGTTCACGCACGCCGCCTGCGTCACCGGCACCCAACATCCTCCAGCTCCCAAGTCTGCGTCTGGATCTGAATCTGAATCTGAATCTGGACGCGCCCAATACCTCGCCTGCATCCTGCGCCACAGCCTGGAAGGACAGGCCGAGGAACAAGGCGAAACACTCATCCCCGTCGCGGCGCTATACAATAGCCCGCGCGCGCTCTCTCCGCAGACCGGGAAGCCTCGATGTTACGCAGACCTCCTCTTCGACCTCAACTCCCCCAGCAAAAAACGCTCCTGGCTCCGCGCCTACACCCGCGCCTTATTCCCCCTTGTTCTGCCGCCGCTAGCGAAGTACGGCATTGGGCTGGAAGCGCACGGGCAGAACGTCCTCCTGCGCGTGGCCAAGGCCACTGGCCGAATCACCGGCTTCGCGGTCCGCGATTTCGACGGCCTGCGCATCCACACGGCTACGCTGCAACGAGCCATCCCCGAGCAGTATCGACATAGACTTGATGCTTTATCTGGGGTAGAGGAGAACAGGAGATCGAGAAACTTCGTCGACAACGAGGAGGCCGTGCGGAAGAAGGTTTATCATGCTCTTATCCAGTCGCATATTGGGCCCCTGGTGTATGGGTTGGGATTGGAGGGGCTCAACGCGGAGGCTGAGGCTGGTGCTGAGGATGGTGACGACGGTGGTGGTGGGTGGACGATTGTTCGCGAGGAATTGGGGAGGGTTCTCCTGAGCGAAGATTTAAGTGGACCGGGGACAGAATCAAGAAGGCGAGAGGTGTATGCATTTATGGTCAAGGAGACGATGTCTGTCAAGTGCTTTCTGCAGATGAGAATGCAAAGGATCTCGGGCGACGTAAGTAGCCCATCAGCATGGGAGGGGGATGTTCTGGCTGGCTGGCTAACGAGATGCTTAGCGCTTTGAGAGGGAGCTACCCAACGTATTATTTCGGAGCTGATTCTATACCTGAGGGCAACTTGTGAGCTGGCAATTACCTAGACAAATCCACGGATGCTGTGATAGGGATGAAAGATCCTTGTCTGGCGGGTATCTGTCTGTCTTTGCGTTTGGCTCACCGTGTCACGTCTGGCCATGTCGAAGCGCAAGGTGTATTTTAATCTTAGAAAGCCCTCTCGTCACCTTCCTGTACACGTGCGCCTTTTGGCGGAAGATGTCAACTCTGGTGGGCTTGTATTCAACTTTTAGGATGTTGGGTGTTGTTGGTATTTGCCATTGTCCTTGTTTGTGTGGACTACAGAAGACAGGGGAGAATGATATAACTTAAAGGGAGTTTTACTTTTCACAAAGCAAGACCACATAAGGAGCTTAGGAGTGGTAAATGGTATTCAGAGCTTTATTCAATGGGGCGTACCTAAGCCTTTTGCAATTCGAATCGGCCAAGGGGCGCGGTGAAGAGCTTGATAGACTACAGCAATCGCTGAGTGTGTCCGGCAGGCTAGCAGGTGGGCCTTTGGGAGGAGCACATCCTTATAGTCTTCAGGAAGCGGCTGGAAAGAAACGGCTGGAACGGTTATTTCAGACCTTATCTTCGGGATTCGGATTTTAGATGGCGATGTTTGGGTTAGCCCATGAATGTATTCTTTCTATCAGTTTTCGTGCAGGTATAAACAACCCAAAACAGGCGATGAACCATCTAATCTAAAGCTCATCCTTCTTCCACTCCGCATGCTCCTCCTTCGCCTCCTCCCTCTCCCTCTCAATCTCATCAGCCAAAATCTGCTCCTCAACCTCAACCTCAACTTCACTCCCCTGAACCCTCTCCGCCAACGCCGCAATCTCATCATCATACTCCGTCCACTCGGGAACCTGCCTCCTCGCCCGTTCCAACTTCGGCTCCTTCGTAAGCGGATTATTACACAGATCGATTGTCCTCGCCTGGCTCAAACTGTCATCAGAGCACCAAGTCTCACACCACAGCCACTCCTGCGGCAGCCTCTTAATCGGTATATGATGCTGCATGTGGTTCGGCAGGTCCTGGTCCAGGTTACTAAGGCTGTTCGGGTCCGCCGAGAGCATCTGGTATTGCCCGCGGAGACGGTCTCCTGCCGCGACGGCCCGGAAGCGATTGAGGTCCACGACGTAGAGGGCGGAGATGTGGTATGGCGATCCACGGAGGAAATTCTTCCAGTACCCCTGTTTCCAGAAGCGGAAGCCCTCCATTTCTTCTCGGGAATCGCACATGGGCGTGAAGGCGTAGGGGGCGCCGTCGAGGGGGTAGTTGACGAGATCGGTCATGTCCGTGCGGACGATCTGGTCGGCGTCGACGAAGATGACTTTGTCGAGGGAAAGGGGGAAGAGGACGTCCAGGAAGAGGATCTTGTAGCCCCAGATCTCGCGCTGTTTTTCCTTTTGCGCGCGCAGCCAGTGCGGCCATTTGTAGGTGACCATTTCGTATTGGAAGCCGTATTCGGCGGCTAGGTGGGGGAGAAAAGATTTGAATGATGGGGAGAGGAATTGCTCGATGAACCAGAATTTGACGGTTGATTTGGTATTTTTCATGACGGAGACCATCATGATGTTGAGCATGCGTTCGTACAGGTGGCCGCTGGCTACGGAGAAGATGTTGATGTCGGCGTTTGCCTCGCTGCCTTTGGAGGTAAGGCCGGCGCTGGACAAGACGTTGGAGGCGAAATTGAGGCCTTTCGACATGAAGTCCTTGGCTGAACCAGGTTTTGGGCCTGATTCGAGGACATCTTGATTCTCTTGTCCCTTCTTACGAGATAGGCGCGGGAATAGAGTCTTGCCCTGGAAGGAAAGCAATGCAACTTCGTTGCTGTCATCGCCGGCCTGTGGGCTGTACCCCAGTCGGCCCAAGCTTTCAAGGTTGAATATCTGTTCACTGCGGCCTGGCTTGAGGTTGATGGTCCATAAGCCCGGTTGTGCTTTGAACTGGAAGTATCCAAGGTTGGCCATGATGATAGTATCGGCAGAGTATGGATTTTCTTCAGTTCCAAGAACCAACTGAACCCCTCGAGGAGCGGATTTGGTGGTCAGATCACGCGAATGCCCTTCGATCAAAATATGCTCCAGTGCATAGATGGCATCAACGTTTGACCCTGCTTTCACCGAGCTCAGCTTGATATTATCGAGGTCATGCAAGGAGTCTTTGGGCGCAACGAGCCAGTACGGCGGGACATCCATGCCGAGTGTAAGCAGCGCTTCAACGGGCACACCCGAGAAGGTAGCAGTCGGTCGTAAAACGGAACCGTCGTCGCCAAATGAAGGCTGCGAATCTAGGACATAGCGATAGAAGCGTTTGATGGGCAGTTCCCGGATCTCTTCCCGTGGATTCATGAAAAGCTTCAGCTTGACACCATCCAGCTCGGAAAGAGCCTTCAAGATCGGTAGCCACCTTTGAGACATCTCTGACGTCGGGTCAATAGCGGCAGCGATAGTTATTGTAGGAGCATCCGGCCCAGCAACAGTAATTACCGAGCCAGAATCACTCCATTTTTCGAAGAACTGAACACGCGCGTCGGACGGCGTTTCATAAAGGCCCTCGGGGACATCTGAGACTGTTGAAAGAGCCACAAGCGACGTGAGCTTCGCGAACGAAAGCGGGTCTGAGATTTTAGAGGCGAGTCCCAGATCCTTCGCAGCCTTTGTGACAGTGCCAATTCGGTTGATATCTTCGTAAAGCAACAGTTGGCCGAGATCTTCCACGGTCACATCCTGAGTGGGCTTGACAACTCGGCCATTAACTATGATACCGTTCGTGCCGGAAGAAAGACCAAGGGCTTCAACCAATGGCCGGAACTGCGACCAGAACTCAGTGGCCTCTTGTGGGTCAGCGTCTGACGAGGCAGGGGATAGGATGTCCGCCAGAATGCGTGCAGAATCAACGGCATTTCCTTCCTTCAAAGAACGGTAGATGAGAGCGGGTGCTGCAGCATTGGATGAAGGATTTTCCGGGTTATGAATGAGGAGAATCTCCGTTTTGTCTTGCTTCACTTGGATTTCAAGGGCCGAGATGAGCATTTTCAAACCGGCCTTGGTACCGAAATCGCCAACGACAATCATGTGGACACTTTCCAAGGGCTCAACAAGCGCTGCAACTCGAGGTACTTTATCAATAAGATCTCCCGTATGTGCCGAAACTTTACCTAGATCCACAAGCTCGACTTCTTTGGGATCTTCAGGGACAATCCAGGGAACGCGACGGCCGAATGCCTGAGAAAGGAAGAAGTTGGGTAGCCACGCATCTTCCTCGAACAGACCTTCAGCAATACCTTGCTGAACCAGACGCAAGTCTTTCTCGACTTTGGCACTCATCTCCTGAGGCCAGTTTTCACCACGCAAGACGGGGATGCCGTTGACAATGATAAGGGGGGATTCGGCCTGAATACCAAGACGGTCCTGATACTTGGCAGTATTGCGAGCCGAGGTATCCAATTCGTCTTTGTTCAACACCTCTTCCAGCGTAAGAGCCTGTTTCTCGGCCCTCGGAGTCCTGTCCTGAGTTGCTGCTGCAAAGACGGTCATGTCCGGAGTTGCCAACTTATGCTTCTTGGCCGCCTGATCCTGTTAGCATGGGATGTTGGAGCTTTGTAGTGCACGGATATACCTCTTCCAAATAGGCCATGAGACTGGCCAAACCGAACGTTTCTTGCAGGTAATGAGCCACCTTCAGCTGAGCGATGGACCCTTCCGACGTCGCCAGAGGAACGATACCAAATCTGACTGGAATCTTCCTCTTCACGAAGACTTGAAGTGTAGTGACGATCAAATCCACGTCTTCGATACTAGTTAGGTCGATCGGAAACACAATGTTGTTCAGTTCCCGGCGTACTGGAGGAAGTTGACCAGGGTACGTGCGTTGAAGGAACTAGTCCTCGTCAGTAAGAAATATGGCAGGATCCAGGGGGACTTACGGCTGTTAATTGACTTGGCCACGACTGGTACCTTGCATCCTTCTCCAAATCGTTCATCCAGATGATAACGTTACCACCTTCGATTTCATCCCGGTAATCATAACGCTGCGGTGTAACCTGTGCCACGGACTCCGTCACAAGATCGTGAGCCAAAAGGTTTACAGCCTCGGTAGCTGAAAGTCCTAGGCCCCGAAAACTCTCAATCAGCTTCCTTTCGCGGCGGAGATGGTCGACCAGAAAGAAGGCGTCTATTTGTCTCGGATCGATCTGATGGCCGTTGATCCAAATCGCACTGGCACCTGGTGGGAGCATGCCTAGACGGTTTGCCTTGATCTCGCTGTGAAGCTCGGCGCTCGCGTTGTAGGCGGCGATGGTTGCGGAGTACTTGGGAAAGTCCTGGGACAACTTAACGAGCATGTCAAGCGGGTCTTCGCTATCCGCCACATAGCTAACTGTATTCAACCCAAGCCGCGACACTTCAGACGATGACAACGGCTTCAGGTCGTCGGGGGCTTCCTCCGTTTCCGCCGACTCTGCACTGTTCGAGCCCCGCTGCTCGGCGTCACGGTCGTCGATCACAATGTAGTCCGTACGCTTCAAAGCAAGCTCAACACCGTATCCTGAAACAAACAACGGCCGCGAGCTCCAATGCTGAGGCGGCCGATACCGTACTCGATAGGAGATCTCTCCTTCCTTAGCCAGAGCGCTCAGCGTTTGGTGGAAGTCCTTGAACATCGGTGAGGCCACATCCGCATACAGGATCGCCGGGGGTAAAGATTGGTGTCCTAGAATGCGATCAAAGGGCAATTCACGACCATCTCTACGCATAGCTAGTCAGCATTTGAATCAACAAAGGACCTCAAGGAGGCATACAGCTCTCCTTCCACATCCTGCTGCGCGCGCTCCATTGCAGATGAGCAATATTGCTTTCCATCCGAGTGCACCCACACCGGGCAAGCGGCATCCTGCGCCGCCATGAGAGAGTGCTGCACCGAGGTATTGTAGAATTGGTAGTGGGCCGCAATCCGAGGGCTAGCGGATCGAATCGACAGGGATAGCTTGAAAGATGAGAGGCTCTCGGGGCTGCTGAGGTGTCCATCTTCAACCACCACTTGGAGGAAACGATCGTATAGTTCTTTATCCGTCACGTAGTCGTCAAAGGTTCCATCGGCTATGCGGTCGAGTAGGGGGAAGTACGATGTCGGGTTTTCTTCGGCTGCTGTTTCTCTGGGTTATATGTGAGTATCTGACTGAAGCATATGTACCAATAAAATGCATTACAAGCACTCACAGCAGCTCAATAAGATAGGGACCGGAGTCAAATGAGGCTTGAAGCGCGACGTTGACCGACGGACTCGAGGCTGTGCGTGAAGCCAACGTTGCAATCACGATACATGACAGCCGCCATGAGGCGACAATGCCCGAGCGGAAGAGCATTTCGGCAACGTGATGTTTGAGGGAGTATCACAATTGTCGGTTCGTAGTATGCTTCCAGGAAATGGATAGCTTGTTCAAGCTGCTGACATCACGGCGAGGGGTGATCCAGATCGGCGGGTGGAGTAAAAGTGAATAATAAAGCACTAAATTAGCAGAGACAGCATCAATAGGCCTGCTCTTCTGAAATAAACAAGATGTCGAAAGGGGAGGTTGCTCCACGTTCGTTTACCTACAGGCCACATCTCAAGCTGGCTACGGGCGGCGCAGCGGCCAAAAGCGCGAAACTTCCGGGGATGGGACGGCGCTTTGCCTGATTTGCCTTTTGCGTGGAGATCGTCCTTTGAGGCTATCTTGTCTTCAGGTATAATCATGGTAGGTAACTGAAAATTTCATGTAAATTAACGCCACATCAATCATAATACATACTTCAGTGGAAATGACACACAGACGATGCTTCAAGCATGTTTTGTTCAAGCTTAGTTACAGTAAATGGCCTCCTGCGCCAACAATGAACACCGGATATTCGCCTCCCAATACACCAACACCCCAAGGTAAAGAAATCCATCCATGATTGCCTGCCCGATCTTAACGGGGTTACGGCGAGTAGTAGTCACAAAGATGCAAAAAGAAAACAAGCACGTCATATGCAAATGGCTAGGCCAAGGTCAGCAGAATAGCCAATTCCGCAGCCAAATGTGTCAAACTCCAGACTTTTTGTTCAAATGCTTTTGTATGAAGCAAGGATCGCCAATGTAGGTAGCGCTGAAATTTAGTCAAATCGTGATGAGCTTCCGCTCGAATGCTTGGAGTGCGCCCAGGCTAATCGGCTTCGCTTCTGTTCGTCGAGTTCGAAGAAAGATCCTTCGTTGGTAGGGGACATCGTCTCGGTGCGGCCAAGAGTGTTGGTAGATTTCATCTTCCGGATGCCCTTGGCTTTGCCGCCATCACCGAGTTTCCGCAGCTCGCGGGCCAGCCGCTCAAGCGTAGAGCCACCCAGTTTGTGCCCTCTTGGGGAAGGTGGCAGCGGTTTCTCGGAGAGATCTTCGGAGCTCATGTTGCTAGCGATGGAAGGCGGGGCAGTTTCTCCAAGTATTGAGCCAAAGCTAATGCCTGAATCAGCCTTCCGGCCTTTATGCCCTCGAAACGAGGTAGCCCCTAGTCCCTCGTCCAAGCTAGCGGGGCCGTTGATCGTTGCACATTCGTCGATTATTTCGTTGGTGGTTCGGAGGTACTTGTCGAGGGCGTCGCGTACCAGAGGCCACCCGGTGCTTTCACCCTCGGGTGCGCCCTGTGCAATGACCTTGTCAAGGATATGTTTGCCGTTGGTCTCGATATGGGAGATGTATCGGAAGAAGCCGTCTCGTTGAGACTTGAGGATGTGCGGGGTAAGATGTGGGGTGGGAGTGACGGTAGCCTCGGTGACAGGTGGAAAGAGTGTGTTTAGCATAGCCATACAGTTCGCCTTGTTCATAGGTTCCATGAGCATCTCATTCAGCAGAGTCTGTGTAATAGATGTCAGTATTTTGCGAGTGAGAGAGGTTCGGCGCTCTTACCCATCGGCGCAAGCCAATGTAAATCTGCGTGTAGAGAGCTTCCACCCTGGCGCCCTTGGCTTTGATAGATTCAATCCAAGTCATGACGCCCGGGTATTTCTTTGAGAGTTCCGCATCGTGCTGGGGACTTTCTGGATGGAGTCCCAGTCTCTGCAGGGCCGCTGCGACTTCCTTCTTCCGTCGAGTTTCGAGGTCTCTGAGGTAGTCCAAACCAGTTAAGGCCTGAGGAAAGTCGACATCCTCGAGCTGGGGAGAAAAGCAGCGGCGTAGAAAAGAAGTAACAAAGCTCGGCGGCAACGAGCATGGCTGAGATGGTAGTCGGGAGATTTGGTGGGTCAATTGTGCTCGAAGGTCCTCGGCGGCGGAGGATTTTGGGGACGACGGTCGGCGTGCAAACGCTGTCTCGGGAAGTTGAGTGCCAGGCACCGGCTGTCTCGTATTGCTGCAATTCAGTGCATACATTGTGCGGAGAGGAATTTCGTATGTTCCAGGATACCGAAGGATATGGTCGAAAATCCAGGTAAGTGCGGAACCATCGGGATGGTCCAGCTTTTCTTCGGGATGAGCCATCATGGTGGGGTAATGTTCCAGAAGTAGGTGAAAGTTTTCGAGAATGAATAGTATCCGATCGAAATTGAGCAGTGTGATCAAGCTCTAGTGACCACTAGGTACAAGGGAGGTACGATGAAGAGGAGGTATAAAAGAGCCCGGGCGATGGATCAACCAAGCTTGGGAGAAGTCAAGAAGGTTGTGTGTACGACGCGATGGATGTGCAGGACAATCGAATGGACGGGGACCTGTTCGCAGAGACGGCTAGCACCAAGTGTGTGTAACATGTCCCATCATAGCACAAATCTGCACCTCGAGAATTGAAGCTCCAATAGCGGCGGTCAGAGAAGTATTGAAACAACCAGCCAACGCGGCAGGGAGAGAAGGGGTGTATCCCCTTTGGATTTTCTTTCCAAGGTCAGCAAACGTGAGGCGGAAAGTGGAACGGGACCGGTCCGTTTGGTGGCTGGTAGTCGTAAGGTACCGAGGTGTCCCAAACAAGAGCCTCGGGACGTCAAAGAGTGACAGCTGCGAATTGCCTTTCTTTGTGGAGGATAGATATGACAATATCTGTGCTGATCGGAGCGAAAGAGACGGACGCTGGAATGACTGGCAGAGGATTGACGTGTGGATCGAGTCGCACGAATAGAAAGGCCGTCGGAATTTGGACAAGGCAATCAAGCGTCGAGTTCACTGTCAAAGCAAACAGAAGAAGTCCGGCGATTGGTGTCACTGGACAGCAAAAAGAAGCAGAACGCGTCCAGCCAGGACAAAAGAGCGAAGGCGAAGGTGAAGAATTGAACCGGAACGATTGAAGCAATAGTGCGATCTAAACAAACAATGAGGGAGACGGTGAGAAGGTAGTATCTAGTCGTGGGAGAAAACGAAGAAAGACGGAGGAGAGGGGAGAAGGAGATCGCAGCCGTATTATGATCGAGGTCGAGGCAGAAGTGGAGGTTGCTGGTGGGCAGACTCTTACCAGTTCAGGGATAAGCAGGCTTGGATCTGGACTCTCGACAGCCTCCTGGACAGGCCTAAAGGCTAAGACTGGCACGGCTGGCACGGGAGGATCAGCTCGGCTGGGTCCCGGCTCTCTGGGTTGTCCAAGATTGCTCCTGCCGTGGAGCTGCACTGCCTCCGTCCCTTTTGGCCTCCTCCATCCACAGTCGCTGTTGACTTCGTCTCCATCGGTCGGCCATCGCTCACTGGCCAGTACGCTGCACACGGAATCCTTCCTTCTTCGTTCCTGGACTATTGAGGTTGCCTCCAACTGACAAGCACGGCAGTTGTATCCTCTACGCGAGATCTCCGAAGCACAACATCTTATATTATGACAACATCATCGCAATTAATCCTCCGAGACTCGATTCCCCCGAGGTTCGACGTATCGACCGGACTTTTGCGTAACGGCCTCCGGCCCCAGCGAACTGGGTGCGTACGAGGCAACGATCTCGCTAGCACGGAACAGGCAAAGATCGTGTATCTACGAGGCTGCGAGACCGATAATTGGGGTGTGCGATGGGTCACGACTCACAGCTGGAAAATAAGCCCATGCTCCTGCTGCCGACTCCAGTCTCTTTGTATCCGTGAAATTGGAGACCACCCATTCGTCGCTCTTTGCACGATGGCGAATTGTCTCATTCAGCGTCACTTCTCAGCTCTCGTCCGAATCCTAATGTTTCGCCCTGCATATTCGTTATGATGCGTACCATACTTTCCCTCTGCCTCCTTCATCTCGTGCGAAACGGTATTTCTGACTTTTCGCACGTCAGAAGATGCGTTTGAATTGATCCATCGTCCGGAGGCCGGGATTCGTTCGACTGCACTCTGCAGATGAATTTACTGAAAGTATGCACGATGCCGTAAGGGCCTACGAATCTGAAACCCCAAGAAGGCAGGTGTTTATGCATCAGCAGCATCACGGCGGCGAACAAAAGTTCGGTTTCTGTTGCCTACGATTAGTGGGTCCTGCTAGGCCAATTCGCAGCCTCGATTCCTCGTGGACTCGAGACCGACTCTCTGAACTCCATAACTCGAGTCTCCTTGAGCTTCATGTCCTTAGCGACTCACGCACCAAGCTGATAATATCATTAGTCGATTATCATCCGTCAAACTGTTGAGAACAACGGTCTCTGCAGGAAAGACATTATCAAACACCCCATCGTTCGCGACATTCTGCTGTTTCGTTTCATGTTAGTTCACCAATTGCTCCGAGCGCCGAAAATTGGGAACTGCAACAAATGAACTGAAGCCCAATTATAAACCCAAGCCGAGGGTTCTTCTCAGCCGCTGTTGACAAGCTTGCAGTTCGTGGTGGTCGATGCCGCCAAAAGTTCGTTGGGAGGCGCATCTTTCTACTCCGTACTCTACCTACGTAACCTTCCTTCGTGCACAGCGATCTCCAAAAGAACTTGGAAGGCTAGGTGAAGCTCGCGCTAGTAGCCGTTGATCGCCGCTTCGCTCGAGTGGTCACCCGTCTTGAAACCTAAAACGCCGAGCCGGTTATTTTATCGTCTGCTAGTGTTGACGATTTATCCATCGTGCGGTCGTGCCGGAGAACAGCCGAAACCCGAGCCCTGAAAACCACCCGCCTGCTGTCACCTGTGGACCTGTCCGAGACTCCGAGTCAGACAGCGATGAGTTCCATGTTTTAACTTGACCTTTCCAACGGTTGCGACCGTTGCGTTGCGCTTGGACATTTTAGTCTTGCCTGCTCCATGGAGAATTGGAGATATAGACTTTTTACCTGGTGGTACAAACACTAATAGAACCCAGCTGCGCGCGGCGCGCGCGGCGCGGCTGAATGATTGCCATCGCTAAAGCCTAAGTTCGACGTGCTTTGTTCAAGCCTCGTATCCAACCGCCCCCGGGCGCTCGTTGGCGATCACCGTCTCATTGAGACGGTGACACCGCGCTGCACCCGGATCTAGATCTGAGGTCAATCCAGGGTCCGGATGGATCTATTTCTGACAGTCTGATGGGTGATTGGGACTCGAGGACTCGAGAGTCGAGCCTGCTATCGACGTCATTTTGGCTACTCCAGGTTTTCTAGACGCAGTGGCATATTTACTTATCTACGGTATCTTCGAGCTCATGCCCTCATGCTTCGTGGTCTACGGTGTAGACGCACACATCAAATCTACAAATTTGACGGGGAATCAAGGACTCAGATGACAGACTTGCCTACTCATTCCTTCAATGAGCGACTGACAGGATACCTCGCGGAGTTCTCCGTGTCCAAGGCTCCAAGTCCGTGCTCTACTAGCGTGCGCCGCGAGTTCATCACGCTGGAAATGCTACTCCGTAATCTCAATAATTGCTTAGCCATCCAGTTCGTTCATTGTCGGGTCAACAAGCTGTACATAGTCTAGACTAAGCTACATATCAAAGAACAATTAGCACCAAGGTCACATCAATGATCAACGGCGATCATGCCAATCCCGACCTCGACGGCACCGGACCGGGCATCATCTCGATCCCCTGCACATCGCTCCTATGCCTAGACTGGGTTTCTTTGTTCCCATCCCCATCCTCATCCCCGCTAGGAAACACACTCCCGCTTCCGCGGCGAACCTTATCCGCGTTCTCGAACAACTGCTCAATATGCTCTAGACTGTGCCCCTTTGTCTCCGGCATCAATATACAGACCACGACCGCAACGACCGTCGAGAACCCGTAGAGAAAGTACGGACCGCTCGGGGAGGCGCGCAGGAACAGCGGCGCGGTGAAGGTGACGAGGAAGTTGACGACCCAGTTTGCGACGAGCTCGACGGCGCAGACCTTTGCGCGGAGGCGGGTGGGGATTATTTCGGACGCGTAGATCTTGCCGACCTAGATGGTGACATGAAAGAGATGTTAGTTTGTGCTAGTGGCAGCCACAGGGATTCATATTGGTTCGAGAAGGTTCTAGGATGTTTAGGCCTCGCACTCACTCGCAGATCATTCTGATCATGTGCTGAAAAAGCAAAGGCAGAGTATGCGCTTTAAGGAGATGGTGTAAGGAGGACTTACCACAGCCCAGGACCAAGAGAAGTTGGCGACGAAGATGTAGATCAGCACGATCACCACCCACTGAGCAGAGTCGGAGCCGAGCGTTACTTCGTTCGCTTCTGTACGGCCGAACCGGGCGTACAGCGAGCCGATGACTATGAAGCAGATTGCCATTGCGCCGCCGCCGTAGATCAACGGCTTCCTGCGACCCCAGCGATCGACCCAGATCTGGGCGGGAATTGTACACACTAGCATGACGATGCCGGTCACGCCAGATGATAGGAAAGAGGCTCTCTGGGACGTGAAGCCGGCTTGTTGGAAGAGGATCGGCGCATAGTATAAGACGACGTCGATCTAGGTAGGCAGGTTAGCCCTAATGTTACTCAAAATGAGATGGTCGCGAAGACATACCCCGGTCAACTGCTGGAACGACATGAGAAAGATCCCCAACGCAGTCCGACTTCTGTACTGCCGGTTGAAGATCTCCTTAATACTCGCCGTCTGCTGCTGTTCCTGCGAATCCAAACTCTGCCGTATCTCATCGAACTCCTCTTCCACCTTGCACAGAGCCCGCAATCTGTAAAGCACCTGCTTCGCATCATCCCCGCGTCCCACCTGCGCCAGCCATCTCGGCGAGAACGGAACAAACACCATACCAAGACAAAGGACCAGCGCAACAACAGCCTGAATGATAAACGGCACTCTCCACGAGTACGAGCTCTCCGCAATATTCGACGACCCAAAAGCAATGAAATACCCAACCATGATCCCAAAAACAACATACGTCTGCAAAAGGCAGGCCGCGACACCACGGATACCCGCCGGCGCAATTTCGACCAGATACACCGTCGTCACAGAGATCGCCTGGCCCATCCCAATACCTGTTACGAGACGCGCGGCCATAAGGGCAGCGAAGGAGGGCGAGCACGCGGAGACAACGGTCCCGATGAGCGAGAGGATTCCGCCGAGGAGAATGCCGTATTTGCGAGAGATGCGGTCCGAGACATGTCCGCTTGTCAACGACGAAACGGACGACGAGAGCAGGATCGAAGAAACGTAGATGCCTTGCTGCGTGGAAGAAAGGTGCCCGATGGAGGCCTCGAACTGGGTCATTTGCGTTATAACACCGATTGAACCTAAACCGGGTATATCTTAGTCTCGGGCCATAGGAACGGAGAACATGGGGTTGATGATGGCTTACCTGTGTCCAGACCATAGAGAAGGCCGGTGAGCGAGACGTGGCCGGCGATCAGGAAGATCCTCGCAGTGGGTGAGAGCATCGTGGCGATGGCGATGGCGATGGCAGGAGGGGGAGAGTGAGTCCTTGTGGCTGAAGAAGTTCGCAGTGGGCCTCAGTGAGAAAAGGAAGTTTGTGTTTGGGGGCCTTGAATGTAAACTCGGGCAGTTGCAACGGTTGCATCAGGCATAATCTAAACCTCCAGTGTGATTCACTGTCAGGTTGGTGTGCTTGCTTGAACTTGGCCAAGGAAGGAAGCAATTCAATATACTCATGTATAATGTGCAGAGTAAAAGTAGAGTAAATGAATTTTGATGTGGATTTGGAGGCTGATGTTATGCTCTCTGCTTTTTGGACATTTCGCGGCTTGCTGGTAGTCCAACCCGCAAACTTAATCCACCCCATCCTGTCTGTTTGTTCATCTCATGACCGTTTCGCTTTTACTATAAGACCTGGAGACAGAGCTTAGCTCAGGGTTCATAGCACTTACTTTTCTTGATCACTGTACTACCTGCCAGTACTGTTTTTAGTATAAGACATAACGGCCCCATTCCCCTGTCTGCAACACACTTGAAGTATCCTGGATGTCTAAGCCGATGTTCTTCTCATAAGCTCTCTAGGTTTCTGATAGGTATATACTACTGTACCGGGGATTCATGTCAGTCTTTGTATGCACATAAGCAAAGTACAACACGCTTGGTGTCCAACTATTCGCGGCCAGTGGCTCTCAGGATCACAATGCAAGCTACGTCTTACCTGAACTCAGGGCCTCACGGCGTAGCAATGGATCGAGTAGCGACAGTGCCGTCATTCGCCAAAAAGCGTAGCCTAGCTTACGGTCCGAGGTCCGCTGGCCAGACACCCAGTGGCATAGCGAGTGTGAGAAGCGTTTCAACGTCCAGAATATAGTCTGGATGACAATTGGGGTCGAAACCCCCTTTCAGGGATCCCACTATCCAGGCAGTCGTGCCCTGCTGGTTGCCGTAGTCGTTAGGGGCGTTGACAAGGAGGGGCCAGCTACAATCAATCAGATACGAAGACACAAAGGTAAAAAATACATAATAATCATATTGAACGAAAGCGACCTCGGGAAGATAAAGCCAGAGATGGGGAGAAGCTAAGTACATATGTGGGATATTCTGTGCAACTGTCAAAAGGAGACACCAAGAGATTGCTCAACGCAAGCAGGCCTTCATGACCGATCGTTATGTGAAAGTGTGAGATAGATATATTAACATGTAGTTCCATATTTGTTTTCGTTGGTTTTGTTTTCCGTCTTTTTTTGTGTTTTTTGTTTTGTTGGTTGTGGTTGTGCGTCCTAGGTTGAGGATTCTTTTCGCCCTGCTGTGTTGCCTGGCATGTCTCATCAGGTAGATCTGAAAATGAAACACCGGCGCTCTTGTAGCTTCATCAGCTATCGTTAAGGGGAACTGAGGTAACCGAGAGGTTTAAGTGAGAGTCAAGGTAGTCCTTGCACTCATCGATCTTCGCACAAGCATGGTCGGGCTCGAGCACGACAAGGTCATCCATCTTGTAATTACCGCTTGCAACCGCAACAACAGCACACCCGGCCTTCTTGGCACATTCGATATCAAGGGGAGTGTCGCCGACAATGATGACCTTGCTCTCACGGAGGTTGGAGCCGTCTCTAGCGCGCTGTTTTTTCATGGAGTCTTGGATCAGAGAGATCCGGTCGACGTGGGTATCACCAAACGCAGAGATGCTGAGGTCGAAGATGTTGGTTTCGATGCCTGCAGCACGGATTTTGAGCAGTGCGTTCGCACGAGAATTTCCAGTGAGCAGTCCGACTCTCAGAGTTTGAGAGTCGACATTCTCCTTCTTCAAGGCCAGCCACTCCAGAATCTCCTTGACGCCAGGGCAGGGAATCGAAGAGAAACCATTCTCGAGAGATGCCTGCAGATACTTGGGGTGAGACTCGAGGAATCGCTCAGCAATAGAAGTTTTGGACTCCACGTTGTGGAAAGCGAGGATATCTTGGAGCAAACCGAGGTCGGTTCTACCATGCAGACTCACGGTTGTATTATCGTGAGTGATTGGCTTACCCGCGACATCAGTCAAGCAGGAGTAGAAGGCATCGACACTCATCTCCTCGGAGCGGCAGAGTGTTCCGTCAACATCAAAGAGGATAGTGACCACCGACTTAGGGGCTGGGAGGTTGACGAGGGCCCGCAGCAGCTCACGGGTTCCAGTGAAGGAAGTGCGGCCATGCAAAAACTTGTGATTGTCCAGCAAGTATCCCTGTCCCTGCTGCAAGGCGACAGCAAATGAGTTGCGATAGATAGTCTCAAAAAGCTGAGGGAAACGGATCACGATAGCTGCAGAGAGCTGGATTCCGTCATCGAAACGAAAGCGGAACAGCCCAGTGGTCTCGTCATAGATAGGACGAGGAACAAACACGCCATCATCCGAGCGGAAGCTGGAATACTTCGCGTTGGTAAGCAACTTATAAAAGTCTTCACCCTGCTCTTTGATATCCCGGAGGATGCGAGAAGTGTTGGCCAGCATGGAAGCGCCGCCATCGGTGGACTTGCTCTTCAGAGTAGACACCAGGATACGAGGGGGGAGGTCCCAGCCACTACGATCAGTGTGGAAGTAAAGTTCTGGTAGATTCATACTGGTCAGCCTTTGCTCCTTCCTATCCCAACACAAGGGAGCGGCGTGCCATACCTTCAGAGCTGTAGCCCTTGCCTTCCAAAGAAGGATCGTAGCGAATATTGCTAATGCCAGTTCCGCTGGTCTTCTCATTGCGAGGGCGGACGACTTCACCAAGCTGGTTTGCCAGTTGGCCCAACTTGACCTCGTCACAGTCCTTAAGGAAGGCGATGCCGTGCTCGTAGAAGTCCTCCTGGATTCCCTGGAGGTCAGAGGGAAGGTGGAAGACGGGCTCTAGATGGCAACAGGTGAGCAACTCTCTCTCTCCAGCAGTCAGCACAGGAATTCATCCCACCTTTGATGCCCAGGCCACAACGGTTGATGTCCATTATGGCTCGGATACGTTGTTGAGATGGGAGAATCGGATGTCAACACAGGAAGGAGCGTGAGGAAGGCAATGTAGCTGTATCAGGATACTTGGATATGGTCTGCAGAGACGAAGGGAAAGGGTGGTGAGGCACAAGGTAGAAAGTGGGAGCGAACGTGGAGGAATGAAGCAGTGAGAATGGGTGATTTGGGAAGAAGGAGAGAGAAGCAGAAGGAGTCTGTTGTGTGTTGCTCTCAAACTTCTCAGTGCATTTACTGCCGGAGATAGCCTCCACCCCCGAAAGGCAGCCCTCCCGTCACCGGCCACGCTTGCACGCCACGTTTGAAGACCTGAACCTCAAAATCACCATGCACACCAGCGCCGAGAACAAGGGCTAAAAACTGGCAATGCTTGATATGTAGCACAGAGCCTACAAGCCAAAACAGGTACTAGCTGGTACATGATCCCTACGGTTTGGATAGTTGAGTTTGGAATTGCTACTGGGGGCTGTTTTAAGCGGAGCTTGGAAATGGAATCCATGCAGTGGCAGAGAAGCACTTGCATGCTAGCAGTTCATGCAGTCGCCAACAGCACAAGTTAGGGCTGTATCAGGCTCGGCGCTCTTCTGAACCAGACTGCTTGAAAGGCATTGACTAGTATAGTTTGACAGGTGTTTGCCCATGGAACTGCTGCTGTCTGCACTTCTTACAGCCTGGTCCCTTGTAGAATGATTGGCTGATGTCCCTGGGATTGTTTCCAGGAGAACCACTCCCTGACATCACTGCACGATAAGAAAAAACTTTGTGTTTGTGGCTGAAAGATAAGTCTTTTGTGAAACTAACTAATTGCAGCTGCCTGTTCACCTGTCACCTACGTAATCTAGAGTACTTATCCTGGTGCAGTATCAGTTGCAGTATCAGCAGTTGAGCCGCCGTAGCTAGTAAGAATACCTCATTGCGCAACAATTGAGGCACGGGGAACTTGGAAGCTTGCTTCACATTAGGCGCAGCTTCAGACACAGAAGACTAGTTTGAAGTCAATCAGTCATGGAGGCGATTTTCGATCAAGTCGTTCAGTTCAGTGGGATCGAGCTTAGATGTCATCAAGAAAACTCAAGGACGATCTCAGATAGTACGATGATACGATCTCAGATTGCCGGGCCGATAAGCGAATTCCAGGGCTCTTGAGTCTAGAAGTCTAGATGCTTCCAAAGCTCAAAGAACAGCCCGGGGTTTCGGCCGGGAGGCGCTCACGGCCGTCCATCGCGATTATCTCGCAAGTCGTCGGTCGATTTCGCTGGAGGTCCAACGGTGTCAGATCCCATTGGCCATATTAGTTTTCTACCCACGGTTCATGGCCGTCGATCTCGCACTCCACGGCGTTACGTCAAAGTCAATTCCGTTCATCGAGATACAGCTCCTAGTATAAAGTCCGGGTAAGCCCCCAGTCCCCAAGCATACCAGCCATCTTTCGAGACATCTCTGACAACCAGCCAGTCTCGCTAGTGCCGCTTGCATCTACTACGTTTTCTATCAATGGTTGCCGCTAGAAGGATCCATTTCGAACCGTTCCTTTCTTCTGTCCTGGAAGTCCGCGCCAACGTCGTGGGCCGGCTGGCCCAGGTCAAGCTCGAAGCAGAGTCCAACGCTGTTGAGCCAAGCCTCCGTCGGTGTCTCGGCCATCATGGTGTATTCAAGAAATGCGTGACGGCAAGCCTGGACAGCCACACTCAGCCTGCTAAACCTGCTAAACCCTCGTCTCGGCCTGCGTCTCGAATCGAGCCTGAACCGACGTCTCCAGCTCCTAAGCCTCGACATGCACCTGAGCCCCGTTTTGTTGGCGTGCAGGTTGCCAACTTGTTCAAGGGATTTACACGTTACCGCGTGCCCTCGGTGTCAATCCCAAAGAGCAACCCGGAGGATAACGATCTGATTCGCGTGCGAGCTCACGGTGCCTGGGAGTCTAGCAGCGTGGCTTTGAAAAGCAACCATGCCTCTCCGAAAATGTTCTTCGGACTTAATCCTTTTGCACGATTTAAGCATAAAAGGGGGAATAAAACTACTGGTGATGAATCCTTCAAGTGACGCAGGCATCCTGGCCCTGGATGAGGCTCTCTTAATTTTTTTTTTTTTTTCATGAATACGGCGCTATGAATAACGAGTTAGATCTACTCAATATAGTTGTTAGTTAGGAGCAATCATATCTATAGAACATTCTAAAAAGACTACCAAACTCATTAATGACTTCCAAAAAGTGAATAAATAGATCGTTGTAGTTTGACTGTGTCAATCTTGATGTGGGTGTGAATGGTGCAGGCACTAACTCCAGCTCTTCTCCCCATCCAGCATAACATTTCCTGCTCTACTCCTCTCTCTCTTTTTATCCCTCTCTCTCTCTTCATTCCTCTCTCTCTTTTCTAGTTTCCTAGCACACCTCTAGCCATCAGCTTTTCATCAATTCATCCACCAGTCTCATCAAACCTCCTTCGATTCATCAAGATGTTGAAAGGCTACCTCCTCTTTCTTCTTACCCTGCTCATCTCCCTCTCCTCCGCCATGGGCAGCGGCTTCAAGCGCAGCTGGGCAGTTCTCGAATCGGACAACATCCAGACTGCCAGCCAGCAAGATGGCCTTCCAAGCAACAACTCAGTCGGCTACGTCCCTTCCGCTACGTTCGTCCACCATCCATAATCCTTCCACCGTTGGCCTAACCTTCATCTTCCCCAGTGACCCCGCGAACTTCATCAACTACTGCACCAGAAGAGTCTTGACAAACGGCCAGTTCTCCAGCCAGAGCTCGTGCAATGGAATTGGTACCACACCCCTTCTGTCCTCCTTGTCTTCTTGCCCAATCCGATACTAACACTACTTCACTACACAGTAATGGGCGACATCCCCTCAGACAAGAACATGGTCTCAACAATCATCACCTATCCGCTCCCAGGCCAGACCGTCCTAGCTCACAAAACCTTCCCCATCAACTTCCGCACACTGAACCTCGCCACGGGATCCGTCACGAACCCTAATTCGACCCTGTACTCCGCTCCCCAGTCTCTGCAGGGCGGAAACATCGTCGGCCACGTCCACGTCACCATCCAGTCTCTGTTCGACTTCAGGAATGACCAGCTGGAGGGGTACGGCGTGCCTCCCGACCCAGCCAACTTCGTCTTCTTCAAAACTGTCTTTGGCGAAGAGAATGCGCAGAATGGGTACTCGGTTCCTGTGGCGGACGGGCTGCCGATTGGCTTCTATCGCGTCTGTACGATGGCTGCTACTAGTAACCATCAGCCTGTGGTTATGCCGGTGAGTTCTTACTTTTATTTTATGCCCTCTAGCTTGGTTGGGTCTCGGACGCTGACTGGTGCGGGCTGTATGTAGGTTGTCGAACGGGGTGCGCAGGATGATTGCCAGAAATTCGAGGTCATTTAGACTTGCTGTCTAGCAGCTTGCTTCTGACGTTTCGTGAAATTCTTCGCCAATGGCTCGTCTCGATTGAGGATGGCGCTAGGCATCTCTATTTTCTGCTTGTTTTTTTTTTACTCGTTTTTCTCCTCAAATCGCTGCGTATGTCAATACATACTTGCACTCTGGTAGCCCAGGCACCGTGTTGATTGCGAGAAATACCACTTCATGAATGATACACACTTGAGTCTACAAACACTCCAACACAGGTAGAACCCATTCAAACAGCCACTCTTAAGCATCAAGCCTCCTGTTATCGCAGACTTAGTTATCCACAACCTACAGTCGACACTGGAAGTAGATAGCATTGATCAGTTGCATACCTAAGTCCCGAACTCCAAGACGGTAGTTGAATAGGCCGGCCAGCCTTGAGAGCCAAAGTAGACAGACTCCTGCTTTACCTCCGGCTGTTAACTAATATTACCTAACTAACCACGGTAAACTAGCGACGCCCTTCGTATACCTACTTGCAATGACACTAAGGATTCTTTTCTTTTTTAGAGTATCTACCAGAGAGGTAGGTGTATTCCCTATACCCTCAAACCCCGCAATATTCATACACAAATCAACAATCGTTACGATGTCAGTTTCAGAGAGCCACTAGTACCATACAGGGGAGAGAAGGGTCCCTGCTCCCATATATGCCTGATGAACACTGAAAGGCCCCAGCAAATCATTCATTTTGGCTTCTTGCATTCCACACATCATGTATTGGCTCAACACCTTGAGATCCATTAGGTTCAGCGGATGCCGGGCCCTAGTATGGATTCCGATTAGGGCTAATCCTGCCCAGGCCGTCTCTGCTCAGTGATAATAAATATTTTGTTTCCCCGGCTAGAGAGGAGGCGTTACGGTATCGAATCTTGGGGACTGCTATCCAGCAGCAAAGGTCGACTTTGGCGAGCTCGTTAGCGAATGTGCCGGCTCATTCTAGTTCAGTGGTGCTTCCAGCTTCGTCGTGCATAGTCGCCGTTGCATGGCTGCCGTTGAGTGATGTTTGCGGGTAGCGGCCAAGACGCAGCTGTTGTTTCCAGTATTCCATGTTCGTTTGTACTGACCAGCTTTGCCTAGGAGCTTGGTGAGGAAGCTGGGTTTGGACACTGCGTTTTCAGGGTCGGCTCGCCTGAACGTCCCCGTTTGAAACCAGCAGGATATGATATAGGGATAAGAAGCCAAGATCCGGACTGAGTTCACCCAAGTGAAATCTTTGGTTCCCATCTCCTCGATCTCAAAGTACCGTTCCCCGTCCACCAACAGCAGCTCAAACCAAGTTCAGCGCATGTCCTCCCTCGGATCGTAATATGGCCATATAGATTTCACCTGCCTCTTCAAGACTTCTTCGGCGCCTGCGCGTCGGATCCTCTCCGCATCCCACGTAACATATCCCCAGCGACGAAGGCTATCATCGATAAATCCGCCAAACAGGTTACTGTAGGTTCCTTTCCACATCAGAGTCCACGCAAGCGGTGGGTGTGTCCCGGTCGGGTCCAGTATTTCGTCCCCTTGGAAAGGAAGTGGGTCGCCTCTATTCTGCTTCCGATCTCGTTCAGACAGGCCTTCGCGAAGTCGATCATAGTGTGCATCGTCGTTCATGACGTCTCCCCATTCTCCTTCCAGGAAAAAACCGTTCGGTGGGGTTTTCATATGTTCTTCGATTGTTGAGACAAGGTGTGCGCGGTTCTCAATCCTGTAGAAGACGGTATGCAGTAGAGGAAGACCGTAAGAAATTATTCCAGAAATATAGATGTCCCATGTTGCTATTTCGCGGCTTGAAGTGTTAGCTGGCTATCCGGAAAGAGAGTAAGTAGCTAGAATGGAACTGACATTGGTCTGCTAATCGGAATGCTCCTTCAGGTGTGGGTGGCCGCTGCTCGTCGGAGATGAGGTCGTTCTGGTTGATCTCTGAAACGATATCTAGGAATATATGGTGGTACTTCTCCTTGAAAAAGGTATTGATACAGCAGACTTCTTCTGTTTCCCAGGGTTCAAACAAGGCTATGCATAAGTTCAAGACTTCTAGGGCACTAAATTCGGGGGGGTTCCGGCGTGGAGATTCATGGCGGTTGGCACCGAAAAGGTTACAGCACAGCTGAAAGCGATACAATGCGCGCAGTGTCCGTATCTCCTCTACCTTACTAGTAGGCTTGACGATGCCGGTTACACCTGCCTCTCCAGAAAGATTCCCAAGTGCCCACTGAGTATAGCGACGCGCAATGGGTGTAACGATGAACAAGTGAAACCCCACCATTCTCGTAATTTCATCGGTTGTGCACATTTCACTCAACTTGGAAATGTTCGATGGGAACTTGTGGCGCTTGTAAACCTCAAGGATTGAAGTGACGGTTTGTTTGCTGCGCGTCTCTAGGAGATCAACTGTGCCAGATCGATGGACCGTATATGCTTCGATGATAACCGGGCCCAATGTTTTCTCCAGGGAGTTGAGGAGTATACGCCGGCGATCGAGCAGGTACTGCTGATAATAGACCGGAGAGGCGTGAACCAGAGCCCTTAATTCCTCAAGTTCTGCCATAGTCAAGATATGACGTCGAACTTCAGGCGGCAAGCTTTCCACTGGGGCATCGACTTGAGCTCTTTTACCATCGTATGCCACCTCGCCGACCTCCGTACATGCTGGCAATGTTGATACAAGGTTCTCAGGGCTGGTCATAGCTCCTGCGAGCTGACTCCGGCTGTGGTTGGTGAGCTCCTCCGAGTTACATAGTGATTGGGTGGCCGTTAAGACTTGTGCAACTCACCGTTCAGCCATCTACCAGAAGGCCGGAGAATGGAGTGAATCAAAAGCAAGACTTTGATCGTCAGCTTGTGTGGAGAGCGTCGCCCTGGTAGTCGAAGTTAGATACACCAGGCAGTAAGAGCACGTAAAAGTCCGTGTGCTTGTCGACCAGGTCAAAGTCTCCGTAAGGTGACCAATAGCAACCAACCTCATCCCTCAAAATTGAATCTCATAAAGGTTGTCCAGAAGAGGAGGATCGGCCTTCTTTGGGTGGTTCTGTGTACTGTTTGCCGTCTAATTAGCACCTGGACGTGTTCTGACAGGTCACATCGCGGAGTAGTAGATCAATAGGTACCGTAGCGCGGAAAGCTCCGCCGCGGCCGCAACATTTTTCCCTCCAACTTTTTAGACCCCGTTCGTCCTCACAACCACTCAACAACCGAACCGCATCCCCCGATAATTCGCATTTGGACACAGGCTCCAGAGTCCTTGAAATGGGCCAAGGCGCGTCGCAGCCCGTTGGCTCCGAGCCAGATGGAGGATTCCGTAAGTTACAAATTCGCGACTGACCCCTCGCGACCTCAGCTCTCCTCGACTACGGCCATGCGCATTAACAACCCTTCTCCACAGCAGAAGACTCGGATGCGCAAATTGCGCCGGGGCCCCCAGACCTTCCCATTGCTGTCAAAAAGAACAAATCTCCGTCGCAGCAGGAGAATCAGTCGACCGTGCAGCGGAAACGGAAGTCCTCTCAGAGCAGTACCGCCTCTTTATCCACTCCGAGCATTGTCGAAGACTCCAACCCTTTGTCGCGTCGCGAAAGTCAGCCGTCTATTAAGCGGAAACGGAAGTCCTCTCAGAGCGGTAACAACCCGCCAGCTACGTCCCCTAAAAGGCGGCCCGGTTCAGCGAAGCGGAAAAGGTTGATCGATAGCCTATCGAATAACAATACTCCCGCAGCGGAACGCATAAATGGATCGACTCCCTCCGATGCGCAGAATACGCCTAGATCAGAGCTTGGGGCGTCCAGTACGCGACCCCCAAAAAGCCTGGCGTCATCTGTTAAAAGCAAGGAACACCAGCCGTCCCCGTCTCCCGTACTCAGCGTAGGCAGCTCGCAGGCAAAGGGACGGCTCAATCGAACGAATGGCGTGGCTAACGCGAAAGGCACTACCGGCGCGTTTCTGCCTGACGAGGTCACAGCGCTGGAGGACTACAAGGTTCAATTCTGCAATTCACATCGCTGTCCTACAGCCACCTTCGATCTTATGGTGCAGCATGGAAAGGAAGGGCCGTTCCCCGGTCCCGTAGGTGTTCCTAAACGGATTTTTTGGCAGGATATTCACAAGATCTTGCCGGACCGCGATCGAAGGTCCGTATACAGGTTCATGAAGCGCCACTTCCAAGCATCTGACCAGAAGGCGCACGATTGGACGGAAGAGCAGGAAGACGAGCTTGTGGAGCTTTATCAAAAACATGGGCCCAAGTTTGCTCAGATCGCGGAGATTCTGGGCCGGGGTTCAGATGATGTCGTCCAAAGGTGGAAAAATCGCCTTGAACACCGGGATACGATGAAAACCGGAGCATGGTCGGATGAGGAAATGGGCCTATTAAAGGCTGCTTTGCGCGCTGCGTGGTCCAAGATGAAAGACAATGGGTACGATGTAGGAGAAAATATCTTCGAAATGGACGAGTCGTTGATCTCATGGAGCCAAATCAGCTCCAGCTTGGAGCATGTTCGGTCGCGACAACAGTGCGCAGACAAGTGGCGCAGATACAAGCAACTCGCGGTTGCGCCGACGTCTCAACCAAACTCCCGGGCGACTTCTCGAGTACGCAGTGTAACTCCTTCGACAAAAAAAAGGAGAACGCATTTCGCCCGAAATCGCAAGAGCTCCGCGTACGTCTTAAACAGCGATGAGGAGTCGGAGCCCGAATCAGGATCCAAACCCACATCCTCGACATTAGCCCATGGGCAAGGGACAGGTTCTGGTCCGCAACCCTCTAAACAAACTAGCCCGAACGAGAAAAGCCGTCCACGGGAGGAAACTCAGGCTACTCCGTCCTCCGACTCTGAAACTGAATCCAGCTCAGACTCGGATTCAGATGCCAAATCAAACGCGGGCGAAGATTCCGAACCAGCTCTGCGCGCGGTGCATAAGCAGGAGGCCTCGGAGGATACCAGCTCTGACGAGTCTAGTGACACGTCCTCGTCTGAAGAAGAGAGCGATAACGAGGGCGAAATACCGACCACTACATCCGTAGAGCCAGCTCCGGCAGAATCATCTAAACGGAAGCGTACGGGGAGTTCGGCGAGGGGGTCTGGGACACCTGATGGCAAACGAGTGAAGGTGAAAAAAGAGCCGAGTCCTACCCCGTCCGCCATCGCGTCTCACGAGAGCGGTGGTGATAGCGAAAGCGAAAGCGATAGCGATGACGAGTCTACGTCGAGCGACAAGGACAGTGCCGTTGCCATCAAGAAGAGAGCCAGCAGCAGCGAAAGCGAAAGTGATAGCGATGACGACTCCGACTCTGAGTCTGAGTCTGAGTCTGAGTCTGAGTCCGACAGTGATAGAAAAATCGCGGTCAAAAACTCACCTGACGAGCAGAAGGATCAAGCATTGACCGCTATCAAGCAATCTGGATCGTCATCAGACTCTAATAGCTCAGACGACTCGGATGCTACGGACTCAAGCGATGAGTCAGAAGACGAAGTCGATGCCAAAGTGCCGATCATCAAGAGGGAATCAGAGCCCGCTGGCGAGGCTCTTCTTTCTCCTCTGAAGCAAGACAACGATTCGGAGGACGCCAAAACGAGCAGCACCTCAAGCAGCGACGAGTCCGACTCAGATTCTGAATCCGAATCTAGTTCCGACTCGGAGTGAACTGGACAATATGCGTGATGATCTGATTATACTAAGATACCATTTATGCTTTGTTATTTCATGTTCGAGGTAGAATATTCTTTGTTCATTTTGGCTTGAAGGGCCGGACAGGGCAAATTGTGAAGCTTTCCTGTTTACTGGAAGGTATTCAGGAAATATGTCTCATTCCATTATATATATCTAGGGCTAGCTATTGAACATACTATCTTTGCTTTATTACGTTCTCGATGTTCCTTTTTCATATTCGGCCATCATTCTGGCAGAGGTCATACCGGAGGGTTCGACTATATATATATAACTACCCGTCTACGGTACCGGAACATGGCCAAAATCAAGCAAGATGTTCTACCAGAACTGCAACTGGCAGAGCATTTCTATTATTATTGATCGTCATGACTCTATTTTCATTTCCCGTAATATCCTCGTCACCAATTTCCGTTGATCGGTGGGATTGAGGTTATGCTCGTCAATGGTCGTGATGCACCGCCCAATCGCTACAGTCGCTCTAACAGCATCATCCTCACTGTTCGAGCAGTCCACCCAAACCTTGCCATTCCTTCCAACCGCAATCTCAAACCCTCCAGCCTTCTCGAGCTTCTTGCCCAGCTCATCCAACACAACCAAGCCCGCAACCCCCTCCTGCTGATCCGACGAAGATGAGCTTGCCCTAATCAGCCTAGCCGCCATACCAGTCGAAATATCAAACACCATGCCTCCATTCAAAGGGCCTAGACCCCCAGGCTCCGCCTTCCCAGTCGCAGGGTTGACGCATGTGAGTTCGATTTCGGCACCTGGCCCCAGACCCGTCGAGAGCACGCGCGCGTAGACAAGATCTCCGCCTTTCAACTGCGGCCGTGTTTTCTTCGTCGCGCCTTCGAAGGATAATTGTCCGAGGAGTGCGTGAGGGGACTGTGGTGTAATCATGCAGTGGAAGTAGTCGGCGCTTGAGTGGTGCACTTGCGCGATGATAAGATCATTGGAGGTCGGGACGTAGCGGCGGTTGGACGTAGATAGTATGGACACGGCATTGCGCTTGTTATCTGTAGAGAGAATCCCGGCTTGTGTAGCTGTCAAGACGTGTTTTGAAGGTTTGGTCGCTGGCGGTTGTGAGAGGAGTCGTAGGCCTGGGCCTAGTCGTAGCGGCGCGGAACTGTTGGGGAGGTATTCTGATGGCACCTCATCACCGGGGAGAAGTATTAAGGGCGACGACATTATTATTCGTGCAGTTGTGGAGAGCGTTTGAATTGAGTGACTGAGCAGAATAGCGGAGGGCAGGTCTTTGAAAAGCTTATCGGTAGTCACGTGACTAAGCATAGTATACGCAGAAACATGTGAGATCTGTTATGATAGATTATTTCAAACATCGGCACTGTATATCTATTTCAGAGGACCATCCGACAAAGACAATAGTCTGTCCCGTATACGGTTTGCATCGAATAAGGTGCGGTGCTTTGTTGAAATATGTGGCTGGCACCGCCACATCTGCTTGCTATCGATAAGTACCAGCCACAGAGACTCGCCGCCAAACCAAAAACTTTTTTTCCGCCTAAAGATTGGCTTGATTTTGGCTAGAGACTCGTCCTGTTCTTCCCCCTCCACTCTTCCTCCTCCTCCATACTCTTTTTTTTACACCCTTTTCGCCCTCCGTATACCTCAAGATGAGCGACGAAACAAACGGCGCCGGCGAGCGATTTGCCATCGGTATCTCTTTCGGCAACTCCTCCAGCTCCATTGCCCGTATCAACCCCGTATGCAGGCCCGCTATCCTGGCGCTCTCAGTTGCCATTGAGAAGGAAATTTCTAACCTGATTTGATGTATAGGAAGGCAAGGCTGAGGTTATTGCCAACGAGGAAGGAGGTTTGTTCATCCCATCTGCATATTTTTCTGCCGCTCCGTCACACTGTCGAGAACGCCTAAAACTGACTGTTGTCTAGACCGTCAGATCCCCTCTATCCTCTCATACATCGGTGGAGAGCAATACCACGGTACCCAGGCTAAGGCCCAGCTCATCCGCAACTCCGAGAACACTGTTGCATACTTCAGAGATTACCTTGGCAAGGAGTAAGCCGAGCCCGGCATTGATATGGATGCGAATGCACTTGCTAAACGATTGTTACAGCTTCAAGTCAATAGACCCCACCCCCTGCCACAACTCCGCCCACCCCATCCAGACCGACTCGACTGTTGCTTTCTCCATCCGTGACACGGAGAGCGAGACCCCCAACACTGTCACTGTTTCCGAGATCACCACCCGTCACCTGCTCCGTCTGAAGCAGTCCGCCTCCGACTACCTTGGCAAGGAGGTCAACGCCGCCGTTATCACCGTCCCTACCGACTTCAACGATGCTCAGCGCGAGGCCCTGACTGCGGCCGCCAAGGCTGCCGGACTTGATGTCCTGCAACTCATCCACGAGCCCGTCGCTGCTGCCCTTGCCTACGACGCTAGGCCCGAGGCTACTGTCACCGATAAGCTCACTGTCGTCGCCGACCTCGGTGGTACCCGATCCGACGCTGCCGTTATTGCTTCCCGCGGCGGAATGTACACTATCCTGGCTACTGCTCACGACTACGAGCTGGGTGGTTCTTCTCTGGACCAGATCGTCATTGATCACTTTGCCAAGGAGTTCATTAAGAAACACAAGACCGATCCCCGCGAGAATGCCCGTGGGCTTGCCAAGTTGAAGATGGAGGGTGAGGCCACAAGGAAGGCTCTGAGCTTGGGCACAAACGCTACCTTGAGCATTGAGTCTCTTGCCGACGGAATCGACTACGGCAGCACCATTAACCGCACTCGCTACGAGCTCCTCTCCAACAAGGTGTTCGCTCAGTTCACCGGCCTGATCGAGCAGGTCATTAAGAAGGCCGAGCTCGATGTCCTTGACATCGACGAGGTTATCTTCTCCGGTGGTGTCTCTCACACCCCCAAGATCGCCCAGATCGCCCGCAGCATTTTCCCCGAGAAGACCCAGATCCTGGCTCCCTCCACCCTGACCTCCGCCATCAACCCCTCTGAGCTGTCCGCCCGTGGTGCCGCCATCCAGGCTTCTCTGATCCAGGAGTTTGAGACCGAGGATATCGAGCAGTCCATCCACCCCATGGTCACCGCCACTCCCCATCTCAACAAGGCCATCGGCGTTGAGTTCACTTCCGGCGATGCCGTCGAGTTCCTGCCCCTCCTCAACACCCAGACCGCTCTCCCCGCCCGCCGTGTTGCCCAGTACAACGTCCCCGCCGAGGGAGGTGACGTCTTCATCCGCGTCTGCGAAGGCTCCCGTGAGATCAAGGTCACCAAGCCCGAGCCCAAGGCCAAGGAGGAGAAGCCCAAGACTGAGGATGACGAGGACGACTCTGACTTCGACTCCGATGATGAGGAGGAGGAGATCCGTGAGGTCGTCTGGAAGACCGAGCAGCCCATCGCCGAGCTCGCCGTCAAGGGCGTCAAGGCCAAGGGCAAGGTCGAGCTGATGATCCACATCAACGCCGACCTCGGTCTGCAGATCACCGCTCGGGAAGTTGGCGGCCAGAGCGCCGTCCGTGGCGCCGTTGAGTCACCATGAATGAACCCTTGCGAGTAAATAGAATCTTAATGATCATTTCCTTTTCTAAATAGTTTTGATTATCTTCAGGAGCTTGCATACATCGAGACGAGAGGTTCGTGCTGTTACGATGCATGAGGTCTTCTAGGATTCGGGTCTTTTCAACGCAAATGACTGTTTGACGACGAATGTATCAACGAAGACTCTGCAAAAGTATATAGAGTATCCGACGCAAAATAGAAGTTGATAGATTGGGTAATTCTCCATTTGATCTTCTTCTTGTTTCCCGTAGATCAGAAATGGCTTTATGCTGAGTGCACTTATGGCCCGATTGTGTCCATCGCTTTATTTTTGACTACGATCCACAAGGTCTCCCTGGCAGTTCCAGGTGCTCAAATTATAGGCAATTAAGTATCATTATCCTATATTACAAGTATTCTGATAACAAACATTAGAGAGAATAGTAGTAGATAATCGTAGACATGCATGACATCATGAATATCCAACATGGATCACAAATCGAGGCATTCGCGGTTGCGGTAAGCTCAACAAGTTCTAAATAGCACTGGTAGGGATCGGAAGCACTGAGAAGCACTATTGTGATGGAACGAGCGTATATGTCGTATTGAGTCGACGGGCGAGTTCGTTGCGATACTTATTGGAATATATATTTGACCGGATGGGGCCAGGAGCGCCTGACGGTGGTTCTCTTGTCGCCGGTCGGGGGAAGACGTTTGGCTTTTCGTACCCAGCATACCTTTGCGTATAGAGCATGCGATGTAGCCAATAGGTAGTTATGTAGCTGACAGTAGTAGATTTAGGGAGCGACCTCCTTGTTGCGCTCCTGGCTGGCATGTCGTGCGGAGAAGAAACCGCGGCGGCGCTGCTTGCGGCCACTGTATCCGCGGTCCTTTCGGCCGACTGAGCCGCCCATGCAGTACATGAGACACGCGAGAAACCAGCAAGCGACCGAAGTCCACAGGAATGCGAAGGCCTTGACCCCGAGGTCGGCGTTCTGGTTGTTGTCGTTAAACTTGTTGCGACCCTGGACGAAGACGGCACTGTATTATATTAGCCTGAGTTTCAATCTTACATAGTCAAGGATCTAACATACGTAATTAGACAGCTGACGATGATCTGGAAGATCAGAGCGAGCCACGCCATGAAGGCTGAGATGTAGCTTCCAATGCGGGTGCATAGGGCCAGCAAGCCGGTGAACAGAGAGAGGACACCGAAGAACAACGCGATGATCTCGAACGGCCACGAGAACCGGGAAGTCAGGAAGTAGTGGTTGGTGCTGCGAGTGAGATGTCAGCATAGGTCGGCAAGCCAATCTTACGAATGCGACTTCGCTGCTTACCCGATGAAGGCGGGTGGGATGTTAACATCAGTAGCGAAGTTGCGGTCGCTTGGGGGGTCGAATGGGTAGTCAGGGTGCGAGCTTCCACATTGGCTTCTGCCGTTTTCTACGGCGCAGATATTCCACCAGGTCCATCGTGACTGGGCCGGTGCGCCGGGAATATTGCTCGTATCTACCTGAAGGAAGTAGATGTTGTTGAGTGGGTTGCTGTTCTTGACACCGGCTAGAAAAACGAGCCACATCAGGAGAAGGGCTCCGGCAGTGAAGAAGAGGCCTAGAAAGCCCAGAACAGCTCCTGCGAAGACAGCCTGTTAGCAAACGCATCGCGAAGACCGGGAACGATGGGAGATCTACTGGAAGCCGGCATTGTGCTCTCCTTGCTTCTATAGCTGGCAGAAGACAATCGAGAGAGAAAGTTGCGATGAACGAGGGGAAGATAAAATTTGCGAGTGTCACGGCCTCAAAAGGCAGTCGAGATTGGTATGCAGGGACGGGGGCGGGAGAGGTTATGGAAGGCTGGAAGGGATGGAATGCGAAAAATGTGGCTAGGGTATCCTATTAAAGAATCCGGATTCCGGGGGCTCCGGCCGCAAAGCTAGGGCCCGCAGGGCGATCGAGTGATGAATGATATAATGCTGTAAAATGCATCATTGCTACCTGAAAGCTTGACGCTGAACTTTGAAGCCAAAGAGTGAGAGTGATGATCTCAACGTCATACCCGCTGTCTGCCGCTAGCTGTGTCCGGCATAGCGCAAGCCACTATGCCCAATCAGGCGCTCATCAGTCCATGTCCATGACGTTCAACTTCGACCAGCTTGATCAGAGAAGCCAGTCACTGACGTTGCACCACCCACGACCAATTTTCGAGGCCCAGTCCATGCGCTAGACCGATCAGCGTGAACGTGCAGTAACCCTGTTTGCAAGGTTTTCTTTTCTGCCTGTTTGGTTCGTGGCCGATCCCTCAGAACTCAAGAAGCCACGACCAGGCCCTAAATCTGAACCGAGGAGCTGGGCTTGAAAGTTGAGAGAGTCCAGCCTCTGCCTGTACTGAGTAAGAGGGGCATTTGCGGAGATAACTTGCGTAGGGCGCCCCAGTTCTCGTGGTCCGGAGAAAATGGCCACTTGGGTATACCCACCCGTTTCCCCAGAGCGTCTGGACCAGGAAGCCGATTCTGCCCTGGTATGTTCGTTTTTCCCTGATCGTTCCTTTGACTCGGGTGCTGAACTGATTGCACAGGAAAAAGAGCTAGAATGGCTGCTGCGCTCGTTGCAGGATTCCCTCGCTTCACTGAGAGAGGGTCTTCATGAATGCGCAGCATTGCTGGCTCCCAAAGAGCCTGGCTCAACATTAGTATTGTCGTCGATGCGATCGGAAAATGTTAAAGGCTTCGTGACAAGAGTTGGAACCAAGATTGTAAAAGGGGTATGTGCCAACCGCCATCCATCTGTATCACCAAGTCCGAACCTAACTGCAAGCAATAGGATATACAACTTCGCCTGAGTTCTCTAAGCTCTAGAGCTGCACCTACGACGCGGCTATGTCTATCTCAATCTGAGAACGCGCCAGAGCTGGCACTTAGCCAGCTGGTCTCCGTCAGGGATTCGGTCCGGCAATGCCTAGACATTGTAGATGTGAGCACTTGGACTGGGGATCCGCTCAACGCGCGCTTCATATACAGCCAACTTCATCTCCTTGGGGAGACTATTGCCGAAGGGCGGCAGATGCTAAAGGGTGAAAGTGACATTGTGCGTGGCAAATGGTGGGAGACAAGTGCACCCGACAATGTAAGAGACAGGACGAACGCCCATTACAACGATAGCTGACAAAGAGACAGATGTTCGACCCGCCTCTGCCGCCTCAGCTTTCTTTCCACCTATCTATCGCAGACTCTGCACTGGTGCTTTACATCAGGACGCTTGAATCCACAACGCCGGCCCACACTCCTACTGCCTTTGCAACTGATATCTCATTGACCGGGTTCTCTATCCGCGATCGATTATTCGGCACCCGTGGTCCTACCCATGACGAGGCTGGGGATGTGTTCTCCTGGAAGGGAGACGAGGTCAAGGTCAGGGAGAAGGTTCGCGTAGAGAGCCAAGACCCCAGTCTCATGGCGGTGATGGCCAAGCTGACTGCTCTGCATCACGAGGTCGTCAAATGCAAGTCTGCTCTCAGAGTCCTCATGGGTAATGATGACGAAAGTGAACCTTGAAATCTTGATTTGGCCTGAACCATATCTCTCCTTTAGCTTCAGCCTCAAAAACTCTGGAATAATTGTAACCAATAATACAGCATCTGAAAGCCACTTTGCAAGTTTGCAGTCATGATATTGTATGCAGTGCACGGGCCTTCATGTCAATAATTATGTAACAAACATAAACCTAGACAGCCAATGGGGCAATTCTAGTTACACCTGCACTAGCTTGGCATTGATTTTCTCGGAGCTCCTTGAGGTGGCGGCGAACTGTTTTTCTTCCATTCAGCTTCTTGCTCATCTCTTCCGGGCAGTAGAAGGGTGAAAATGCTGTCGCGATCTCCTGCTTTGAGGGCTGCTCGCCCCAACAACAACAATATCCTTGTTCCTGGATACAGGTCGCTGCATGCTGGCTCGCGACAGCTCCGATCCAGAGCGCCAGCTTTCAAGCATTCCAAGTCAAGCACGACTAGTGCATCAAATGCAGCCCATTCTCTCACATCAACACATCGCCCCTGCCGCACGCCCAACAGTTATGAATCAGGTCAACTTGTGACTGGAAAACGTCATTCCTCTTCGGTTAAAGAAGAATCGGAGTCGAAAGACGAGCCGGATGATTCGATCCACGCCCTGATTGATAAAATCAACGCCACCGAGGCCGAAATTCTGGAATTACTCGATGAGCTCGACCTCACAGATGAGTATACCGGGTCAGGTGCTCCCGCCGATGAAATTCTTGACGAGGCCTCTGAAGTTGTTGACGAGGATTTGCATGATCGACCCGAGGGCCAGACACCGGAGGAACGAGTTCAACAGGCCAGACAACTCTTCCGCGACTCTTTACCAGACGGATTCTTGAATGAAGAGGAAACGGTGATATATACTCGATTGTACGGCGAACCTATAATCCGTGATGTTGAAGAATACGAGGTCGAGGGCGAAGAAGAGGAGTCCGATCGGCTTTTTCGCGAGAATGGTATAGGAGGGTGGGACGAAGTTGAATACGAGGCGGGTGAAATGGAGGCTGATGGGCCAGTGGTTTACGATATGGAGTCGCCCCCGGTGAAAGAAACAGCTGCTATGCAGCGAACTCGAGAAGTGGCTGAACAACTTGGCGCCGAAATAATGCTCGAAAACATGGAGGAAGACGGCGACGATTCTGGCCCGCGTTTCCATCCGTTAACAACGCAGGGAAAATTCGCGACAGATCCGGCTACTGTATACCCGCCTACGGATACAGTGACGGGCCCCATCTCCGTAATCCTCTCCGAGGCTTCCAACAAGCATATCTCCGAGGCTGCTCACAAAGCATTCGGCGGCAAGCTCCTCCCCCAATCTACCCGGACGGCGCCTGCACACGCTCAAGAACCGCAACAGGCCATCGGTCTAAGCGCATCTCAGCGGTTTATGTCGGAGATGGAGGCCAACGCATACATGGCAGTTCTATATCCGGGGATGTATGCCTCGACTTTGAGTGTGTTGACTGAGATCCGAAAGCGCCTGGGCTCGAACTGGCTAAGACCACTGATATCACAAGAGGGCGGACCGAGTGTTCTAGATGCCGGCGCTGCTGGTGCCGGTATTTTGGCGTGGAGAGATGTCCTCCGCGCGGAGTACGAGCTCATGGTTCCGGATCATCCCAAGTCGGACCCCATCCCTATGGGGAAATCCACTGTTATTACAGGGTCCGACCCGCTTCGTCTACGTGCTAGTGCATTGCTGGAGAATACAACCTTCCTCCCTCGACTTCCTGATTACCTTCATACACGGGACAGCCCGACTGTTCATGACAAACGACCGCCAAGGCGAAAGCAGTTTGACCTCATCATTGCTCCTCACGCGTTAATGGATCTAAGCGAAGAGTATGAGCGGAAAGAATACGTGGAGAATCTTTGGCAAATGCTGAATCCAAACGGAGGTGTTTTAGTTCTCATGGAAAAGGGACACCAAAAAGGTTTCGAAGCAGTCGCCGGAGCTCGTGAGATGCTGCTAAAGCGCTACATCTCCAGCCCTGGCTCAACAGAGTACGACGCACACCTCGAGTCACCCGGCGAGGAATCTAAAGTCCAAAAAGAACCTGGCATGATTATTGCCCCTTGCACCAATCACGGGAAATGTCCCATGTACCTCAGCGACGGCCACGCCAAGGGCCGCAGAGACTTCTGCCACTTTGAACAACGATACATCCGCCCCACCTTCCACCAGCGCATCATTGATGCCAAGGACCGCAACCACGAGGACCTGAAGTTTAGCTACGTCGCTGTCCAACGAGGCGTTGACCTCCGGCAAACACAGGATATCGTCCAGGGCACCACAGCCACGGACGCCGCCTTCGAAGGCTACGAGCACCTCAACGAAGCAGGCGAGGTAGCCGAAGCCGAAGAAGTGGCACGCACTGAAGAAGAAACACCCGAACCTGTTTCTCCACCGCCAGACACAAAGTTCCACACCCTCTCTCTTCCACGACTCGTATACACGCCCATGAAGCGCCGAGGTCACGTCATCTTCGATCTGTGTACCCCAGCCGGCCAAATCGAGCGCTGGACCGTGCCCCGGTCATTCAGTCGCCAGGCTTTCAAGGACGCTCGCAAGGCTAGGTGGGGAGACTTGTGGGCTCTTGGAGCGAAGACTCGGATTCCCCGGAACCTGAAGCTGGGCGAGAAGCACGGCGAAGGGAAGAAAGAACGGTTGGCGAGACGTGCTGCTGAGAGGAGTAAGATGGAAGATGAAGAGGATGTGGACGTGGAAGGCGAAATGGACGAGGAGATTGAGCGTCTTTCATCGAAGTTGCCTCCTGGCTTGGTACCCCCGACGCGGAAGAAGGGGGAGAAGAAAGTTCCTAGCTGGAAGAAACAGTTGGAGAACAAGAAGTTTAGGAAGGCTTCTAGGAAGCTGGCGCGGGAGGGCCTTGAGTAATGGCTCTTGATCGCGTTTTTGGAAACTTTGGGAATAACGGGAGGGAAATACGGGCGTCTTTGGCGCTATTTGTCCGGGCTGGGAGCACGGTCTGTTTCATTCTGTATAATCGGCAAAAGAGCCATTGTAACATAGATAAACTCTCCATAAACGACCTGGAGTTATGGAAGCTTCAGGGTACTTGATTGAGCAAATCCACTCAGCATACAACCATCCTCTCATGAGCGACCACATGATTCGAAATGGCAGAGAACCTATGCCTTCCGAAGACAACCACCACGGCCGCGACTTTAGTGTGTGGCAGATATAAATTAAGTGCCCAGGTGCCTATGGTCACGCATTAAAACCATCGCGACCCCATTCCTCCTCATACCGGCGGCTCTTCAACCTGATCTGCTGCTCTCAGGCCATAAGGCTTGGTTATGGCCAACAACTGAATTCTCATAGAGAGCTTGAGAATCCAACAACCCCGGCCGTGATAGCTTTTTTGGTAGCGGCGTAGTGAAGTCGGTTAGAGATTCAACTCTGTTCCATTCGTCATCGAAAGGCGCCCAGGAGTCCAACAAGTCCAGCGGTTAATGGAGACGGAGGCAGTTTCTCAACTGATCAACGGCAGCGGTCCACTCAATGGAAAGCCATACTCTTCCTCAACTGGCGCTCCCGCTGCGTGCTCTGCAGCTCCAGGCGCTCAACCGCATACTTCAGACGCTCTTTCTTCTGAACCAATCTTCTCAGCTCCAGCGCCTTGGCCGCGGAACCAGGTGATCCTCCACTAGGAGTGCTCCTCTGTGGGCGCGCCGGGTGCTGCCGGCTCGCAGAATTGAGCCGCCCCTCTTGCAGCTCGCATTTTGCACGGAGACCTTCTTCGCGACGGGCGAGCTTTTCGACGTGGTTTGAGGCGAGCGAGAGCAGGTGTGCGATGCTTGGTGTGATTTCGTCGGTTAGCGCCTTTTGCGCTTCGCGGATGGTGGGCTCGGGGAGGAGTTCGAAGTGCTGGTCGCAGGGTCAGCTAGTTCTCATGAGGAACTGCGACGTAGACTTACTCGTGTTGTTTGAAGGACCTTGGACATACGGGGGAAGTCGCTGACGCCGGAGTCGAGGATTGCAATGGAGTCGTCCACTAGGCCGAGGGAGGAGTCCAGGGATGCAACGGAGTTGCTGAGTGAGGTTGCCATTTTCAAGTCAAGTTCTCAGCGAGTGTTGACTTAGCACAACAGAGCGGGAAATGTTGACCAGACTGCTGGTGTACTTTGTTCAAGCATGATTGTTTAGATGAGGGACGTTATCGGCGATAAGTAAAAGCGGCGCTGGCCCACTCCCGAAAGCGGCTAGCCGTCGGGCTTCCGGACAAACCTCGTTGCTGCCGCTCTGCTTGATCGCACCCTTTCCCGGTACATCAACCGCATCAGCTCCATTCAACAGCATCACATCTCGCTGTCCGAACCGCTACAATGTCCGGCCTTATCCCCAAGAAGTTCCCCACCCCCGTCAGTACGTTACATTCCAGCCCTGACGCTCCCTGGTCGGTATTCGGCTGAGAACGGCACTGACTGACTTTCGATATAGTTGGGCCCCTCGGACCTTTCTTCGCTGCCGGTACGTGCCGTATCCTTGTCGATAAATGAATTTAGTGGGAGATAGATTCTTGAAGCGGATTTTATTGGATATGGACTGCGGGAACGGACGGTTCTCTACCGGTATTGACGCTAACTTCACGGTTAGGTCTGGTCATCCTCTACGGCATCAACTCGGCTCAAAACGCCATGGCCAACAGTGAGTCGCCAATACCCCGATTCCCTAATATTCTCTCAATCTGCGAATATGAGGGCAATCTCCGCTCTCTTTTTGTCTAGCCGATATCATTGCTAACGCAACTGCTTTCAGCCGCCGAGTACAAGAACGACCCCCGCAACCCCAACCGCCAGGCTGCTAAGCACTAAATGTCGGAACCTCGATTGGATTGGAGTGGCAGGAGGATGGTCGGCTGATTGTTGATGTGTCGCCGTCGCTGTGATGTTGCGGGCAATTCCCTGTACAGACAAATAGACGCCATCCGTCAGATACCTTGACGAATTGACAAGTTGTACCACTATCACAAGCGCCGCTCATCGCGCAGTGCAAGCTTTTGGCTGAAAAGTCGCGGCATATCCTGTTCCAATGCTCCCCGTCATGTAGAAGCTCCTGGACACCGGCATCAGACGTGACTGTAACTCAGTTACCTCCCCAGTCGGATGCTGTAACCCCGCGGATTACGTAGTGTCTCTGGCGTTTTCTCTCACAATGCATGCGATTAGCTCGTCAAGAAGCTCGCATTGTAGACCTAATCATACGTTATTCGCAAAGCGCGGGCTTGCTTCCCAACCGGCCTCTCAACGTCTAGTTCATAGACAATCACCCGGGTCTGCTATAGGCCTTGCAAATAATAAGCCCTCGCAAATCATCTCATGTTCAAGAAGGGTCATCTCGTGAACAATTATACAGAAAACTTTGCCATACGATGAGGTCGGCAAGTATTGGCGCTAGTCCTGATTTAGACGCAGTGCCCCGTGACTCGGGAGTCTTGCGTTCCTCCGAAACCACCGTACGAAAGTCGAGCGAACTCCAAACGAACAATCCCAAGATCTTCATTAAACCCAGCCAACATGTCACAGTTCCGCGCCAAGAAGCTCGACCTCGGAGGCTTCATTAACATCCGTGTCATCCGCGATCACACCAAGCGCAAGGTTTTCGAGCAGTATGAGCCTGACCGGTGCGGCGACCCCGAATATCCTCACTTGCGGCCTTGCTAAATCCTCCGCCTACGAGATCCAATTGCTAATACGTGGATGGAATATAGACAAGCCCTCCGCTACATAATCCGCAACACGTCTCTCCCCCAGCGTATGCGCGCCCAGGCCCAGCTCGAGCTCTCCCAGATGCACGCCTACACCCGCTCTACGCAGATCAAGAACCGCTGTGTGGCGGGAGGTACGGCCAGGAGTGTGATCCGCGACTTCAGGATTGGACGGGTAAGCAACTGCCATTGGGCTCCCTGCCAGGATGGGACTAACCATACTCTCTCCAGTACCAATTCCGTCAACAGGCGCTTGCGGGTGAACTGCCGGGTGTCAGGAAGGCTAGTTGGTAGATGTGCTATATTGTTGGGTTACATAAAAATGGTCTGGCGACTTGGCTTGGTTCGGATCGCTTGCGCAATGGCGTTTGTTCTACATACACAGTGTTATATTCGAGGATGATTGTACGATAAGTTGCTCAAATTAGATGGGTTTATACGTTAGTTTTCCTGCTGATGCTGCTGTTACTGTTGGCTCCTTTCACGTCTTGATGATGAGAATTGAGAGACTTTCGTCCTAAGATGGATGAAGCGGAGTTGTCCGTTTTTCACTCGATGTCTGAAGGTTACAAAGTGAGGGAATTGTTCAAAGTTGATTGAAGTGCTAGTGAAGCAAACGGGGGCTGCAGGTAGCCTTTTCTCGCCTCCATAACCTCTGTTCCCATCATTCTCTCCTCGAGATCCTTCTAAACTTCCACTATCTCTTCTCTCAATCACATCCTCAGTCAGAGCAGTCCTCTCAGCATTGAAGGCCTACAGGTTCAACTCACCGTCCCCCCCCCCTACCTCTCCTCAAACACCAAGCGCAACATCGGACTCGGCATGTTCGTCTACCGCAGGGAGGATCTCCCTGCAGACCCAGTGTTCCCAGCCGACCTGAAGGAATTAGGGTGCGTTTACCTTGATCTTTGCTCTGCTCAAACACACAGGAAGCCAACCTGCTGTCTCTAGCTACTTCATCAACGACAAAGACCAAATCCGCAAGATCTCAGATCCAACTCAGGACTTCCAGTTCAAGATCAACAAGAATGACCGCTGGAACGAGGTACAGCGTGGTGCGATGAACGGTGCGTATAGCTTGCTCGCATGCCCAACACCGTCACCATCATTCTCAAAGCATCCACCTTCAGCCCTATCACCCCAAGTCATACCCCCGACCCACTGACCTCGAAGCAGAATGCATCCGCGAGATCGTGCTCTCCCGCCTCCGCAATCTGGGCCTGATAACCCTCTGTCTCCCGCTAACCTCCGGGCCCAAAAAGCCACACGTGCCCGTCCTCGTCTCCCGCAACCTCGCCTCCGCCAGCCGCATCATCCTCGTCTTTGGCGAGCCCGTGCAAGACCTCGGGATCTGGGCATATCGCAGCGTCGGCGCGGAAGCCATAAACGCCGGGTCGGCCGTGGACTTTGTCAAGGCGATTCTGCACGACTCGACGTCTAGGACCTCGAAGAAAGGAGGAGACGTCGCGGTCGTCCTCGCGAACACGGGACAGCTCATCTGGCATTGCGGCACTGGCAGGGCAATGACTATTCCCACTTGGCTGGCCCTTCCCCGTCCGTCGGCTGTTGACCCGCCGCTTGCTGAGACGAGAAGGAATAAGATTCCTGGTAACGCGAACTGGCAGGAACATGTTGACTCTGTGTTTGAGGGGATCTTCGCGGCTAGGGGGCGCCTTGTTAGACGGGATGCGAAGATCGATGTCATTGGTGTTTCCGAGGGAGGGCTCGGGGCTGTGCGGTACCTCGCGCGGAACTGTACGTGAACCCCCAGCTCACTCCTTCAAACCCAACCCCCTATCTATCAACTCAACTAACAAACAGTACTCCAGGGTCCAACTGGTGCACCAACATCTCCGCCATAGCGCTCGCAAACCCACTGCACACAAAATTCGATCTCCACGAAATCAACACCCCGACCAAAAACACAACGTCGGATCCCACCTCCTTCGCCTCCTTCATATCCTCGCGGTGCCGCGCATACGTCCTCTCGCCCGAACCACTGGGCCTCCCGATCTCCATCACGGAAACACAGGAGCTCGACCACGGCTGCAACTGCTTTTCTGGCGGCGAGGCGCTGCACGCGGAGTGTATTATGCCGAGTGCGTGGAGGCATATGATGGCTTGGTTGGGTAGGGCCTTTGAGGATCAGGGACTTTGTGAGGCGCAGCTTGTTGTTCGGGAAGTTGGGGGTGGTGGGGAGGTTGTCTCTGAGAGTAAGGGGGATGGTGGCAATATGGGAGGGGATGGGAATGGGGCTTGAGGGGGTGCGGTAGGGTTGAAATTCAGGGTTGAAATTCAAGGGGGCATGGGTGTATTATCGTGCCCTGTCCTGGTCAAAGGATGCTTTGTCTCACTGGGGCCTCAACTGGCCATAGTCCCATGATGGTATCCGAATTTGCATTCGTCTATCTATCCAACGTTTCCAAGAAGCTCGTATCTAAATATCTATACCTAGATCCAACAACCCACTTTCTTCCCAATGTACTCTACTCTATATAATCCCTCACAATACCCCTCTTCCACTCCTCTAACGAGATAGCCTTGCCCTTAAACGGCACGTAACCCCTCGGCACACCCGCAGCAATACCATCAGTGCCATTGCCATTGCCATTTATATCCAATCTCGGCACCTCCAAAAACGCATGGTCCTTATCACAGACCTTCAACGGCAGCGTTCCACCCCGCAACTGCTCAAAGCACTCCTTGTCAAACGTCAGATTGATGCAGTCCTTGCACCACCACATCTCGCTCGCGTCCTGCCAGTACCGCCCGCAGCCGCCGTCGCAGATGGCGAAGATCGGAACGGCTGCGTCTTCCTCCTCCACTTCTACATCTGCGTCTGCGTCTCCCCTTACCGACGCCGGTGCAGAGGCGGGCTCAGAGTGGGAGTGCAAGTCTGCAAGGGCGACGGGCTTAAGCTCGGGGGTTCGGGGCAGACTGTTCGGTGTACTGGGACGTCTGGTTTCGGGTGTACCGGGGCCTGCACCTGGATGCGTTTGAAGACTGGTTGTGATAGTAGGGGCAGGGCGGCCGCGGGGGCTCTGTTCCTTGCGTTCTTTCTTACCCCGCGGGCTGTTATGGTCTTTTACATAACCGTTCACTGGATTTGGGTTCCTCTTCGGCTCATCAATTAGCGGCATCCCTGGACCATGGCCAGCATTGGCATTCGCAAACGCAATCCGACTCGCCGCCGCTGCCATCGCCACGGCCGCGAGCGCATTATCATCATCATTCAGCGGCAGGAACACAAGCAGAAGTCTCCAGTACGCGAGGTAATCGTTGTCCGCGTCATCATCGGACAGCATCTCCAGCGCAATCTTGACGGCGCTGCGTACAATCTGTTTTGCGCGTTTCTTGTCCCCCGTAATAATATAGTACCGCGCGAGATACAGCTTCGCGGGGAGTATCACGTTGCTTTGCGACGTGGATGCAGAAGACGCTGAGCCGTCATCTGGTGTAATTGATGCAATACGGTCTAGGTACTCGCGTGCTGTTTCCGAGTCTGGCTTTGCGGCACGCGCGCGGGAGAGATATATCGGTGCGAGTTTCACGGTTAGAAAAGGGAGCACGTAGTCAATGTCCAAGAATGAGCGGGGGAGGTCTTCTTTTAGTGCTGTCTCCCAAAGGGCAACTGCGCGTTCCTCAACGTCGGGGCTGTCTTGCTGGAATATCTCGTTTGCGTAGTGGTAGCGGATGTAGTAGAGGCTCGTGTACGCTTCCATCTGTGTGGAAAGCTTGATGGCGTCTTCGTAGACGTCTTCGATGAAAGCGAATTGGCCCGTTTCGACCGCTGTTTGGAGGATGATATTGTGGAAAGTTTCTTCTGAGGCGAGGTCGACGAGCATTTTGGAAAGGTGGGATTTATTTTTCTGTGTGCTGGAGTTATGGTTAGAGGAGGCCTCTGCACCGGCCTGGATCGTTTTGAGCAACTCCAAGATATCACTCCATAGCCGCCTGTCGTAGTACTGCTCGATGATCGTCAAGATGCGTTTGAAGCCTGCATAATTGACCTTAACTGATTCCGTGAAGGACCCAATGGCCTGATCGAACTGCTCTGCGTTCCAATATCGCTGACCGCGGTCGAAGAGCATTTCTGCGTACGCTGAGACGTGGTTGCGCTCTGCCATCCATTTCTCGTCTGTGCCGAGTCTATTTATGATATCGTTCAGAATATTTATCGCTTCGCTGTTCGATGATACCACGTGCGCTAGGTAGTATGATGCCCGCCAATTGCTGGGATCTAGGGTTAGTGCGTGACGGCATCTGGTCTCAGCTTGGTGAAGGAAGTTGTAGTTGCGCAGGATGACAGCCACTTGGACTTGCCAGAGAGAGTCCTTTTTGTGGCCAAGTAGGGCAAATGACCAGTTTTCGATCTCGGTGATGTCTTCTAGGGTTGGTGTTTCGTCTTCAGCGCTTTCTTTAACAGCGGGGTTCTCCTGTTCATCGCTGCGGTTTATCTGTGACAGTTAGTTTATCTTCTTGATCGGACTACAAGGTATATATGGACTTACCTTCTTTAAAGCCCCAAAAATAAAAGAGAACGCATACACAGCCAACACCTGCCGCGTCTCTTCTCGTAACCAATGCACAACCATACGTTTCGCCAGCCTCTGCAGCAACTCCTTCTCCGGCTCTGAGCTCTCCGTGAGACTGCGCACCCAAGCCCTATCCCGCTCGTCAGAGACATCCGAAAGCGCCACCGACTCCTTCAGCCACCTTGCAACCTCCCTGACAGCCCCGTCCCCCTCAAACCACGCCTCCCTGGCCATCCAAGCAAAATCCCTTGCAGCCTCGGGATCATCCGTCCAAAGCAATGCATCAGTCGAGTCTTCATCCAGAAACAACTTGGCCAGAAGCGGACCAACCACTATTTTCCATTTCCGGTCGACAAGCGAGAGGTCCACGGCAGCCAGATGCTGGTGGAAGTAATTCACTGCATATGGGCGAATGATTTCTCGCCGCGCGTCTCGCTTCTCTGTCAGAACGCGGAGGCATGTTACGGCAAGCTTTGCTTCCGCTGTATCTTTGTCGTCGCGGTGAATGGTGCCGCTTGTATGGTGAAGTTTCTGGTCGAAAACGGTTTCGAAGTCGAACTTTTCGTAGAGGGTTGGTGGACATACGGTGCGGAGGAAGTGGCGGATGATATCAACTTCTTCCGGGAGTATCCTCTTCGTTGCTTGATCTGTTGGTGCCTGGCTCTGGTTTCCCTCAAGAATCAGGTCCACAATCTCGTATGACCGAAAGTCTACATCGCCGTCACTATCCACCTCGAACAGGGTATACTTGAGCTGCAACTTGGCCTCCAGCGTCAACAATGACAGTTCGCCGCTTTGCACGTACAGCACCGCAGCCATCTGCCTAGGCTTAAACCATTCCCGTCCATACAGAATCCAGAGAATGATCTCGTTAATCTCCGCAATCTCCTTTGCGTTGCGCACATTATTTAGCGACTCAATCTCCGCCTGGATCTGCTGCGATCGTTCCCTCCCCGCATTCTCCAGGACCTGGTCGATATCGTTCACGTAATCCAGATGGCTGATCCGTTTAAGAATCGTATTCACCCGGAAATAATCGCCACTCGTCTTATCACGCAAAGCAATGCGGATCTTCTTGCGGAGGTCTTTTACCCCGAAACGCTCCTTGTTCCGTAGGGCGTCGATCGAGTCCATGCGTGACTCGATGTACATGTCAATATCCGGCCGATTGCGCTCGCTGATGTGTATTGTCTTGAAGGCAATGTCCTTGTCAGCGGCTGATATCTGCTCAAATGCACGCGGTCGACCGGTCAGTAGAATGCGTATCTTGTGATGAGACCGCGCGCTAGATATAGCATTACCCAAAAATGGGACGAGTGCGTCTCCGACGACATCATTCAGTCCGTCAATGACAATGAAAAAGTTCGCGTCGATCGTCTGCCCAATATCTGCGTTCTCGAAGAGCAACTTGGCCGCGATCTCGTGCGGATCCATATCACGGTTCCTCTCGCAGATTCCTGCGACGGATTTCATGTAGGACATATCGGCCTGGACAAACTGCCAGATCAGCGACTTTGTGATCACGTCGATGTGGTTGGTCCTCTTGAGCTCCTCTTTAGAATCTCCTTCAACGAAGTAAAAAGCCAGCAGTGTCCGAGAATCCGACTCCGAATCTGGTGCAGTCGCAGTAGCAGCTGAGCTACGATTCCGGAGCCGTCGGATGATTGTTGAAGAGAGGTAGCTCTTTCCTGAGCCCTCTGTGCCCTCAATCGCCAGAATCAGTGGACTATCCTGGCTTCCACCCTCCCAGGCCTTGAACTCGTTCTCATCAAACACCCACTGCCCAGTCCCCGGCACAACACGTTTCCGGTAGTTGTAGTATACCCGCTGCCAGTAAGGATCAGGCTCCCTCTTCTCCTGATCGAGCTTATTTTCATCAAATGCAAGGGTGTCCAGAATCCTCTCCTTCCGTCGTCTCTTGTCACTTTCCTTCAATGAATCCGACCGATTCGCAATCAGCATATCGATTTTACTATTGACAGCCCGACTGATCGCCAGATTCTCTCTCGTACTGACGACCGCCTGTGCCGCGAAGCTGAATGTCTGCGCAGCGACGAGTCTTCCCTCCTCATCAACCAGTGATTTCATCTTCTCCAGTAAATCTGCGATATCATTATCGTTGAGAAACAGCAACTTCGTAAACACGCTTAGTTTTCTGCGCTTCGACCGCCGCAATTTGATGGTCCTGTCGCAGATCTCGACGAACAGCTGTAGATGCTGAACGGCGACTTTGGCGAGTTTTGCGTCCATGCCACCCTGGATGTGGTATTCCAGCCTTTGAAAGTACTGGGAGCATTTCTCGAGGAGAGTAGCTAGCGACTCAAAGACGCCTTGATAGTCTTGCCAGGCATGAATGACCATGGAGACGGCATTGAAGCAGAGTTCTGAGGGGGGGAAGGCCTGTAGAGTATCGTATTAGTCTGGCCTTTTCGAAAGTTAGTCAATTAAGACAACAAACGCACCTCGCCAGTTCCCCCCGCGACAAGCCCCCCGACGGTATCAATGAACTGGAGAGTCTTCTCGAAAGCCGAGCGGATGCTGCTGTCTTTCTTCGAGGATGCATCTTGGGTCTTTTCGAGGTAGGAGAGAACGTCTTCGATGGAGAGGTCGGCTTCAATCTTAGACGGGTCACCGCCAGCCAGCTGGACGACACGAGCCTGCACTTGGGCCCAGATGTCGCCGATTTCGCCTTTGAAGGTAGACGTCCGACGCTCCAAGGAGGGCGCTTTGGTGGAGGATGGGGAGATGGTCATGTTGCTTGAGCTACATTGAGGGGAAAGAGCAGTAAACTAGGAGGAAGGAAGGAAGAAGGAGAGAACAAGGCTGAGCTCGTGTGGGGGATCAGCGTTTGCGGCAGTGTTGGTCGTCCTGGGGCTCCAGTCTCGGGCGTCTGCAGCCAAGAGCTTAGCTCCATTTAGCCCTAACTAACAGCACTACACAGACACAAGTAGAGAAGGACAAGTAGTAGATCAGATAACTAGGCAAAAATTGAACGAGTGTAAATATCAGTCTGTAAACCAGTCGGGTATCATCAAGCATGGTCAGCGTCGAGCGTATGGATTCGCCATTCTTTCAACCCTTCCGGCAAGTTCGAGTGCCTTGGTGTCGGACAGCGCCTGAGTAGATGAGCGCGCGTGACACGCAATGCAGTCCGCCAGTTTGTTTCCTTCAACCCCCAAGTGACCTGGAGTCCACAAGATCTTGAGCTCGACGCCGAGCTGTCGCAGCGTGCGTGCGTTGCGCGCCGCTGCCGCCGCTGCCCTCGACATGCTGCCCCAGGTAGAGTTCGGATGTCCGGCCCTACCAGTGATATGCTTCGCAACCAGTCTCGCAGCGTGCTGGCAGTCACTGAGTACGATAATCTTTCTTCTATTTGTAGTTTGGCTCTTCAACATGTCGAGGGCCAGCTGCAGACCTTGTTCGATTGCACGCACCTCTGACTCCCGGGATCCCTCAACATCCGGTAGGCCGAATCCCAGAGTCACCCAGATATCTCCCTCATTGTAGACGACAGATGCACCCCCATCCATTCTGTAAGGCTGAGGAGGGGGCGAAGGTGAACTCGATGGAGAAATATCAGGAGAGGAGGGAGGCGAAGGCGTAGGGGTCCGGACGCCAGCCGAACCATCTACAAAGAGGACCAACTGCTCGTCTGAGCTTCTTGCTGTCTTTGCAAAATTGGCTGCAACTTCCGTCTTTTCAAATATGATGTCCGGATATTCGTCAGAGCTTTTCAAAATGACCTCGCGTTTCCCAAGAAGGCTGCCATTTCCGTTGCTGATAGCTTGACGTTGCTGGTTCTTCGACAGCCTCTTCCTCTTCTTAATTCTGTTTTGTCTGCCCTTCGGCAAGTTGCTGCGACTACTGTTGGTTTTATCCGAGTGGCCGCTTCTTCCGTTGTTACTCGGGCGTTGACTGAACTCGTTTGCGCCGCTCTCCCGAGCAGACACTTTCCCTCCCGCATTGAGTTGAGACGAAGTGTTAAGATCCATAACTGCGTATTAGTGCGAAGAAAAGAAGGCGCTATGTCTAGATAGTGAGCGATGGGGTGTTAGTTGACTTGACAGAATAGCCTTACGAGGCGGGTAACGCTGCCGAAGGAGATGGAGGTTCTAAGCCCAAATATAGTCAAAAGCCCAAACTAGGCAATATTATAGATAGATTCTCTGATAAAGATGAGCAGGTTTGTGTTGTAGATAATGTAGAGCGAATGAGAAAAGTGGTGAGTCGCAGAGGCACTGCTACTTCCATCATAAAACCCATGCGGAAGGTACGACTCATCGGCACCCAGACTCTGAATAACCTCCACGAAAGGTTCTTTTAAACCTTTCAGTAACTCTTCGATGCCATTGGCAGATAACCTCGCTGCCTCGTTCCCTGTTGGGGCCGAGATGAGCCAGTCTGGAACGCAGGGACCCTCTGGGGTGCAGGGCAAGATTTTCCGGGCCAAGAGACGGCGATTGACACAGCCTATTCATCGTCATCACAGTCATCTCTATTCATCACGGGTTGCCCGTGCCCCAACCGATCAACCTTTTCCCAGCTGCCCATGGATGGGCTCTGCAGCTGCAGAGAACTTCTCTTCCATGACCGCCCAACCGTTGCGTGTCCGGTGACCCGCGCGCTAGATAGGCAAAGAACAGTGATATCAGCGTAACCACTTGGTACAGTGGCTCCTTGTAGCAATATCTTGTTACCAAAGATGTCCCTGGAGCGATCGAAACATCTTGACCCGAAGGTTCGAGGAAGTAGACTAAAGCAAGTAAAGCAAATGCTGCATGCTCCAGTAACGAGCAAGAGCTTCACTTATATAGCCGGGCTTTGATGATGGATCAAAAGCAAAACACTCCGTCATGTCTGTAGGAGGGTTTGCGGTCGAGGTTTGTACGTAGTGTACAGCAACCCACTGCACCAAATGGAATGCTCAGAACATGTACAGGTCAGCCAATGTATTCCATCTTATAAGAACTTTGAAGCATTATCATGACTTCAACCTAACTCTTGACCCAAGTCTTAAACATGTTCATTGTTGATTTCGATACTGCGTAGGCGAATCGGTGCCTCAGGCCCGCCACTGTCAGCCTCGGCCAAGTTGCGCGGTATCATGCTTTGAAGAATAGATCGGATTTATCTCTCTGTGCTTCTGTAGATACAGTGAGCGTGGACAAAGATTGGATTCCTTGCGTTGGGCGAGTACCTGGCAGTTGGCTCTACATTGAGGCAGAGCAGATAGGCTTGCACTTTTATATGTTGCCATGCAATTGCGGCATACGTAATAGAGCGGCGTGCCACCATGCAGATGCTGCAAAAATTGCAATACCCTTGCGCACACTACAGTATATCCAGAGTTCATTACGTGAACCTCGGGGATACCGGGCAGTAGTGCAAGAGGTCCGAGAGGTCCGGAGTAGATTCCGTAAGAGCCCAGGAACCTGACGGGCTGGCCAGTCCATTCGACTGTTCCCAGAAAACCTAGTCCAGGGCTCAAAATAACAAAAGTAAGCCACTCTATGCAAGACGTCAAGATCGCACTAGCGGCACTGCCCCGCATTGCTAATTTCCAAGGATTGCTATAGTAAGCCCCCTAAGGCGTCGGCCCCAAATCGGCGCGAGCGAGAGTCGAGACCGAACCCCCGCCCGTTCTTAATCAGCGCTGGCCTTGGCGCCGAACGGGGTCGGTCGTGTTGTCATCACCACCTTCAGGAAAGCTGCTGGACAGTTCATGATTGGTTGCGTCGCGTTCGATGATGAGAGCGGGCCACGACGCGGCGGGATTTGGTCCTGCAGGAGTACCGTAGGCATGGGAGCGCCAAAGGTATATAAGGGTCCTCGGGGCGTGAGGAAGAGGGAGTGCTTCAACAAGAACAAACGCAATCTACTTCCCTTCACAAACACAGCTCAAAGCTACTCAACATGTCCAAGCTCCTGACCGTCTTCGGCGCAACCGGCAACCAAGGCCGCTCCGTCATCAACACCGTCCTCGCCGACCCCGTCCTCTCCAAGGAATACAAGATCCGCGGGATCACCCGTGATGTTTCTAAGCCCGATGCCAAAGCGCTAATCGACAAAGGTGTCGAGGTCGTGAGCGTATGTACCCTACCTACCCATCTCACCAAGAGTATCAAGCCCAACTAAACCCCACCCAGGCCGACACCTCCTCAATCGACTCCCTAGTCGCAGCCCTAAGCGGCTCAAGCACCGTCTTCCTCGTAACAAACCCCTCATTCGCCGAGAACTCCGACGCCGAGTTCCAGCAGGGCAAGAACATCGCCGACGCCGCGAAGCAGGCCGGCGTGCAGCACCTGGTTTTCTCGTCCCTGCTGAACGTTATCGAGTCAACCGGTGGGCATCTCAAGAACGTGCCGCACTTCGACCAGAAGGCCCAGGTCGAGCAGTATATTCGTGACCTGGGAATCCCTGCTACGTTTGTGCTGCCGGGCTACTTCATGTCGAATTATGTCTCCATGGGGTTGCTGAGGAAGGGCGAGGACGGCGTTTATACGCTTGCTTACCCTGTCAATGAGGGCTCGCAGTTTCCGCTTGTGGATATTGAGGCGGATTTCGGTAGGTCTCTCTTTATTTTTACCTTCAGGTCTCTCGTACGTCTATGGGTTAGGAACTAATATTCTGGTCACAGGCAAATACGTCGCTACGGCCCTCAAGAACCCCACAAAGTTACAGGGCGTTCAAATCCTGGCGGCAACAGACTACTACACGCCCACGCGGATCCTCAAAGAATTCGAGGAGGTGACGGGCCACAAGACCCGGTTTGTGCAGATCGACTACGAGACCTACAAGTCGTTTATGCCGGGCTATCTCGGTCTGGAGATGCTAGAAAACCACCTGTTTATCGAAGAGCCGGGGTACTTTCTTGGAAGGAGCTTGAAGGAGAGTCAAGCGCTTGTGGCCGATGCTGGGTTCAGGCTGACCACTTGGAAGGAGTTCATTGAGAGGCATAAGGGGCGTTTTGCGTAGATATTGAATCCTTGGGAAGTTGTTTCGCAGGGTCAGGAGGTTAGGATTACGGTAAATTGAAAAGAAAAAAGTGTATATCCCAGTGTTTCTCAATGTCATTTGTTTCTATTCAAAATGGGGTCATCTACTGAAAAGTCCCTGGTCCTAAACTACGGATATAGGCTCATTTTGGTTGTCAAAGTCATAATTCATTTTGCTAACGACCAAATCCAATGCATCATAGAGTATATATCTTGACAGTCTCGTGATTCTATTTCGCTTCTTGTGAAGCATCAAAGTCACCAAACTCATCCATATCATCCCCTCGGAGATGCTGCAAAGGTTTCTTGAAATGGACAAATCCGATGTTTGGGCTCGACAGTTCATAGCCCATAATCCTTTGCACCTCTGGCGACCAAGAAAGCACATCGGCGGTCGAATTGCAAAGATACGGGTTCTCCTCCTGGCGGTAGAAGCCCCGACAGAAGAAGAAGCCGTTGAGAATTCTGTGCTCGTCCTGGGTAATGTTCGCTCCTCCAGCATGGTATAGCCCTCCTAGCATCACCCAGCAATCCGTGACGTCCATCTCAGCACAAACTGCTTCTTCGACCTTGGGAACTCGGTCAGATCCCCAGACATGTGAGCTTGGAATGGCTAGGGTGGCGCCGTTTTCGAACGTGGTCTTGACGCCAGGAACCATAAAGTTCATCATAACGTCTGAACCAACTCGGTAGCCGGTCTTTGTTTGGTCTTCGTGGTCAACATGGAAGTTCTTGTCGTCCCGGTGAAGACGCTGGGCTTTTGCACCGGGGCCGATGTCAAAGGTCATGGCGATGGAGAGGATGGCTTCGCTGGTATATGTGTGTTTGGTCTCGCCATAATAATTGGAGGTGGTCTTGTCAATGAAGGTGCTTGTTATCTTGCGGATGAGAGGGTCGACAATCCATTTGTCCCGTACAGTCTTGCTTCTTCCCACGAGGTTTGTGCATCGTCGAGTTTCTGGAGGAAACAGGTCTCCCTGCAAACTGATTAGCGTCCACGGTCCATTATCCCTGAGTTTGGTGTTTCGACATACCTTCCACGGCTTATCTGCTTCGAGATATGGCCGGGTCTCTTCGTTGACTTTGTTGACTGTGTCCACGTCCGTGAAGTTCTTGATAATGCAACACCCATCTCGAATGATGGCCTGAATGATGGCCGACTCGTCTGAGCGGTCGATGCGCTGGACCTGTGGGAGTTCGATCGCCATTGTTGCGTGGACGTGTCTTGCTGTAGCTGTTGATTACCGACATGCTCCATTGCGATTCCTGGTTATATAGACGCGACTTCATCGTTGTCGTCTGTGACGGTATGCTCTATAGAGGAAGCTATCGCCTTATCGGAAGCGTTCCCCTCGGTCGTTTGGGCAGGTGGGGCCGTCGACTCCAACGCGCGAGCTGTCCTCCCGGCCCGGTCGTATCTTGCTAATTGCATCTTCGATCTCCCATGGGCCATGATGTTATCTGCTTCATTCCTGTTGGCCAACGAGTCATTGCAAGCACAAGTGACTTGTGCGGGGTTAAAACTCGATAGCCCCTAGCAGCTCTCTCCAGCCTCCGTAGGTATCAGCCCCTCGAGCCACCAACCTATCTCTATCCAATGACGATGAATAAGCTTGTCTGATACCCGGCACAATCATACACGACGTTTCACTTTGAGGTACTCTATATGCTCGATAACGGTACAGCTATCGTTGGCTTGGCTGACTCTACTCCAGGTAACCAGCGCCGTCGGATTCACAAACACTCTTCCAGAGAGACTCGAAAATGACGATGGCAATGCGGGGTCCAGGAAGCTCATGCCTCAACTGCCGCACAAGGAAGGTGCGATGTGACCGGGTGTCGCCGCAATGTTCGCAATGCAAGCAGAGGTCTCTGGAATGCTTGGTTCCTGAGGCTCCTCCACGCTTGCTTTGGCTTCCCATCAGAACCCAGGGAGATTTCAGCTTGGAGCAGGAGCAGTTCGAGCTAGATCTGCATGTCAGGCGGCAGCCTTTGTTCAAAGGTGGGTCGACCGTCAGGAGTCGAGGAAGATTGAAAGGGCCGCAGACTGATTTGCAATTCGTATTAGGGGGACAGCAAGCTCAGAATGCTGCGGATTTGCTTCAACTTACAGCCGGTGCATCTATTGGTGCGGTTTTAGAGCAACTTGACTATCAGGCAGAGGGACTCGCACACGGAATGGAGACCTCCAGTGGACCTTTCCATGCGTTTCGCTGCGAACATATCACAGCCGGATCGAGGTCGCCAACGCCGCACCCGGAACTTCCTGATCTTGAACTGTGGCGGCTGCTATCGAATAACCTCGACGATGTGCTTAATGAAGAGGACATTATCAATGCAGCATGGGCATCAGACCTCGGTATTCCAGACGAGCTACTTGTACCCAGTGAAGGTTTAGGAGAAGCCGATCATCATTTCCAACCTTCTCAACAAGAGCAGTATTCGACAGAACCAGCGATATCCGGGGCACTTCTAACATTCGGTCCGTCAGTTATGGCACCCCCAGATCTCGTAGACTTCACTATGTCTACCGCAAAATTCCTGCTGGACCATTATCAGAATATAACAACAACGCTCTATACCCCGGCTTCCGTCCAGTCAAAAACACCTTGGGAGGTTTGTTACGTGCCCAATGTTCTTAGCACGCTTGGTGAAATTGCTCTCACCGGAAACAGCAGCGACGCTAAAGTATCATTGTTGTTCGCTGTTTTCGCCATCAGCGCATTCAGACTGAATATTCTTGGTTCTCCTTGTCATCCTGGAACCGAAGACTGGCACACACTCGGGAACATGTACCGGCAAAGGGCCACTAAAAGACTACAGATGGCACTCCGGCATTTATCTACTGGGCTCCCCAAGAAAGAGAAGTACAAAAACATACTCATGCCCCTTTTGAGCATGGTAACGATTTGTGTAAGGGCAAACTGGAATCCTCATCGCGTCTCGCAGTATTAACGCATCAAACCAGGCTGTTAGCGGAGAAATGAAGAATGCGGCTCACTACCTGCGTGATATCGAACAAATCATCACACTCTATGGAATCCCCAAGCTACAGAAGTCGCGCAAAGTCCAGATGCTCCACAGTATATACGTCTACCTGCGGGTCCTAACAGAAGGCACACAAGTTCAGAACCAAAGCCTTCGTTTTGAAGCGAGCGAGAGCCTCGATCCTGACATAGAGTCGTGGTCAGGTTCAAATCAAACTACATGGGAAAATCTGCTGCAGGAGCTATCCAGCACTTATGATACACTGAAACCGGATGTCATGCAATGCCTGGCTCCTCCAAAGTCCACGTTCGAAGAGATATATTCGATCCCGGATTCGCTGTTCAAGCTGATACTGGAGACAACGCAACTGGCCAAGCAAGTAGAGCGACTCCGTCTTAAGAGACCGAAGAACATGGACTACGATGTATTTGCCGAAAGGGTGAAAGAGCTTGAAAACAGGATTTGCGAATGGGACTATTACTATAAGGAAACAACCTATCCGGCAGACCCTATAGGCACGCTGCCGCTGAAAGAACGATTTCCATACCACCTCACGCAAGCCATCTACACAGCTCTAATGATATATTTCTACCGCTCGGTCAGAGATGTCAATGTCATAACATTGCAGCCGTATGTTCAGCAGACCATTTATCATCTAACTGAATACGACAAACATAAAGAAAGACACAAAGATCGGTCCTCGGACATATGCTGGCCTGCGTTTGTAGCCGGGTGCGAGGCTACCACATCCCAGTCCAGACAGCAGATCGCCGAATGGCTAGAGAAGTCTACCAATTCCAATGGCATGCTCATGTTCAGAGTGGCTCTCAAAGCCATGCAAAAGGTCTGGGCCGCCCGAGCGACCCCGGGGAAACAAAACCTCTCTTGGAGTGTCGTCCTGAGTGAGTCGAGCGACATGAGAGTTTTGGTGCTTAGCTAGAACTTGCCGATCCTTGACAGCAAATCATAACGCTTTGTATCCATCATGGGAAATGGCGCTCTCGTATTGCAAGTACCCCTGGAACTCGGCGTACAAACTCTCCTGGTCGAATGTTAAGGGCAAGTGTGGCATTGGCTCAGGGGGACTTACAGCTTCGCTGGTGTTCTCGAAGGTGAACCTGGCAGCTTCATCATCAATATAGACCTTTTCACGGCCTGCAGCAGCAGCAGCATCTACCGCGAGTTGAATTTGGCAACTCTTTTCCATCAACAGAAACAGGTAGGCGGCTTCATCGACTGTAGTTCCCACAGTGAGCAGCCCGTGGTTCCTAAGGATCATACCCTTTCCTTCGCTACCGAGGGCACTCGCCAATGCTGCCGATTCTTCCTCCTTCAGCACGACACCACCAAACTCCCTATAGACGCTCTGGGCCTTGCCGTAGAACATTGCGACATCTTGGTTCAGCATTTCAAGGGGCTGCGCAAAGGCAGACCACGCCTTGCCGTAGGTGGAATGGAAGTGGCATGCAGCATTCACATCAGGCCGAGACTTGTGAAGCGCAGCATGGATGAGGAATCCAGCTGCGTTGGCTGGCCGTGTCATGTTTCCGCCTACTGCAACGCCTGCTTCATTGACAAGAATCATATCTGACGGGTTGATGAGGCCGAAATGCAGGCCGAGACTAGACAATTCATGTTAGCCGCATTGCTGAACATGGTCGTGACACGAATGATGGTTACGTACGGATTGGTCCAAAATCTGTCAGGAAACTCCGGATCCCGCAGTGAAATATGGCCTGCCATTCCTTCGACGAATCCATGTCTCGCAAACACTCTGAATGCTCCAGCCATGTGGTTGAGCATGTGCTGTCTTTGGAGCTCGACATTCGTGAACTTGGGTACCCCGGGCAGGGGCGTGCCCTGGGAGATCTTTTCCAGAGCTGTCTCTTTTTTGTTCTGCGTGGCATCTTGTGCAAGGACCTGACTATCGAACGAGGGCGCCATTTTGCTGTACGGTAGGGCTTATCGCGGGCAAATCGCTATCGGAATCTTGTTCTGCGACGGTCTATGACGGTGGGAAGGTCCAGAGGGTGTTGTTGTAGGGCAGCGAGAGAGTCCAATCTCGCTCCGTCTAGCATTTATCTCGGCATGGTCTGCTTGATGTTTAATGAGGAAGGCGATGCCGAACCGGTGAATCTAGCCACTCATATAACCATCGATATGCTCGTGTGGAGACCCCCATCTTTACAGGAGATAAGATATCTCAAGAAGCCCCTACTTGGCATCTAGGCCGCCCTGAGTTACCCCTGGCAGCATTCTGACGTTTGCACGGAGTCTCTCCAGCCACGATATCTATCACGGTTGCACAAATTTATATAAAATTCTCCGGCCGACCGTCTGTTGACGACCATGGATGCATATCATGCTCCACCAGTGAACCTCTCACCTCGGGTCAATCTTCCCCAAGCCGTTTTGCACCATCCCTCCCATCATGAGTGACGAGAAGAAGTCTCCAGGCGCTTCTCTTGAAGGGAAAACAAACCTAGAGCCGACGGTCAGTCTCGATGTAGGCCAGACCGAGAACCATGGGGACCTACACCGGTCCTTCAGCCCTAGACAGGTCCATGTGAGTATTGCTGATTTGGAAGCCGGGAAGCCATGCTGATAGAAACAGGTCATCTCGCTAGGCTCTAACATCGGAAGTGGACTGTTCATTGGTACGGGCAAGGCGTTGGCTAATGGAGGACCAGCAAACATGATTCTCGCGTACTTTATAGTCTGCGTCGGCGTCTGGGCTCATCTCCAAACATTTGCCGAGATGACTATTGCATTTCCAACGTCAGGAAGCTACATCGACTATGCTGACCGATGGGTTGACCCAGCTCTGGCTTTCGGCGCCGGTTTAGCTGAGTGGTTGGGTAAGGCTCACACACTCTTGCTCCGCTGGTAGCTAACAGTGATGGCTAGGGTGGACGGCCGTGTTTGCATCAGAGGGTACCTTTTTTGTCGTGCTTGTCGACTACTGGGCCGAGGGTGCTGTTCCAGAGGCCGCTATACGTATGTGCCCTTCCTCACAGGGGACGCTTTAACCCTAAGTTGACAACGGTCTAGTATCCATTTTCGTTGTGATATGCTTGGCGGTGTTTTTTATGCCAAACACCTACTTTGCCTGGCTCCAATATATTGGATCCATGGTCAAGGTATTTCTTTTCGTCTTCATTGTTATCATCGCCCTAGCCGTCATTGGGGGTGCAGGACCAAATGGTTCAGTCAAAGACGGCAGCACCTGGACGGACCTCCCAGCATTCAAGAATGGCTTCGGAGTAAGAATCTTTCGCTAGGTTCAAGGGTCATTAGGCTGATGCATTTCTAGGGTTTTGCTAGTGCAGCTCTTCTCGCTGTGTGGGCCGTCGGCGATCAGATCTACGTTGGCGTATTGGCCGGAGAGGCACGATCACCGCGATACTCCATGGCCCATGCAGCTAATGTGGTTCCATGGCGCGTGGGCGTCATGTATATGACCTTGGTGACCTTTATCTCGGTGATTGTGCCATCGTCGGATAGCCGACTACTCGGTGGCTCCGGCTCAGCTGCGTCTCCGTTTGTGATTGCTGTCAGCAACTCTGGCATCAGAGGTGTTCCCGACCTGATAAACGCCTGCATGATCATTGGGATCCTAGCCATAGCGCTGGAGTGCATCTATCTGCCCTCTCGCATCCTGAGAACCATGGCCCTACAAAAGCTCGTCCCATCGGTTATTGCAGATGTCGATGACAAGGGCCGGCCACGCTGGGCGCTGCTGATTACTGGCGTGGTCGGAGCTGTCTTGACATACATCAGTTTAGGCGGTGCGTGCTCTAACTCCTGTATACAACAGTGCATTCCTAACCAATAACAGGCAAGGGAATCGAGGTCCTCAATTGGTTCATTGCAATTACCAGCGCATCCCTATTCATCAACTTTGCCATAGTAGCATATACCAACTTCCGCTTCCGTGCAGCCGTCAAAGCACAGAACGCGACTTTCTTTACGGAGACATACAACTGGCAGTCGCCTTTTTGGCCGCTTACGCCCATCATGGTCTTCGTTATATCCGCGCTGCTCCTCGTCTGCCTTTTGTACAGCAGTATTAAGCCACTGGTGAGTCACGCATCTCCTCAATCTTCCTATAATCTTAGAGCCTGATCTCTCTCTAACTCCCTCAGGACGACGCTCCCTTCACGATATACAATTTCTTCTCCAACATCCTTGGCATCCTGGTCATCGTGGTGCCGACAGTCTTGTACAAAGTAATCCTGCGGACGAAATGGCGGGATCCGAAGACCGCGGATCTAGTGACTGGAAGGCGACAGTTAGTTGCAGAAGAGATCTTGCTCCTGGATGAGCATTATAGCCGACCGCTTTGGAGGAGGGTTGCGACATATGCGAAGCTTTGGTAGAGGTTTACTTGTCGAGGGGGTTGCTACTAGATATTAGAGCGGGTTGTATCCTGTGTACCTGATTGATTAGACTTTCCTGGATAGCTTCATAGAGTCCCGATCGGGTAGGCGCTACCGAGATGTTCCCGAGTCGCTATCTTATCGTTTCAACCCCGCCCCCGCATTTCCGATAACAAAGGGAAACTCGAACTTGGAAAAGACACCCTATCCGTGGCTGTTATTTCCTTAGAGCCATCTATTGCATTCGAACTTTATTGTATCTGACCGACAATGTCTGAGTTTCTGAAAACTTTGGCACAGTGGCAGTAAAATGGGGGCCGCTTCTCCAAGGATAATTTCCTACAGGAGTCTACGACATCTGGAAGTCCCCTCACTCACTATCTATTTCGATTGAGAGGGTCATCTGCGTCTTGCGGGCACTTGCCTACGCGTTGTCTCGACCGTTTCAGCTCTCAAGCCTCCAGTCCCAAATCTAATTCCAGGGCGCCTGACCCTGAAGATTCCCATCATCCCATTGGTGGTCAAGCCCGTGTCCCTGCGCCGTTGTACTTGTCCCCTGTCGAGCCCGTAGCGGTCTGGACAAGCACGAAGGGCACGGACACAGCCAGCGAGCAGGCAATACCGCTGAATCGCTGACTCCTAAACCCCGTGCGGTTATATTGTTTGTTGTTTCACCCTGAAAGTTTGACATCGAAGGTCACGAGGCCCCGGCTGTAGAGAATGCTACCTCGCCTCCAGACAAAGGAGGAAGCCTGACCCAGATAACTCAACGGTTGAGGATTGGACCTGAACTGGCCTGGCCGGCTGGAGACGGAACACGGAGGACGCCGACACACACGTTTTGTTGGAGACGACTCGAGTCGCGGCGCAGCGCAGCGCAGCGCAGTCCATGCTCCAGATCACCGCTCAAGCCTCATTGTCTGCCGATGCAATGCACTCGAATCACGCCGTCAGCGTCTTATTTGTCTTTGAACATTTTCTCCGCGGAGTCGAAGTCAGTCATTGTTGCAATCGCAAGAGCCCGCTGCTGGCGATCTGGGTGTCACAGCTTTGTAATGCGTCGAATTCGGAGTTGGGAAAACTCTTGCGCGGAGGCTGAGGTTTCGATCGAGTAATTATATCTCGGCACGAGTCCGGAGGCCCGATCACGGATGGCGGAGGCGGCCGATGGACCCATGGATAACATCGTTCAGCCAGGAGGCGAGTCGGAAGAACTCGTGGTCCGACTTCGGGGGCAAACGGCTCCGACCCCGAATAGGCAATGGTGAGGGTATCCCCAGGGGAATGGTTTCTTCGACATCCTTCGCGAAGATTGGAAATCGCCACGAGCCAGGACCCAGATTTCAGTGCGCCGAGAAAATTCCACGTCAAGCCCACGAATGTATGAACTGGCAGGGGCAAACGTTAACGATGACCGCAAAAACGAGGCAGAGCCCGCTGGTTCGGTGGAACCGCGTTGGGTCCCGAGGGAAGAAGTTTTGCAGTTTCCGTTACTCGATGGAATATGGGTCTGGCTGCAAGTGGCAGTCAAGCCCCTTTATCGTGCTATATAAAGACACAAGGCCTTATCTCGAGTTATCAGCGACAGACAGCGCCTCCCTGCTTGGCTCTTATCTTCCTACTTTCGTTATCTTTTATCTGTGCTATCTCCAGCCAGATCCTCCCATCGTTTCTCTCTTCCACGTATTCTTACTTTTTCCGCTAGTACTCCCCTTGGCCGGGGTCAATTCCTCTCTTTATACCTCTTTGTCTTGAAGTTCATTGTTCAAAATGGACGCCGAGATCCCGTCCATCGCCGTCTTTACCTCCTCGCGAGCCGTCATCGGCGGCCGTCTGACCTCCGCCACCATTGTTGTCTCGCGCACCACTGGCAAGGTCACCGCCGTCTTTGACTCGGTGATCCCCGCCTCCGACTTCCCTGATGGCACTCCCTACACGGACTTCTCCCCGTATGTCCTGCTCCCCGGCCTGGTAGACGCTCATGTCCACCTCAATGAGCCCGGCCGCACCGAATGGGAGGGCTTCTATACCGGCACCCAGGCCGCAGCCTTTGGCGGTGTCACCACCGTTATCGACATGCCCCTCAATGCCATTCCTCCCACGACAACCGTAGAGAACCTCAAGACCAAGCTCAAGGCTGCCGAGGGCAAGTGCTGGGTTGATGTCGGCTTCTATGGCGGCATCATCCCCGGCAATGAGGGCGAGCTCAAGGCCCTAGTCCGCGAGGGCGTTTGCGGCTTTAAAGGATTCCTTATCGACAGCGGGGTAAGCATCCTTCCTTCTCTTATCTGATATGTAAGATTATACTCACATGCCACCAGGTTGACGAATTCCCCGCCGTCTCCTCGGAAGACGTCCGCAAGGCCATGATCGAACTGGCCGATGAGCCCACCACTCTCATGTTCCACGCCGAGATGGTGCCTCACAAGTCATCATCTGAGCTTCCCGATGTTATGCCCGAGGGCAACCCGGAGGCATACTCAACCTTCCTGGCCTCGCGCCCCTCAGACTATGAGACCTGCGCCATAGAGGAGATCCTCTCCCTATCTCACCTAGCCCCTAAGCTCCCTCTGCACATCGTCCACCTCTCCGCCATGGAAGCCATCCCTCTCCTGCGCAAGGCCCGCGCGGAGGGCATCCCCATCACAGCCGAAACCTGCTACCACTACCTCTCCCTGGCCGCCGAGGAGATCCGCGACGGCGACACCCGCCACAAGTGCTGCCCGCCCATCCGCTCCAAGTCCAACCAGGATGCCCTCTGGGCCGAACTCGACCGCCACGCCGACGACGGCGTCATCAAGACCATCGTCTCCGACCACTCCCCCTGCACGCCAAACCTCAAGCTTCTACCCTCCCACATCCCTGGCCACTGCAGCCCCAGCTCTTCATCCGACCCCGCGACTCCCGTCGTCAACGAGGGCAGCTTCCTCTCCGCCTGGGGCGGTATCTCTTCCGTCGGCCTAGGCCTCCCCATCCTTTGGACTGAAGTCTCCCGCCGTAAGGGCCTTACTTCATCACCAGACGACACAACGACCAAGCAAGCCCTCCAGGACATCGTGCGCCTCTGCTGCGCAAACACCGCTGCCCAGGTTGGCCTTGACAAGTCTAAGGGTGATCTCGTTCCCGGGTTCGACGCGGATTTCTGTGTCTTCGACGACACGGCCGAGTGGGTCGTTGAGCCGAGCACCATGCTCTTCCGTAACAAGTGCTCGCCGTACCAGGGGCGCACTATGCGCGGCATGGTCCGGGAGACCTGGCTGCGCGGTGAGAAGATCTTCAACCGTGCCGATGGGTTCACCGTCAAGGCGCCCTCCGGATCGCTGTTGCTGGAGAAGAGGGCCTGATCGCCTTCTTTTTTTTTCCCGTCCTCTTGCACATACACCTACCTCACGCACCTACATACCTCCTATCCTCTTTCTCTTCTCATGACTATCCCTGCATCGCATGCGCCTTGTCGTGACTCTTTCAAATGCGCCCGGCCATGCCATTGCGGAACCAAGTCGAGCTGATTCAATTCATACATCGACGGCGAAAGACCTATGATACCCACGCACCTCGCCTATACATACCTCTTATACATACCCACTGATGACCACAGCATTATCACGTCATGCATTACACTAGCGAGTGTAGACCTTTACGTTGAGCTTTAGCTTTGTTTCTTTCGCGATAGAGAGAATACCATCATCCTGTTCGGTTTTTCAGTTGATTCCATTTCATCTTTTGCGAGTTGTAGAATTGCAGTGTCCATTTTCGTCATGGCGATATATTCCATCATTGTCATTGTAGGTATCGTACATTCTGTTCTGTTCGTCCAGGGACAAAACGGAACTAGATGGTATAAGTCTAGTCAATGGGCTTGAATTAGAACTTACTGTCATCCACCGCGATCCTGACCCTCTTCCTTGTCTTTTGCCGTCTCCTCCCACTTCTCGCGTACTCGCCTCCGTAACCCACCATTTGGGCCTCGCCCCCAAATAACCTCCTTATCCTCTCCATCAACCTTGACTTCCGTGCCTTCACGAAGCTCATTGTTGCGACCTCTTACCTCCTCACTCCCAATAACAACCTTCTTCTCCTTCCGTTTCCCCTCTTTCCCTCTCGCACTCTCAATCTTCCCCAGGTAGATTGCGTAGATCAGCACCTCCGCGACACCAACCGCCAGCGCCGCAAACAGCGAAAGCAGGACACGGACTGGTTCTGATGCACCTAGGCCACCACCAGTACTCCCGCGCACAGAGGCCGAAGACCAGCTCGCCGAGATCCTGGCCGTCAGCATCTCCGGCGTCGCAAAGCTCGTCAGCGCCCAGTACACACTGAAGCCCGTGATTACGACGGAGAGGAAGATGTTCAGGACGAGGGAGGGCGTAAGCGGGTCCGTGTAGTTCGGGTCTTCGGCGGAGGGATCATTGTGGCTATCGTGTAGGGCGGCGAGTTTGGAGTTTGCGCTGTTGAATGAAGGGTCTGGGGATGTTACGGTGGGTGGTGAGAGCATGCGGGTGTATTCGTCTGCTTCGGCGGCAGCGAGGAGGCGCGCTTTGAGCGCTAGGTACTCGGGGCTCTGTACCACGTATTAGTTAGTGAATTGGTCGTTGGAAAGCACGGGGGACGTACAGGTTCCGGTTTCGGTGGGGGCGGAGGGATGTATAGCTTCGTTCCGCGGAGGAGGGCGTCGAGACTTCGGTCGACGCTGTCATCGTTTTGCCCATCGCCATCGGTTTCTTTAGAGTTCCGATGCTCTCGAAAATAGCGGGATATGCGGATTATCTGGTCGTGTGATACGGGATTCCCTGGCGTGAGGGCTTCTGGAGGTGGGAGTTTGAGCTCTTCGCGGGTGGATGGAGGGATTGCCTCGAGGGCGGAGAGGATGGTAGGTGTTGTGGTGAGGCGGACCATTGTGTTGGTATGGTAGTTTATCAGCTCCTTATTTCCATGAGATGGTCGCTGTGTACCACTGAGCAGATGGAGATAAATGATGTAGATTGAATAGCGCGAAGCTCGATCCCAAGGGTTTACTCCGTAGAAGGCAGAAATCCACCTTTCCCGAAAAGGCAATCAACTCCCCCACTCCACTCCAGTCACTTTTCTTGCACTTCATCATCGAACCCCAATCCCTCACTCTCTGTCCCTATCACAAATACCACACAGCAACAATGGCAGACAAGAAAGTCGCAGAGTACGCCTCCGCCAACTACCCCAAACCCACCTCACCACCGTGTTAACATCGTAACCACAGCCCAACACAAACAAACCCGCGGGGCATCCCCTTCGCCCCCTTCGTCGACAATGTCTCGGACTACGTCTCCTCCCGCGCAGACGTCGAACCCACAATGCGCTCGTTCCAGGAAATGATCTCAAAGTACCAATTCATGGAAGTCAACACCACGCGGCGCGCCGCCGGACTGCGCGAGAAGATCCCCGATATCAAGAAGACGCTGGAGATGGTGACGTTCCTGAAGGCGCGGAAAGAGAGCTCGTCGGCGACGCCGCTCGAGACGAACTTCGAGCTCAACGATACGCTGTATGCGCGGGCGACGGTCGACCCGAAGGACACGGAGGAGGTATATCTCTGGCTCGGAGCGAATGTGATGCTGGCGTACCCGATTGCGGAGGCGGAGGTTATGTTGAAGGATAAGCTGACTGCGGCGGAGACGAGCCTGGCGCACTGTGATGAGGACTTGGAGTTTTTGAGGGAGCAGATTACGGTTTGTGCTGTCTTTTCTTTTGGAGCTTGTTGGTGAGGCAGGAACACTTTGGCTAATTTCGTCTTCTTTTTGACAGACGCTGGAGGTTGCTACGGCTCGTGTGTATAACTGGGACGTGGTGCAGAGGCGGAAAGAGAAGGCTGAGGGCAAGGATGAGGCCTCATAAATAGGGTAAGAAGTAATGCGAAGACTGGACCAAAAGCAAGAGGTCGCGGCGCTGGGTTAAGTAGCTGGCTACTGACCTCCGATGTATGCTGTCGTATCTTTCTGATTGTTCTGAACTATCCATGTATATAGGCGCGGATTGCATCCACATGACTGGATACACTCGCCTCGCGTCTCTGGCAGCCCAGAGATCAGAGAATAAAGTATGCCAAGACAGACTATGCCATCGAACTGTATCATGGATTCGCGGTATCTTTTGCTATCATGTCGAAGCAGGCAATCGAAGAAAAGATACGGTAGAGACCAGAAGAAGCCAATATCATAGACATAGAGGTGTGTATCATTACCCAACCAGTTTAACTCCGTCGTTTATTATGCCCGGCATTAATAGTAAATATCGATCTAGATGCTTCAAGCCAGATCAGGTGTATCACAAGCATACTAACTGCAGAATCCCAAATGTGCACGAGAGTCGGGTGAGCATCTATAGATAAACACGCGAGATGCCATAGTAAATGCCAACGGACCACAAATCAAACATGATGATGAAAAAGAGAAGTGAGAAAAAAAGGGGGGAAATAGAACCGTGTCCCACAATTGAAGCATTGCTAGACCGCAAAGTAATTACCGTATCATCAGTCATAAACCGCGGAGGCTCTGCCTCTACTTAAGAATCTGCAAAATTCGTCCTACTGCCCAAAACGAATCGTTCAGGCAGATTGTCCGCGCCTGATACCGCTCTGTCTCGTGCGCGCCTCGAATACTCCAGATCGGACTCGTCACCGACAAATGTCCAATCCTCGATATCAGCAATGTCGTCATCCGGATTCTGATCGTCGGATGTCTTCGCCGAAGGGGTCGGGGAGAACGGAGTGGCTGATATACTTAAGCGCTGCCGGGTTAGGGTTGTGGCGTATTCGAGGTCTCGATAGATGGCTTGAATAGCTGTTGCCACACCATCCTCCTGCTATCTGTTAGAACGTGCTTATTGCTTTTATGGGTTGAACTTACACTCCGTATCCGCTCCCCAAGCTGCTTTGCCCGTACAATCATACGCTCATCATGAGTAGCCGTCCAGAGTGCACGCGAGAACACGCTGACATTTAGCTTCTTCATGCATACGCCAACCCCCAAATCCTCGACTCGGTTACCAAAAAAGAATTGGTCACCAAAGAACGGTTTGATGATGGTGGGCACGCCTGCACGAAGGCTGGCTCCTGTGGTTCCCGCGCCACCGTGATGAGCAGCGGCATCAATCTGCGAGAAGAGCCAGTCGTGAGGAGCAGACTGGATTTGGTGGATCTCCGGTGGCAGCGGAATCTCTACCTGCGTGCTGGTTGGATCTCCAAGACGGGCTGACCATCCCTTGGAAAGGATGCAGCGCACGTCGGCTTTCTGCACTGACTCAACGACGGTTCGTGTCAAAGCTGACGGGTCTGAAACAACAATCGATCCGAAACCTATATATACGATCTTCTTCCCGTCTTGTCTCGCCCGCTGAATGAATTCGGCTAGCTCTTTCGGAGGTGTCCAGTCAGTGCTTTCACTAAGGAACCAATACCCCGTGATACGAACCCAATCAGGAAAGTCCAACGGTGGGGGCACGACCGAGGGTGAGAAGTTGTATAGGAATGGGACCTTGTTGGGCTGCATTTTGTCAAGGTTGGTAGCCTTGAGCCCTAGCTCGTTCATTCTCCAGCGGTTCACCTGCCCAGAGATAGCCCGCCAGAAGACGTTCTCGAACATCACATAGGTAATGTAGTTATATGCGCCGCCCAGTCTCGATTCAGGTACCGCGAACGCATGAGGGTATGCTCGTGTTCTCGACCAAGGCATCGTGAAGCCACGGAAGTAGGGAATCCTGAGTGCCTCCGCAACATGGATGCCGGCCATCGCACTTGGCGATTCAATAAGAAGGTCGCTACCCTGGCAGGCTCTCCAGGCAGACGACAGCAGGTCATCTATCCAACCTCGAAACTTTGCGGTGGCCTCTTTGAGGAAAGAGTAAGTGAACATTCCATTCTCTACGCAAAGGCGCATCAGTTCAGCTGGATCACCATCGACGGGGGCGAAATCGATCCCATGCTTTCGGACCCAAGGTTCAAACTCTGCATGGGTCGCGATCTTCGGCTTATGGCCCTCTGCAAGAAGGCCTTTGCATAAGGCGATATATGGTTGTACATCACCTCGTGAACCGATGGTGAGACACGTAATCCTCAACGGTTCGGTGGGCTTAAAGTTGACAATGGAAGCACGCGGGTCATCGAATATAGAATGAAGCTCTGACGACTCGCCGAGTCCGGGGCGGAGGTCATGTTCGGCTGAAGCATTCTGACGGGCTTCCTGTAACATGCGATGTTCCATTTTCGCGGCCTCGGCAACATCATTCTCCTGTTGTGATAATGACGCCGATTCAGCTAGGAACTTGGCTGATTCCAGTCTCTGATGTAGGGTAACGGCACAGTCGTCACGAGCGTCCGCCGCATTGAATTCAAAGAATAGCTCCTCATGGCCACGGATAACAACAACAAGTCCATGATACCCGAACTGGAATCCCTTTTCTTTCTCCACATTTTCAATATCACGCAGTGGGAGTATCATCTTCGTCCGGGTGCCGATAAGCAAGCTACGAAAGCAAAGCCTGTTTTGGCTGATATAGATCTTGCCGTAGAGCGGAAGTGCACGGTGCAGATATGCGAAGTAGGCTGCCTCGAGCTTCTCTGTTGGCGGTAAAGCAAAATGAGTGCGGAAGCGCTCCGCGTCTCTCATGCTTTCCTCGGCGGTTTCAGGATACAATGCGCGATCGTCGGGAAGAAGACCGTCTGTAGTGCCATAGTGCCTTCTACCGCCAGCCCACATCCCTGACACCTTTTCGATATAACCCATTGACTCGGTCGCCAGGAGACTACTCATTTCCTTAGATCGAGTCTTCAAGTATCCTGCGATACCGGCTGCGCGTTTAAGAGGATACGTCCCAGCTCTCACAAGGTCGTTTAAGTCAACCGCCGAATACAGTCTGGAGGCATCTTTGGAGTCTTGCTCAGAGTCGCTACCAGCATACTGCATTTCAGGCCCTTCTCGTGCAATAGATAGCCCATCAAGGGCATGTTCTGTGATTGACCTAACCATTTCATCCGAGTGGCGGCGGTTAGGCTCAGCCGCACCGGAAGTCCGCTGTTGCCAATTGTGTATTGTAGGTGATTGAAAGACGTCGCTCCGATTAAGTATTTGACTTGCGGACTCCGTTGTGTCCGTCATTGATTGCAGCACCGCCGACGACTCAGTAACCTGGTCTATGGAGTTGAAGAAGGAGCTGGACGAATCTTCTTGTCTCCGCGGTGACATTTCGATTCCGGTGTCAGAGCCCAAAATACTAGTGCTCGCACTTCGTCGACGCCGTGTAGAAGACCCTTGAGGCTTGCTTCCACTGGTCATGGACCACCTGTTCTGAGAGCCACGAGGCCTTCTGGACTGAGCTGCGCCATCCGGTATGGGCGATGGGCTTGGAGTACTCTTCGTAGGGGTGCCGCGGATGAGACCTCTCAGAAGATCAAACGCTCTGCGGCCCGAGTCGGAATCAAAGAATGTGAAATAATGCTGCGTGTGTAATTAGCAAGGCACAAGGCACAAGATCGATTAAGCGTAGTAGCATACCTCATCAATCGCATAAGTTTCCTCGCTCTCAACGACGCGGATCTTGAACGTTTGAGCGAACTCAACCATCGGGCTCTCTTCTACGTCCAGAATGTTCTCAACCGGAAACGATACTTTGATGCTTTCGCCCTCGTTGTGCGTCCGGAAAATGACCTTCTGTAAAGCTCTGACCCATTCCTTCGCATTGACCGAGCTGTCAGCCCTAAAGTAGTACGTTCGATGGTCGGTTGTAACCTGGAAGTCCCTCGACTCGCGTCCCTTCTCCTTGGATTCGGCAAGAGACGCAGAGATGCCATACCGAAGATCGATTTGGCCGCTGGGGAAATAAAGATTCGATGGATCGGCGTAGTATGAGAGAACATCTTCTTTCAATGAGAACCAATACCGGTTGTATTTTGGGCTTTTTCGACCACGCTTATGGATATAGCCGGATTTGATGACCTTCGTGGATTGTCTAGGAAGATAGGCGTAAAAGCAGATGTGCCCTTCGGTCACGTACATGTAACCCTGCAAAAGCATGTTCTGCAACAGGGAGCATGCATACTCAACAACCACCTTTTCGGGCGCAGTAAAACCAAACATTTCCATCAATTGAACAGAGAGCGGGGACACCTGGGATTGTTGTTGGGAGGTGCTGTCATTATTCTCCTTCAGTGAAGCTTGCGGTCTTTCCGCTGGGTTCTGAACTTCCAGAAGGGCCCGAGCCTCAACCATGCGGCTCAATATGGGAACAGCTCGAGGAGTTGCGCTGCGCGGCCGCGGAAGATCCGGGAAAGGTGATAGCCTGTCACCCGTCGACGGTTCAGGGCACGGGCTTGAATCGTAACTCTGGTCTTGATTTATTGATCCCGACTTGAATGGCCGAAATAACTTAGGGTCCGATATTGATCGCCGATGGCGACGGCCTCTCTCTTTTGAGCTACTTCTGGTTTCAGGAGCTGACGGGACATGCAGAGTGCCATCCGCTTCTGGCGGCGCAGTATTTGCCGGGTCCGATGTCTGCGCAGATGGTCTCTTGATCTTTGTTCTTGTCTCCTCTTCCTCGCTGTCACTAGAGTCATCGAAGCGCGCACGGGGATCGGTTCGGCTGCCAACGGCGGCTATCAGGGACAGTACCGATTGCTGCATGTACTGCATGCCGTCCCGAGAATTGTTGCTACTGGGAGGAGCGGTATAGTCCATCTGGGCATCGTCCTCATTTTTCAGACGGTCCGGAAAGGAGCTTGAGAACATGCGTCTTGAGGATATTGACTGTCTGCTTGTGCTCAGTCTCCGCTCTGCCCGCCGCTTCGCATCCTCTATGAATGGCCGCATATTTGCTGTCTAGCGGTAGGCGAAGATGTAGTAAGAATGGAATGAGGCTAGAAGGTCGTGAACTGTTGATGTGGGTGGAATGGGAGCGCTGGGCAGGTGACTAGTACCTCCGAACAATGTACCGCGGTATAGAGCGATCGCTGATCACGGTGAGGGCGCGGGAATATTAACGAGTAAATCAGGTTAAACTGTATAGACAGCCATTTAATCAATATCAAGCCAACACGGTGATAATCTGACAAAGAACAAAAAAAAAGTCCAAGAAAGGGAGAGCTACCCACTATTCATTCCATGAACCGATAAGGACTAGAAAGAGTGTTTCTGAAACGGAATCTCCAGAGCCGTCAAAACAGCACAGAACGAGATTCTCGACTCATCCTGAGAGGAAGAGGAGGTAATGACAAGGTCTTGAGAATGACAAGACGTTGAGAGGCGCGAGTGATGCAAGTCGATCTAGGCGAAGGACTGTAAGTAAATTGGCGTCACTTGTGACTATCAGCTGGCCCGAGCACGGCCAATCAGGAATGCTGCAAGTGACTCTGATCGGCTTCCGCACAGATATCGTGCTTATGTCACCGGGATCTTGAGTCACGCAAGAACGTGGATGGTATGGATGCTTGATTGCGTAGGAAATCTGGGTAAATGTCGTCGTTTTGTCTTCTGGATGCCCAAGGGTACTCCGGAGTCCGGGAACGACGAGGAGGCAGTGGTCGCAGATCATGGAGCCACTAACTTCATTAGGCTAGGCGATTTGCTGTCTCCAGGTTACTGTCTGGCCCTGGCGCCTGATATTAGGGTCCACTTTCCAACTCCTCGCCTCATACAGATATAATTGAGTCTAACATTTTGCAGGGTCTAGATTGATTCAACCAGCCCTCTCAAGTATAGGAGTCCTCGTAACGGTATTTGCTCACTTAGGCGGGTTTGGGATGGACCATGATCGAGTCCATGTCAATAGCCAAGCAATACGGACTATGCTTCTCGATCATCTTGTGGTAGATGTTGTGTTGCACGCACCGGCAGCTGTTCCGATCCTGGTAGTGCCAGAGCTATTGGATCCAGCGGACGTTAATGGACGGCATATAGTTTGTGGATTGAGCGATTATACCACACGGAGTCATCCTAGCTTTCTGTAAGGTGAGCTCTTCGAGCCAGGCGTAGTTCGGTCATGCCCTTGTATAAACATTGTGTACAAGTTATTGCGCACTTATTAATGTCATGAGGCGTAGGTACAAAGAAAATAATCTATCGCTAAGCTTTTAAGAACCCATTTATTCAACAATCCCTAACCGATCGATCAAGCCTTCTCCTTCTTTCGCTTCTTCCCATCCCGATCCTTGCTCTTCTTACTCTTCTCTTCGCCAGCTTCACCATCGCCAGAAGAATGCTTCTTAGACTTCTTCCTGGGCAATCCGGCGGCCTGTGTATCATCCCCCTCCGTCTGCAGATGCTTCCTCTTCCTCTCCTTCTCCTTCTCAATTGCCTGCGGCTTCAAAGTAGGCTCCTCCCCTTCCGACTCCTCAGAGCTTGACCCCAATGTCTCCGGCGGAGCATAACCGCTCCCCACAGGTCGGAAGCGCATCTTCAGATGCTTGGGTTGCTTTCTTGGCGGCTTCTCCAGAGCCTTTGCGGATTTGAGGCTCGCTTCTTCGAGTTCTGCGCCGCCGGGAAGTTCAATCATCTCCTGGATACGGTAGGTAGGAACGTTCGTTACGGTGCCGTGATATGTTTGCGCCTTAGCGTCGTAGAGGAAGAGCGTCTGCCCGCTGGCACCTGCTTGGGCGTGCGCCAGACTATCGGCGGGAATCCCGAAGTTCTTTCCTCCATGCTTCAAAATCGGCTCACCCTTGAGGGCTCCAGCTAACGAAACCTCCTTGATCTTTGACAGCGGGAGGAAGGCAGGCGCAGTGATGTGGAAAATTTGCTTTCCGGCTAGGTTCGACAGGGTGGAAGTTGTAGTGGAAGAGACGGGCTGGTTTTTGGCGGACTTGAAGCCGAAAGGTGGTTTGTATTGCTGCGAGGCGCCGAAAGTGCGTGCTTTTGAAGGTCTGAAGACAAATTAGCATTGCGAGATCTGACAGAGACGGCACGAAGAACGATGCTCACTTTTTGGCTGACTGTCCATTCTGCTTCTTGGACTTATCATCGGAAGACACCGTGCTTTCATTATCAGAGCTGTCGGATTGCTCTGAACTAGAACTGGAAGACTTCTCGGCTCTGGAACTTGACTCGGCAGATGAACTTGATTCGCTTTCTGACCTCGTTTCGCGAGCCTTCTTTGGCTCTTTTACTGACTTTGCGGCCATACTGCTGGGCCGGAGGTGCTCAAGTTTGTCGGAATATCGATGCGCAACCGGCGGTCGGATCTGCTGCTTGATATCTGATGCTTTGCAGCTAAACTTACGAAATATTGGAATCGATTGCGTCCAGGTAAATCGAAGACAACCAACGTCTATAAACCTGTAGTTCGTGAGTAGCGTTGCGACAGGCCGAGTCGAAGTTTGAGCGACGGGAACTTTTTTTTGCTCCGCAGAGCACGGACCACCACCGAACTCCGCAGGAAATTATGCTGCTCGAATTTATCGCATTTCGCAAACAGTACCATTATCTAAAATTTTGGATTCTAACGGCTTGAATCATGACGAAGAGAAAGGCTGAAAAACAGGCAGCAATAGCAGGTACGCGCTCCGTCTCATGGCTCTCTAGCGACGCCGCAGAGACTTACAATGATTGTCTAGCTCCGATCAGTGCCTTTGCCGCGCGCAAAGCTCGATTGCAGCAAACACAGACGCAGACGGTCGTGACGACAGAGACCACTACTCATACAGAGCCCGCCGGAGAGCCGCCGTCCAAAAAGCCGCGACGCTCACTGGAAGAATCCCAGGCGCAGTCGACCCCGAAAGAAGATGCGAAGCGGACTACAAAGCGGGGGACCGTGAAGGTTGAGAAGACGCAGAGGGCTGATAATGGAACTGCGGCCCGGGAGACTCGCAGAAAGAAGGTAGAAGTTGAGGTCGAGCAGCGTGAAACCGAGGCTTCGTCCAGTGAGGAGTCGGAAGGGGAGGATGCGGTTGAGGAGAATGCGGCCGGTGTAATCGCTGTGCCTGCAGCTGAGGATGGGTATTATCCCGGCTATCTTATAATCCACCGTATTTTGGAGTCCAACTGACGAATATAGCTGTGAGTTCCCTGCCGACAATACCATGACGGTGGAGTTTCCTCTTTCCAAGATGCGATTGAACAAGAGCAATATCGTCTACAGCGATGAAGATACCCTTTGCGTGCGCATCCGGGAAAAGCTGGTAAGTTTGTCAACGGCTTCGAGAATACGGACTGTGCTGATGTTCCATAGAGTATAGTGTTGATCGGGCATTACGATCTCTGGGTGAAACGGGGTGTTGTGAGCTTGATGGGTGCGAAATTGCACCCTTCGCCTCGAGTCTACCGGGTCTACGCTCCTTCAACGCATTCGCTCCCTGTTATCAAATGCGTCACCGGAGTGGATGGGGGCGCGGAGGTCGAATTCAAGTCGTGCCACAGCGGCATTACCCGTCTAAGGGATCTATCACCTCTTTACCAGCGGGTATGGAATAGCGGGAACACGCCGGCGGACAAGCTCAGTTTGAAAATGGCTGGACAGGATGCGAGGAGAACGTTCTCTGTTGTGAGTACACCTCTTTCGCATGATAAGCGCATAATGTCTAACAAGTTCAGCTTCATACATCCGCCGACGACTCCCTAAAGCGCCATCTCCGCCCTCTCCACCTCGAAAAGCAATGGAGCGCCGCCATCAAAGTCCTCTCGCAACGCGCCGGCCGCCTCCAAGTTCTCGTCTGCGGCCCCAAGGCCTCCGGAAAATCGACCTTCGGCCGCTATCTCCTAAACCACCTCCTCAGTCCCGCACCGCAAACCGAAACAAACTACGCCAACACCGACGGCGTCGCCTTCCTAGACCTCGATCCGGGCCAGCCTGAATTTATGCCAATGGGCCAAGTCTACCTTGCTCACCTCCGCTCCCCTGTTTTCGGACCCCCATTCACACATCCTTCGTTAAACAACGAGCGCGAGGGATCTATCATCCGCGCCCACCATATCGGCGCAACCTCACCGAAAGAAGACCCGGATCACTACGTGCTCGCCGCCACAAACCTCATGGAGCAGTACCGCGCCCTGCTAGCAACATACCCGCAATGCCCTCTGATCATCAATTACCCCGGCTGGATCTTCGGTACCGGCCTTGAAGTCGCAACATACCTGATCCGGTCACTGGGTCTATCAGACGTCGTGTATATGAGCGAGAAGGGTCCCATGGAGGTTGTTGAGCCTCTAAGCCAGGCAGCAAGCGCGTCCAGGACCCCGCTGACAATCCTCCCCTCCCAGCCCACGGAATTCGTGAGCAGATCGAGCGCCCAGCTCCGCTCAATGCAGATGCAGTCGTATTTCCACATGGCGCAGCCAAAGGGCGTCAGTCACCCTATGTGGGCTGAGAAACCGGTCTTCAAGAACCGCCCCTTCCGTGTCCGGTATGCGGGCGAGAACCGCGGTGTGCATGGGGTCATGACGCTTGGCTCGCAGATTAGCCCGGAGTTGCTCTGTGAGAGTTTGGAGGGGGCGGTCGTTGGCGTTGTGGCGGTTGAGGGGCCGGATGCGCTTCCGTCTCCTCACCCTGATAGCACAACTACAAATGTCGAGAGTCAAGCAGCCGACAATGACGACGACGAAACATCTAACGCCGACGTCGACATGGACGATGTAGACGGCGCAAAGACGAACCTCACAATCCCGCACCTCGCAACCCTAACAACGCCCACGAAAGAATCTCTCCCTTACATATCCACCGGCCCCGGCTCCTCCACACCCCTCCACCCATCTTCTTCATCAACGCTCGGCCTCGCCATAGTCCGTTCCATCAATCCTACTACGCAAACCCTCGACCTCGTCACCCCCATCGCTCCATCCCGACTCATCCAATCCCTAGAGCAGGGCCACGCCCTCGTGCTCGTTCGCGGTGTCCTAGATAACCCGAACTGGGCAGTTGCGGAGGAGTACTACGGTGCTCGGGCTGAGGATAGGCGGGTTAGGCGTAATATCAAGAGACGGAAGGACGCTGGAGATGAGGACGACGGTGACGCTGCGCAGGACCAGAAGGTGCTGGGGTTGTTGAAGGAGAGGATCCGGCGCGCGAAGGAGGTGCCCTTTATGACTGTTGTTGAGGATCATGGGAGGAGGAGGCAAGAGGAGGTTGAGCAACAGAGAGCGCTGTGGAAGTTGAGGAAGAAGGCGGGCATTGAGAGTGAGGACGAGGTTGGGTATTGATTGTTTGACTGCTGTTTTTTTGAGTATGTAAACTACGTCCGGTTTGAATAGACTCTCTGGGACCTGGATAGTATGGGTCAGATGCTACCTCTGCTCATGTTCTTGCATAGCTACTCTTTTTCACACCTACCCTGCTACCATTTTGGCGGCTGACTACGGAGTACTCCGTACCTACCAGCCGTATCCAAATCCCGTCCCTTGTAGACCCCCTACCCTACCCCAGCACCGAAAGCCGCCGTTCAAAGAAAAAGCAACGTGAGCAGTCAAAGAAACACAGAATAGAGTTCACCTAGTCTCGAGGCCCGACGCCCAACATTCTATGATCGTCGCAGGAATCCGTCCATCATCGCTGCAGCTTTGGCCCAGCCACAAGATTCCCGGTCCGGTCTGGTCTAGCCCTGTCCATTGTGCCAGTATGCTTCGAACTCCGGTCAGGTCTTGAATGTTTGACGGGCTTGAGTGCTCAGGCATGAACCCTTCGGCGCACCGAGGATCTCTCCAGGACTCATGCAGGTAGTCACGCAAGACTAAGTCGGTGATGATGCTGCATAATGGTAATCCTCCTATGCCGTCCCGACACGAGGTCGTCTCCAACCCCTAGATACTCGGTATGGTAAAGATGAGGGGTCGATGCCTGCACTCTGCATGTCACGGCCATGCAGGTGATCTACTTCGTCCATGAATCGCATTTGTCCAATCGATGCGCAGAATCCAGATGTCAGTGTGCTGCCGCGCAGCGCTAGACCTCTGAAGAGCTGAGGGCCACTCCACCTTTATGCATACAAGTTAGCAATGAGAATGAATAAAATCGCTCAAGCGTGTTTGGGGCGGGCCTAATTGGATGCCGGAAAGCTTTTTCACTAAGCGTTTCCCCACTACCCTTGAGACCCAATCCATCTAGATTTCGTTGATTAGAAAGTAACCTGAGATGGGCGAATCGAGGCTTTGTGAATCGCAGAGCGTTTGGCGGGGGCCAGGGATTCGCAGCGAGTGTTCTGGATGACTTAGGTAATGGGTTTTGGTGTTGATTAAAGTTGATTAAAGGTGGATGCTCGGTTGCAGTAGCTGCTCGGAGCTCAGTATGGTTATGGTTATGGTGACGATGTCAGGATCGATGTCAGGATGAGGTGAATATGAAGACTGGACAAAGGTACGAAAGTATATTTCGATGATCGGCCTGGGACACGAGTACTGATTTACATCCGATTTAACCAGCCAGTTATGCAGACGAGAGGCGAATATCTCTGAGACGATCGACAAGTGTCTTTCTGTAAGCGACGTTAAGCAAAAAAGCGTATGGAGACCGAATTATGGATTCAACTGGTGGAGGTCCACGTGGAGAAGTTCTTCCAAAGTTCCAAACAGAGTGAGAGGTGGACTTGAGCGCGATTTTCCTCAGCCTTGCCCTTCATGTTAACCGGCAGTGGAGATGTCCGTAACTGTTAATTCATCGCGTGCTCTGTTTCCTAACTTCCTTGTGAAAGGTGATCTATCAATTTGAAGCCAAAGAGGAAATTGCAGGGGCTGGGAAGTGATGCAAGACTTGAGTAAGAATGATGGCGCCAAGACTAGGAACAGGCAGTCCCGGGCCTTAGATCAGTAGAATCACTATACGAGAGAGGAACAGTGAGAAGTACTCGAATGCTCTACTCCTACTCTCAGAAGATAAGAACTATGATCTATCACATTCTTACTGCAACAAGGTGACACTGCTCAAGAATGTGGTCGGTCGCATCGACCCGGCATTTGATCCCTGCTCAGCCTTCAATAATCGTACGCATGCAGAAGCTTATGCACTGGTATCACATCCTTCAGCCTCTGAATGCAATTGTTCCCTGTGATCGGACCAGCGGGAAGATGAGATGCGGTCATCGACAAGGGAGTTGCCTTGGAAATGCGCCACAACAGAACAACATCCCGTCGCAGGATTCAATATAGCGGCGAAGGATGAGCTAGGTATGGGAGGATGAGAAATAGAGACGGCCTGTTTCGCCCGTCCCACTGTCTAGGTATATTCCGGCCATTCCGCCGACATGTGAGACTGGGACTGCGACTATCAGCTTCAGTTTGCTAATTGTTTTGTCCCACATCCATGCAGTCGGAACCCAAAGGCAGGGATTGTGCCGAGACACTGCCCGAGGAGCGGGAGAATCCATTGCCATCCGGGCTGATTGTCAGCTCCGTTTCTTTTTCCGTCAGTTGTCATTTGGGATAATGACAGGCCGGAGCAGGGAGATCCTGGTAGATGGCGAATTGATGATCATGTGCTTCTTGGGCAGGGCCGGGTGGATATCAGAGTTCTTCTTTTTGTTCTATAGAGCTTCGATTGCGTAAAACACTAGGAGTGGGCCGCGTCCCGGAGCGCTGGGTTGCGGCAATCGTAGCCATGGAGATAGAGGGTAGAGATCAGTCTGATAGTCTGACTCTGATAACCCGACTCGTCTGCTGGGATCTGGATCGGGATATACTGCGAGCAGCCCCATTATTGGAAATCCGGTGCATTAGGCTGAAGACCGTTTTCTGTCGGGCCCCAGTCCAGCAGCCGAAAGGGGATCTGCCGATAGAGGCGATAGCTCACGCTGGCTTTCAGTCTGGCTCTGACTGCGGATAAGGTAGCAGCGAGTAGAGTTGGGTACGCTTTCTCTCAGCCCCTTTCTGTCTGCAATGATGTGAAATCAAAATAACAGTGGAAGAGTCAGTGTAAAGAGCCAAAGAGTGCTCCGTACGGTAATGAACGAGTCCAGACCGGAGCCGCCGAGTGGGAGCCAATCAGCGCGGCGGTGGGTCAGCCCCCCTTCCGTCTTCCTTGTAGTGTAGTGTTGGTCTTAGTCCAGAATCAATGCCGCATTAATAAAAGAAGATGTACTCGTCCGCTCGTCCTTGATTTCGCTCTCTCTCTCTCTTTGTCCCTGTCAAGGTCGTCCGGACTCGGCCAGTCCCCTTTATCATCGAGTACTTGCCAGGTACCGCAGGACCGAATCTCACTGTCCTCTCCATATCTCTATCCACCTGCACGCCTGACTTTATCCTCTTTCGGCACCACTGGATCTTCTCTTCCGCTCCCCCGTCTGCTGCAGGAGGCTGGCCTTTGCAGCTACAACCAAACACTTGCATTCTCAATTCGCTCAATTGTCTCTCTGGTCCTTCCAACCACTTTTGTCCTTCTGTCCTCAACACTGCGTCATTGCCACTGTCTGAACCTTCGTCCGGAACACCGCGAGCTACCGGCAGTAACCGATCCCCATCCACGTCTTAGAAAGCATGCATCACGACTATGGTATAATCTTGTTGCTGGACTGTGCTAGACGTTAATTGCAGTTGATATGGATTTCATTGTGAGTATCCTCTCTGTCTTCGCCATTCCTTTGAGTACTCGTCTGTATACTGTTCTTCCGAGGCGTGGGATACAATGCGCTTGCGTCAACGTTGCGCATTCTTCTACTGCCTTTCCCGCAAATTGTTTCCTGCTGGCTCGGTCACCTTGCTCCAGTCATTCCGGTGCAAGGATACAACCCCAGGATGACTGTGTACGACGGGGGCGTGCTCTTGTACTCCCCGAGTCCTGCTTTCCAAGACTCCGGGCATGTGTTACGGCTCGATCGGCTAACCATGCTCTCGCGGACAGCTTTCTTTGACGCACTTCTGCGAAGTACATGGTCCCACTTCGATCATATGCTCGCAGGTTCTCCCTTTCTCTTGCTCTCAATGCCATCCCGAGAACACAATCTCCTCCGAAGAAGGCACCCCAGCGACCTCCCACGACACCATTTCCTCTCACGGCTTGCGCAGCAGGAATACCAGCGGTAAACAGTCTCCGTCTATAAAGTCTCCTGCGAAGCCGGTTGACGATGCCGACGCTCCACAACGAATTGAGGATTACCCGTGCTTTATTCAGGGCCAATCGAATGCGACTGAGACCCAGAAGCTGAATATTCTGGGAGGTGCAGACGGTGACACTTGCGCAAGCTGTAGCTTGACCTTGCCTGAGGATGTGAGCAAACAGTTACCTCCTGGAGCTCCAGGGACTTTGCGCAGCGACGGGAAAGGCAAGAATGGCAGCCCTGTCCTGCGCTCACGAGAGGTTGTTTCCTCGTGCGGCACATATCATTCCGATGTGGAAGACAGTGCGCACGACATTCACATACACGGCTCCCTTCCCGACTCTCTTCACTCATCGTCTGTGGCCTCGGATGTTTCCTGCCATAACCATATCCTCACTTACCTCTCTCTCAGAGGCCCTCCTAACCCCGCCGATTATGCTCTTCTCCGACGTTCTTCCATCAGAACCCTCAGCTGTGAGCTTCTCCCGCGCGGACTTTCCTCTGGCCCGTTGTGCTTTGGTGACTCCAATGCGGGTTACACCATTGCCTATATTTTCCGGCTCCCCGATCCAATGGCCCGCGGCAAACGACGCAGCTACGCGCTCGTGGCCCTGGCCGGCAAGGATACGCGTAGAGCGTTTCGTGCATGTCCAATAATCTGGCGCACTTTTGATCGGATTGCAACGTCAATCTACCATGCAGCAGAGCAGTTTCAAGAGGACGAGAAACGTCGCGATGAACAGAACAACGTGGCTAACAGGCCTGGGAACCGGCAGTATACACCTGTCTCATCATTCCTTACTGGACGTGCCGTCGACCCGGATGGGCAACTTCGCCGGCCTGGCCAGGTCAGAGCCAGAAACCTAACGGAAATCGTTGGCAATCCCTACTTGTTTGCGGAAATCCATGGAAGCTTTGTGGCTCTGTTGCAGCAACTTGGTTCTATGTTTGGGTCACCCCCAATCTCCGAGGACCGCTTCATCTGTAGCACGGTTACCGAAGAGGAAGATATGAATCGTCGTCGCTCCGTATCTTCGACCATTGCAAAGCAAACACAGAGAGCACAGAAACGCGAAGATGACGACCTCGGTCTTTCGGACCTAAACTTATCATCCGGTCCGAAGCCTATTCCCATCACCTCACGCCGTTCCATCATCGCTTGACGAGCTATTGTCACATTATGACCAACCACAACACACAATAATCGCGACCTGGGAAATCGCAAGTTACGACTCCTTTGATTATGTTCAACGCTACCTTGTACTTTCAGCACTTTTGGAGGATCTTTGCGCGTCTATTCTATTTTCTTCCGTCACGCATGATATCACACATAGACTACGGCATCTCTCAAGACCTGGAACGGAGTTCGGATGTATTATGGCAAGCGCTTGTTTTCCCGTTTCTTTCCCTTTACGTTCGAAGCAATAGTGGGTGGACAAGCACTCGGACTTTCTTCTTCCTTCTCCGTTGTTATCTTCTGACAGGGAGCTCTGGCCTTACTTTTTTTAATGACTTTCTCCGAGGACGGGACATGACAGATAAGACTTCACTGCACTTCCTTGTCGGCATGTCCTGTCATGACATGTCTTATATTGTCCTCAGTCCGTCAATGTCGTTACGACGCGATGAGAACCGCGCTGGTTGCGACATTTTGTTCCGTTTAGGTATTTTGTTTGTTTTTGTCATTGTATGCATACTTGTATTTCTAGTGATACCCAGGGTTTCATTCGTGTTTACCTACGGGTTTCATGCTCGGATTCAATTCAGTTCTTCCATTCTCAAACTTGATGCTGTACTTTTGTAAGTCCCCCCGTAGTAGGTGGCCGATCATGTCCAGATATATATTTAATTAGGGCTTGGCCTCATGCCGAGTGTAACATTCAATATCTCTCTTCTCCATCGCATTATGTCCCGCCTCACTGGGTTCAGGTCTACCTAAGAGACCTGCATGTGACCTATCTACTCCCGCGTCCACATCGGCACATCGATGGAAGCCCAAGTGAGGCTCCTAACTAGTGAGACTGGGGGGTCACGGGGTCGAGAACCCTGAACACGCAAGCAAGGGCTATCTAAACGGCCCTTATCATTCTGGCCCCTGGAATAATAGATAGACTCCTAGTCCTCGATAAAAACAAACCTTATCTTGCATGCCAATGGCCCGGCGCCCCGGCCCCTTGCTAAGGCGTAGATCCATCGGCTTCTTTATCAGTCGGTGTGGAATGTGGATGATAAGGTTACGTTGCTCCACTGCATAGATAACCTTGTCTGCCGGGTCCTCGTGACTAGATACGGGCATTCTTTGGCGGCGCTGGAAAGAAGTCTGTCTATCGCGATAACCAAGGTGTGATCTAGCATACTGCGTAGTGGGCGAGTAACTAGAAGCCAAGAGATATACTGAAGGCATTTTGTACCTCAAGTCCGGACTCCGGATTCTGGGCCGTAAACGAAGTGCATAACCGTCGATGTTGGAAAAAGAATTCATAGGCTATATACCGAGAAATAGAAAGCAAAGGTAATAATGCAAGAAAAGTCATCATAACATCCCCGATACCTGCTACCGAAGATTGACAAAACATAAATAGAAGCATGATTATGTCCAAACCAAGAAGCACCGCCCATACCCGTCATGGTGTAGATAAAGATAAAGAGAAAGAAATTAGGCATGATACGCATGTACAGATTGACACTGACAGACGGAAGGATCACCGGCCTGTGATGTAGTCTCTGTTTTCGATCGTTACGCTCTTTGTCATGTGGTTGACCTTGTAGACACCGACAAGGCGAGATGCGAGTTCGAACTAAATGGTCCATGGTTAGTTACTTCAAAGAGAAGGGTCCTGGCTGATGCTTACCATGTTATTACGCAGTGAAATGACGACAAACTGCGCGTTCTTGGTTCTCTCCTTGATATACGACGCCACGATAGAAACCTAACACCCTGATCAGTAAAGGCCTGAACAAGATAAACTTTGAGGGACTCACATTTCGGAAATCCAGGGCTGCATCAATCTCGTCCATGACATATAGCGGTGTTGGCTTGTAGTGATGCAAAGCAAAGACCAGCGCCAAACTGGAGAGCGTCTTCTCACCACCGGACAAGTTACCAATATTCTTCCAGCTCTTCTTGGGCGGCATGACAGAGAACAGAATACCCTCGGAGAACGGATCGAGAGAGTCCACCAGCTCCAGCTCAGCGTTTCCTCCCATGGTAATCATTTGGTACATCTCCTTCAGACGAAGAGAGATGACACCAAAACCTTCCATGAAGCCGTTGAGGCGAGCAGACCGCAGCCCGTCAAGACGAGATTTGGCACTATCCCGGCTGGCAAGAGCAGTCGCAAGGTCCGCAGAACGCGCCTCATGCTCGGCTGCCCTGCGCCGGTACTCTTCAATCACAGAAAGGTCTATTGACGAGTTCTGCGTGTTCTCTTCCAGAGCTGCAATTGCTGCCTTCAAAGAGTCCTTGTTCATCTCCGATAACTCGTCCTTGGTGAAAGTTTGGAATTCACTAGGCTGCTGTTCTTCGCCCAAGTCGCTAATGTTTTGCAAAGTAAGCTTGCCCAGCTTCTCCTGCCAGTAGCGGCTGCGCTTCTCGTTTTCCGTCAGTGCTTTCTGGTTCTCCTCCAGCTTGTTGCGCATCTCGATTTCTGTGGCCCGAGTTTCATTCAACTCCGCAATCTTCTCGTCCAATTCCGCCTTCATGGTGTTGAGCTCATCTTTCTTGGTTTCAAGGGCCTGGCATCTGTTAGCTTCTATTCGGCAGCCGATTCATTCACACTCACAGATTTCGCCTTGTCAACATTCTCTCTCCACCCAGACGCATCGCTGGCTTGGTTCGCAACATCCTCATTTAACTTCTCAAGCTCCTCGGCCACACTGGCAAGCTCCCTTTCGGCGTCTGCACGGGTATTCTCATGCTTTTTGACCAGCTTCTCGTTTTTCGACTTCGCAACCTCAGCGTTAGAGATCTCATCAGACAAAAGACTAATCTGCTCTTTGAGCCCGTCGACCTTGGCTTTCTGGCTGCGTAGTCTGACACCACCAACCTCCATGATCTTGTTCTGGAGTGCTTGGATTTCTTCTTCGATTCCTCCTTTCTGCGAGCGAAGATCCTCAATCTGCTCTTCGATGCCAGCAATTTGTTCTTCAAGAGCCTTTACTCGACTTGCGTCTGTTTTCGATGGTTTGTGTGCCGCACTTAGCTCCTGAACACGTCGTTCAGCATCGGCAAGGCTGCGTTTGGCGCTATCGATCTCAATCATAATCTTCTGGATCTTGGTCTCCGCTCGGGGGATTTCTTCGGTTTTCTCTCGCAAGGCCGCCTCTACGCGTCTCTGCTTCTCTTGGAATTTCTGAAACTTCCTCTCCATCTCTTCAAGGTCACTTTCCATCTGGACCAACTGTTCTTTGCTGATATCGCCAACCTGTTTAGATGACATTGCACCACGGGCAACCCGGGTACCGCCACCACTCATTGTACCGGAGGTATCGATGAGCTGACCGTCAAGGGTGACAACTCTCCACCGTCTGGCGCCATAAGCGATTCGGTTGGCCTGCTCTAAATCCTTTGCAACAAGAGTATTCTGCATCACACTATAGAACGCGGGTGCAAATTTCGGATCCTTGGGCTTCACCAGATCAAACAGTCGGGGAACATTGTCGGGAGTGGGGATGGTATTCAGGTCTCGCTTGGGAAGACGGTCTAGAAGGATGAAGTTGGCACGTCCGAGGTTGTTCTTCCGCAAGTAGTCGATACATTGCTGTCCGACCTCGACTGTGTCCACAACCATGTTCTCCAGCGCAGGGCAGGCTGTTGATATGGCCACATCGTATTTCTCATCGATCGTACCGAGATTTCCAAGTCGACCATGGAATCCTTCAATACGGCCAGATTCCTTGAGGCGCATTAGACCACTTAGCACGCTTCCACGATTTTGCGTACTGGCAACAGTGGCTCTAGCCTCCTCAGCCTTCTGTCGAGCGTTAGAGACATGGGCGCGAACATCAGGTTCTTTGACGCTGTATTTCTTGAGATCACTCTGAAGCTGTGCAACTTCCTCCTCAAGGGTGGACCTCTGGGCCTTGCATTCCTCCAGGTCTTCCTCTTTCCGGGCAATAGTCTCCTCGATTGATGAAATCTTCGATTGCGCTTCTTCGAGTAAGACAGCGCCAGCATTGCTCTTCTCCCGGAGGATGTCCAGCTCACTTTGAGCCACAGCCAGCGCGGATTGTTTTTTGTTGATCTTCTCATCCCATGGCTCCAAAGATTTTTGCTTCGCCGCAATCTGGTCGGATAGCCCTTGCGTTTTGCCTTTAAGGCCTTCTCGGATAGCCGAAAGTTCTTGTTCCTCCTCTTCTACCTCTTTCTCAAATTCCGCGGTTTCTTTGCTCTTCTTCTCAATGTCATCACTGTGTTTCTCAACCAAGCTTTGGCATTCCGACACAGCGAGGCGAGCAGTCGTCATGGACTTGTCGAGCTTCTTCTGCTTCCCAATGAGAAATTTCTTTTTCTCCTCAAACTTCACAGATTCCTTGTCGTACTTTGCCATGCCCTTGGCCAGTTCTTGCGTTTCCTTCTCCATATGTTCGTACTCCTTAGTAGCACGCTTGTATGCTTTTTCTAGCTCCTTAATCCCTGATTCATTGCCTTCATGCTTCTCAAGCTCGAGGTTCAAGAGCTCTTGCATTTGTAGAATCGCCTCCTCCGTAACTCGCAGATTGTCGGCGCATTCATCAATGTAGATTTGATACAAGGCAGATTGCTTCTGGGCCAGCTCGTTCTCCTCGCGGAGGTAGGCTAAGGCCTTATCTTTCTTATCGACGAGGGCGGTCTTCTCCTTTTCGACATGCTGAACACGGTTGTTCTTTTCGACGCATACATCGTTGAGGGTTTCGAGTTCAGCCGCGGCCTCTTCAATCGGCTGCTTATACTTCGAAGTGCCAATGATATCCTCGAGATATTCCAAGAGGCCGTCTTCGTGCTCATTCGCGGCTTTGGGCTTCATCTGGGCAATTGACTCGACTTCACCCTGAAGAATCAAGAAACGCTTATGATCGAGATCAATGCCACGGTCGCGAAGGAGGGTCGTGACTGCCGTAAAGTTCGTCTCCTTGCCATTCATGTAATATTTGCTGGAGTTGTTCTTAAACGCCTTGCGTGAGATAATCAGTTGGGAATCTGGGACTACTTCATGCTCCCCACCGGGGAGATCATTGATTTCCTGAAAATAGACCTCCACTTCACAGAATGGCAGGTTCGGGTGGTTGGCCGAGTTGTGGATCAAAGCAGAGATCTTGCCCTGCCGCATTTTGCTGGCTCGAAATCCAAACACGAACAAGAGGGCATCGATCACGTTCGATTTTCCGGATCCGTTCGGTCCGACGACAGAGGAGAAAGACGCATGGAATGGCCCTACTATCTGTTTCCCTGCGTAACTTTTGAAGTTATTCAGAACTAATGTTGTAATCATGAGACGGCTTTGAGGACCTTTAGGCTCTTCAGGCATAGAAGGACCGAGTGTCCGCGATTTCAACATGATATCCATGGGTTTCTCTAGGATGGTCGTATTCGGGTTGATAATGGAGATCTGCGGCTTTACATCTTCTGCGGGTTTCGCTGGCGTCTGGTTCACTGCGGAATCTGTGATATCGGCGAGTGGGGGCGCACTTTCTCGTTGGGGACGGGGTGTAGGTTCGGGCGAAACCGAGGGCTCTGGAGTTGGGAGTGAGGACTTTTCCGGGTTGGGTGTGGAGGAAACACGACTCTTGCGGGCCATACTTTGTCTTTTTAGTGCCGAAGTACGCGAAGGCGACTCCGGCTCTTCATGCCCCATGCTTTTTCGTTTGACCGTCGCGTTCGAGGAAGGTGACTCGTTTTCATCTTGCGCGCTGACCACTGACTCGCCTTCTTCGCTTGGGTCGCCAACGGAAGATGTGTCTGAAGGCTCGGCCGTCCTCGACATTCGCGATCGTCGGGGGGCTCGCGCTTTAGGGGTCTCGGACGCCTCGGACGTCATACGCCTGCGTGGCGCTCTTGTAGGCGCCTTCTTCTGCGGCTTTGGAGTGAACTCTTCCTCTTCATCGTCTTCGTCGGGATGGGATGGTGTGGGGGTAACGTTTCCAGGATCCTCTGATTCGGAATTCTCTTCGACATAGCTCTTCCGCGAAGCGGTGGAGCGCCGAGACGGTCTGCCTCGTGCAATAGACGTCATTGTAAAGGCAGAATATGAGATAAAAAAAGATGTCGCATCAAGGCGGATGAGGCGATGCAGGCCAGTGTCGTGATGTCGGAGGAAGCTGAGAAAGAAAGTGGGTTGTTTACATAGCGGCCTAAATGGGTAAAGCGCGGGATTTCTGCCACAAACAAAGGACAGGGAGTGAGGCTCACCGCCTCTGCTCCACCGATACTACGATAGACTGGACCGATAGATAACAACTTGATCGCAAAGAAAAAAGTCAACAGTGACTGAACTGGAGACTGATCTCACAATGGCTCCCTGGGAAGAATTCGAGGCGATATTCTACTTCAACAAGAATTTTACGTACGATGGCAAGGTCATTGAACAGATCCTTACCAACCGCCGTTCGCTAGACAACCGACTCTTCGCCGACAGGTTGTTAGAGCTCCTCGGTGTTCAAGCAGGTATCTTCAACCTCATTAGGTTGCGCGTGGTGAGTGCTAATGTTCGATAACTCTTTAGTTACCAAGTTATATCCTCCTATCTCAAACTCTGACCTCCGTACCCTCATCCGCCACATTGTATCCTCCGACCTCGATATCCACCATAGGCAGAGCTTAATCTACTATATCCTAAAAGACTGCCGAGCTTCTAGTGATGCGGCCACTCAGTTTGCGCGGCGATGCCATCTACCCGAGAAGTACAGACTATTTATAGAGGGGCTCTGGAACCTTGACCGACTTGAATTCAAGGTGTGTTTCAATGTTTCGGTCCGTGAACCAGGTGGATGCTAATTGCAACATAGCGCGCAATCGAGTACCTCAGTGAACCTGCCATTATCCCAACATTTCCCGACGAGATCCTTTACACACTTACCCTTTCACATCTACCAAGACACGACGATGGTCTCGTAATGGCCTATTATCTCACAGTCAACCCGCCCTTAACCTCTGAAAAGGCCCAAAGAGCGTTTATGGAGACGCTGTGTCGCGCTAGCATCACTGAAGCTTTTTATTTCACCCGAAAGCACCATGATGCTCTCCGCCAGGCATATCTCACGCAGCTCGTCGAATTTGTTCTTAGAACAGATGCCGGCCAGATGAGAAGCAGACGAGGCATGGAATTGATTGGCCTCCCGTTTGATGACCAAGAGGCGCAATGGTTCGAAGATGCCCTCCTCCGTGGGAGCGCAAAGACGCTGCATGGCGCAAAGGACACGGTGATGATGCGGCGTCTTGCAACAGGAAAAGTGACAGGGCTGTCTACGGAGCTGGAGTCTCTGGGCGGAAAAAAGATTGATGGCTTGAATTGGGACATGCTCAAGCAAAGCATGGAGCCTCCCCTGACATCAGCGAACCGAGGCCAAGCTCAATGAAGCAAACTGAAAACGAATTGCAATGATACCTGTGGTTTGGAGCGGGCGTTGGCTGGAATTATGCATTATCTTCTAGTAAAAAAACCATGTAATGGCAGGCGCAAGGTTGTTTGAAGGGCTGCCTCTGCAAATAATAGCGAGCTCAAGTAATTTCCCTGTCTGATAAGTATCAGCCGCCGTGTAGTTCCGAGTAGATCGTTTAGCTTGGATTATAGACCTCGAGATGGTGTTGGACCGTGGATCTCTGAATGTACGAGGAATACAGATATTCCCAGACAATTCACACATTCATACCTATGTGACGTACGGTATTGTCACAAATCTCGAATCTTAACATCAAAGGACCACCAAACTTCAAATATCTATCAAAGAAGAACACAACCTTTTCAAAAAGCATCACTGATATCTGAGGACTTGAAGGCCATATATAATTTTCTGCCTTTTGACTTGGCAATTTGAATGACAGGAGGGCCAAAAGTGAACACCTGAAGGATATCTTCCGCGAAGCTTAGCCTTACAGTTCAGGGCAAGTGAATATGGTCGCCCCTGTCTGCAAATATTTCCAACAAGGCCGGTGTAGATTTGGAGGTAAGAGCTCTTGAATCTGTTTCTTACAAGCATAACTGACTGGCTGTTAGACACTTGCAAGTTTGAACACCCAGGTGCACAACGACAGACATTCACTGGGGGCAATCGGTTTGGCGCGCTTTCGGGAGGCGGCAGCAACTTCAACAGTATGCCTAACCTTTTTCCAAGTACTTGTTTCTTGATTTCCTACGTGTTTGAATGTTGTTCTCGTGGGGTGGAATTGAGCCGCTCCTATGCAAGGTTCCCGGTACCACTTCTGCCTTCTTCGAAACTTCAATATATGCTCGAAGAAAAAGCGCTTCAGCTACGGCTTATATGGCTACTAACAGTGCTAAAGGTCGTGGGTCTTCGGGGAAAAATCAGTCGAAACAAGAACCAGCAAAGTATGTCTCATTCAAAATATATCTGCTATCTGCAGATCGATCAGCTAACGTCACTGCAGCTATGGTGTAACTGCGGAGGATATCAAAACCGACTTGACTGCTGGTAATGGAAGACCTGACTGGATCTTCTCCTGCTATGGTCCTGGAAAAAACGCTCCAAGGCAACTGTTCGGAGGCCCGCAACGAGAGCAGAGCTTTGAAGAGCTCCGATTGCGGCACTACGAAGCCGCCGCCAAAGGAAACCCAGGCCCTGCAATTCAAGAGGCCGAGATGATGTATTCTGAGGCTTTGAAGCAGATGGAAAACATCCTGGGAAATCTCAATGCAGCGGTGAAATACGTAGTTGATGGAGCCAATGAACATCCAAACAGGATTGATATCGTCAAGGGCGACACTGGTGCCGGTGCCGGCCAAACATCAGCATTCGGACAACCTTCAGCAACACCATTTCAAGCTACGGGCTTTGGTCAACAAGCATCCAGCCAACCCGCCTTTGGCCAGTCACCTTTCGGTCAAGCATCAACAGGACAGTCGTCTGGCTTCGGTCAGCCGTCTCTTGGACAATCCTCTAGCTTCGGCCAACCAAGTGCTCTAGGCGCCTCGTCCGGGTTTGGTAAACCTGCGTTTGGACAGACCAGCCAACCCAGCCAACCGGGCTTTGGCCAGCCTAGCATGAGTCAACCCGGTCTCGGCTCAGGATTTGGCCAGGCTGCCAATGCTGCATCGCCATTCGGTCAGATCGGTAATGCAGCCACCAACACTGGCTTCGGAAATCCCTCTCCATTCTCTCATGCAGGTTCTGGTTTCGGTCAACCATCAACTGCGCCAGCGGCGGCCAGCGGCTTCGGCGCGCCATCACAACCAGCAAATCCCTTCGGACAACCGCCAGCACCATTTGGCCAACCTGCCCAGCCAGCAGCTCCAAGCCCATTCGGCGCAGCGGCGCAACAGCCAGCAGCGACACCATCAGCATTCGGACAGTCAGCAGGCGCTGCGTCACAGCTTCCTCAACCTGCACCTTCAGGGGCGGTAGGCACTGGGCCGCCGCCATTACTGAAAGTTGACAACCCCAACGAACTCGCTCCTATCCCACCTATGAACGGCCCAACGACGCACAATGCATTGACCAAGAAGCTACAAACTTGGAAGGGGCAGCCGGTGCAGTATATCGACGATGCGCCTTGCTATTTGCACCCTCAAGACCGAAAGACACCTGTTCGAATATTTTTCCCTGATGGGCCACCGGACGCAGCCAGTCTACGGGACGCACAGGCAGAGCCGGACAAATATACCCCAGAGGTTACGGAGCAATATGAGTTCTTCGTTAAGAACGGATACTTCAAGGATGGGCTTATCCCGAGTGTGCCTCCAAAGACTGAGTGGGTTAGCTTTGACTTTTAGGATAGAAACCAAGGGAGCATTGGAGTATCGTGATTTTCAATTTACTTTTATCAATTGAGGATACAGCTTTATACCGGAAAAATGGCGATTTAGGCTATCACACACCAGGCTCTACAATAATGAAAGCTGCAGTACGAAAGCAATAGGGTCAATACAAGTATACGTTTTCCAACTTTTCCATTTTTATGCCTATTTTTAACGGGTATCGTAGCCGACTTAGCAGAGCTAAATCTTCTGCAAGCCCATCGTCAACCACACCGTCACCAGCCCAGCTGAGGGTTGATGCCGGCGCCAGTCCAATCCCCTCGTTCCAGAGTAGAATATGAACTAATTTAGGCGGCAATGGTGACCTCAACCTCAACACCAGCCTCGATGTTGATGATGATCTGCTTGACGGTCTCGGTGGGGGCGAGGAGGCTGTACACATGCGTTAGCATCTTTCATTCACCTCTCACCTCTTAAGCCCGTAGCTTCAAGGACAATGGTAGGGGGACATACTCGATGAGACGCTTGTGGATGCGCATCTCGTACTTGTCCCAGGTCTTGGAACCCTCACCGTTGGGGGTCTTACGGGTGGAGATGTGCAGGGTCTTGGTGGGCAGACGGACGGGGCCCTTGACCTGGAGGGACTTGGAGCGGGCACGCTCGATCAGAGCAGCGCAGACGGACTCGAGGGAGGCGACCTTGCGAGAGGTGAGGGTGATACGGATCTTGTGGACCTTCTATAAGTCGGAAGATGAGTCGTTAGCGCAAGTTCTCACTTCCGCACAGCACAGCACAGTCACAGCCGACGCAGAGCAAGCGACCACCATGGCAGGTAGAGGCAACGTACAGGGCCCTCGCCGAACTCCTTCTCCTGCTTGTAAGACATCTTGACGGTGACTAGGTGGTGGGGAGACCGGGATTGAGATTGCTAGAGCTGAATTAGTTCTTGGTTGAAGAAGAATTGGACTCGAAAAAAACGTACTGCAGATGAGGCTGTATGCCAATCAAGACCTGAACTTCGAGGCTCGGTAAGGTGATGATGGCCGTTTAAGCTGAGGGTGTCGCTTTCGAAGTGGATGCGATCAAGAAGCGACTTTTTCTTCTTTCGGTCAGTTTCTTGTGCGGAGGAAGTCTTGGCGCTCGGCTATCTTGAGCTAACCTAATTGGACGGATTGGTAATATTACGAGTATCATTGATACCTACACACACGTGATCCACTGGATGCTCCGCGGGGCGGATTCGGACTGCGGGCAGCCTTGAGACATTCCGAGACATGCATACGCCTTGTATCTATATACTGGTGTAGACAGACTGAGATCTGTAAAGCAAATTTTGGAGTTATCAGGCGGGGCACTGGTGGCTTAACACTGAACAAAGGCGGCATCACGGGCCACTACGGAAAGGTGGACTCGACCAGATCGTCTCTTTCACCAAGATGATTCATTATGACTGTGAGGGGAGAACGATATGAAAGCGACGACCTCATCCTCCATTTCGACAAATCCTGACTTACAAGCATCCAACTCCTCATCTTGAGCCGATAATCAGTATGGCGATGTTGCCGCCTTTAGCTCCACTCCCTCCACCAGAGGTACAAAGGTCCATCCCTTCTAGAGAATGGGAACTATATCTAGATGCATGGACCCTTCTACTAGGAGCTCGCTTAGAGACTTCAGAAACTGTGTTCAAGGGGTCAGCCCCGAACGATGAATCAGCGGTGCGTTTCTTGACTTCATTCTACCACCAGCTCGCCACATCTGGGGGCCATGCCTTTCAGTCTGGAGCAAAGACTCGGACACTGAGAAAGCTCTGCTTCCTCCTCACGAGGAGACTCGTGCTAGAGGTCACACCGCCGCCGTCTGAGCTTCTAGGATGGACCTATCTCAGTGAGATGAGCTGCTGCTATCCCTCGAGCTCGGCATTGAAGAAGCTCCTGTCTGATGCTTGGATAAAACATGAGAATGTGATTACATCGAGCCTTGAGAAAGGAAAAGCGCAAATTATTGCGCAGCTTTCTGTACCAGACTCCAGCAGCATCTCCACAGCTGTCTCTGATATCCGTCTAATGACCATTCTCGCGTCTTCGCTGCCGGACTGTGGGCATGTACTCATGGCGGGCTCTGACTTTCTGGATACTCTTGCAGAGGCATACCAGACGCACAAACCAGAGGGTATTCGCAAGTCCTTGGTTGCCAATGTCTACGTTGGCTTAACCTCACTTCTGAAAGGCACAAAACCGAACCTTACTCTTCTCCTGGACCAGCTGTTCGGCTTGAAAGCTAGTGTTGGTGTGGGAACTCCAAGAATGAAGAACGAGCCTACGCTTCTGTCAGATGTTATCTGCAGTTCCGACCTTCTAGCACGGCTCGAAAGATACCTGAACGTGCAGCCCCAGAAACGGGGACACGACCTCGTCACAAGCCTCCGCGCTTATCAAACCGAGTCGAAGTCATTCCATCACCGATATCAAAAACCAAAGAAACGGGACGACAAAGGAAAAGGTCGAGCATCGGACCTCGCAGTACCTGAAGAGGTACACGCTCATAGGATGTCTCTTGTCAGCCAAATCCAAGACCTCTTCCCAGACCTCGGATCTGGCTACGTCGTCAGGTTGCTGGACCACTATGGTGACAACCCCGAAACAATCATTGCGCACCTTCTTGATGCCTCCATTCCACCTGAACTCCAAGATATAGACAAATCAGAGCAACTCCCTCCTATCCCAGCCACACAACGTGATTCGCTCCCTTTGAGACCAACAGCTGCTTCATTCTCACCCCCAGAACCCCGGCGAAACGTCTTCGACAAAGAGGTTGACCTCGCCGAACTCGCCCGCTCTACAGATAACAACGCCCTCCGATTCGGCCGAGCAAACCCCAGCCAAACAGCCGACGACGTCCTGGCTGATCGCAGCAACCATGCCGCCAACAAAGCAGCCATCATCTCCGCACTCGCAGCGTTCGACTCTGACGACGACGAACGCGACGACACCTATGACGTCGCCGACGTTGGAGGTACCGTAGACGCTGCAGGCGACGGCACGGCAGAAGATCGCAAATTCACATCTACGGACGAACTAGACCTGACTCTCCTGCGCGCCTACAAATCCACCCCGGCGCTCTTCGCCAGGGACTCATCAACACGCCGCTCTCAGGCCCGCGATGCCCTCAAGCGCGAATCTGGACTAACAGACGAAGCAATCGAGGGCTGGGCGGTCATGCTAAACCGCGATCCTAAACGACTGGCCAGGCTGGAGAGCAAACTCGCTCTTTCTGCTGGTGGTGGGTTCACCCCTGGCGTTGTGGGCGGGCTGTCTCAGCCTGAGATCCCGTCAACTTCGTACCGACGGCACAAGGGTGATGAATTAGAGAACGGAAGTGAAGGACAATCGTCCGCGTCTCAAGTACATGTAAGGGGCGGCTCTGCGCGTGGCAGTGGGCGCGGAGGTGGAGGGGGCGGACCTCGTGGGAGGGGTCGAGGCGGCGGTGGTAGGGGAGGAGGAGGAGGTGGTGGTAGGGGAGGAGGAGGAGGTGGTGGTGGAGGGCCATCTGGAGACCAGAATCCAGCTGCCTCACGACAGAGAAAGGAAGAGAACAAGGCGAGCCGGGCAAACCATAATCGGCGGCAGCAGAGAGCTAAGAAGGTCGCAAGGGCTGGGGGGATGGTTGGATAGGATCAACATCAAGCCGATTTGTTGGCTAATTTTTCGAGTGAACGGCTGTTATGTTATGGATGTTGACGAGATCCGACGGCTTTTTGTGATCTGGTCTAGGTACCTAATGCCTTCATGTGTTTTATATAAAAATGGCTCACTACCAATGCACATACGATTCGCAAATTTTTTTCCCACATAAGAATTAATCCAAAGATAAGGACAATCAATTGTATTAGGGCGTTATCATAAGGGCATTATATGTACGTACATTAGTACAGGATGCGCTGCGGAATATCGCAAAGCTGGACTGGGTAATTTACACGTTCCGTATAGGGCCAAACCGAAATGCGCGACAGATAACAAGTCAAGGGCCCCAGGGGTATAGTATCTAATGAGTCTAAGAACCTACCGCAAGCAGTGTAGTCTAATGGTGATCGGAGAAAACGCCCTGCTGCGCGCACGATTTCCTGCACTCCTCAAGGATGCGAACCTGCTTTGCAACGTCGCCAAGTCTCCCAATGACCTCTTTATTTCCGTCTGTGAAAGTGAAGAGCGCGTACGGGATGCCCGTATCGCGGCAAAATTCCAGAACAAGCTTCTGCGTGCGGCGCAGGTTATGGCGCGGAATACGCGGGTAGAGGTGATGGATTGCCTGGAATTGAAGACCGCCGTGGAAGAAGTCTAACCAGGTCGGGCAGTCAACGTCCATGGTTGTGCGGAGCATCTTTTGGGGAAATGATTCGTGTACGCCCAAGTCCGCAGTTGACATTGCGAAGTGGGAAAGTGTAATTTGCACGTGGACGGGTGCGGTGACCATGTGGGATATAAAGAGGAAGCCAATGCGGCTGCCCCAGGTGGGAATTGAGCAGTAGAGGACGCCATAGCCGAACCAGGTCCAGAAAAAGATATGACCGGCGATTTCGAACCAACGGTGCCACCAGGCTGGGCCCTTTCGGGGTCCCTGACCGAGGATCAGATATTCCCAACTTAGTCGGTAAAGGTTGAAGCGACCGAAGAGGAGAATAGGGTAGTACAGGTAGTGCTGGTATTTGAGCATAAAGTTGGAGAAGGCGTCGAAGTACATGATGCGGTCGTAGTACGTGCTTCGTAGGTTCGAAAAGAAGCGGTGGGAGATGGCGAAGAAGGGCATATGCTCGATATCCGGGTCATGTTCAGGTTCGTTCGTCACGATATGGTGGACATTGTGGCTCCTTTTCCACCATCCTAGGCTAAGTCCGCCGAGATAGTCGGCAATGAGTATCCCAATTGTGCTGTCCACCTGGTAATTATGAGTGATGGCGATGTGGCCTGCATCGTGTGCACTAAAGACAAGTTGGTGCCAGAAGCATCCTAGGAAAAAGGCCGAGACCAAGTACCACCCCAGGCGAAGAAAGAAGTAAGAGGTGCCGGCGAATAGGGTGTATCGACAGGCCTCGATGAAGTACGAGGAATAGTTGCACTCATACAGTCCTTCCGCTTCGATCCGCCTGTTCAACTCGCGATACTTCTGTTTAATATCCTGCTGCGTTTTCGCGTCTAAAGACGGATACTTTGCGGTGTCGAGGACAATTTCCTCCCGGGTCCGGGCGTCGAGAAAGAAAGGCTTGGGTTCGGATAATTCGCTAGGAGGGGTCGAGACGGAGGTGTCGGAAGATATAGACTGTCGACGAACACCTGAGGCAGCGTCTACTGCATCAAAAAGAGGCGACGGGGGTTGGGACTGGCCGGAGGTATCGTCTTCCTCGCCATCGGCGTTTTCGTCGTAGGGACGGAACTTGCCGCCCTGGATCGGAGGCAGAAAGTTCACCCATGGTCCCTGGATGCGACCGATCTGGAAAGTCAACATGCGTTGGCGAGCCTCTACGGAGTGTAACCTAGTGCAGGACACCGTTAGGCAACCGAGGATTTGACGAGTGATTAGGGGCATACGCATTGATTTCGTCGGTGGCATCTTGGCCGACCATGTGCTTGATCGACTTATCACCTCCAGGGTGAAATTTGATCCATGAATCGACCTTGAGAACGCGGTCGTCGAAGATGATGACATGTTTTCCGGCAGCTATTTGGCCTTCGATGTAGCGTCGGGATAGAAGCGCGTCCTTGGAATGGGGTGCCATGGTGGCTGTCAAGCTTGGATCAGGTTGAATGGGTAGTTAACGCATATCTGTAGCTACCAGGGAATGAAAACAAAATGAAGCGACAGAAAAGCAAAGTCCAGGAATCAAATGAGAGAGAGGTACAGAAGGTGGCCAGAAGGAACGGACTAAGCGGGGAGACGCTGAAACAACGTGCGGTCGAGGATCAGACGACGATCCATCCTCCATCATTCCACTCTCTCTCCCACTTTGCCGCAACAAGTCATTCAGAGCTCCATCTCCTTTTTAGCGTCCTTGGTCCTTGCCTCCTCTCCTCCTTCCTTCGTTTCATAGCATCCTCTCATCATACGATCGGATCCATCATGGCATCCTTTGAGGTAAAACCAAACCTGCCGATCCAGCATTCTTGAGCCTCGGTCTGACTTTGTAGGATTCGCTCTCCCCGCTGATTGAGAAATGGCTGGAGTGGGACCAGGTTCGCAGACATTTCCCGTATGCTAGCTATTTGACCGTCAACTAATACCGGCCAGGATTCCACTACCCGCTCGGAAATCGAGCAGCTTCGGGATTCGAGGCAGGCCGCTGAGCTGGAAAAACGCCTGCGGAAGCGTGCGCATCGCTCAAACACCTAACCGGTCCCTGGCTAACATGCAATAGGCATCCAGTTTGGCACAGCTGGCTTGCGCGGCCGTATGGCTGCTGGGTTCTCCTGCATGAATTCTCTGACAGTAATCCAGGCATCGCAAGGCCTGGCCAAGTACTTGCGGGAGAACCATGGCGACCTTGTACACCGTGGGGTGATCATCGGCCATGATGCCCGCCACAACTCAGCCAGATTCGCGGTGCTCGCCGCAAATGCTTTCATCGCACAGGAGATTCCGGTTTGGTTCTATTCAGGGCCGGCCGTTACCCCAGCCGTACCTTTTGGCGTGACCGACATGCGTGCCCTTGCAGGTGTCATGGTCACAGCGAGTCATGTAAGTAAAGTCATCATTGGCATCTGAGCTCGAGGCTAACAATACAACAGAACCCAGCGCAAGATAATGGTGAGGTCTTTGGTAACTATCATCGTTTCTTTGCTAACATTCCCAGGCTACAAAGTGTCTGGTTCCACCTTCCAGCGTCTCATTTCCAATCCTAACATCGTCCAGTTACTTCAAGAATGGTTGTCAGATTAACTCCCCTATGGACAGGGAGATCTCTGAATCCATCGAGCGGAATCTCGAGCCATGGCCCAACGCCTGGACCGATTCGCCAACCGGCCAATACTTCAACCCCAAGACTTACGAAGAGCTGCTGCCACGTTATACCACTCGAGTTTGGCACTACTCTGTACGGACCCCCCCTTTTTCGTCGAGGCCCAGCTAACAACTTAAGAAATCCACCGTTCAAAACTGGAGATACCCAAAGCCGTTTGTTTACACCCCCTTGCACGGTGTTGGAGGACTGGTGCTTCCCGCCCTGTGCCGCTCATTGGGCATCACGGACTTCACCACAGTAAAGGAGCAAATAGAACCAGATCCCGACTTCCCAACCTTACCATTCCCCAACCCCGAGGAAAATGGAGCGCTGGACCTGGCGGTGGAAACGGCGGACCGGGAAGGTAAAACCCTCATCATCGCTAACGACCCAGACGCCGATCGATTCGCTGCTGCCGAAAAAGTCGAGTACGTAAACAATGATAATGACATCCTCGAATAAAAGCTAACCTTAGCAGCGGCAAATGGTTTTTCTTCACTGGTAACCATATGGGAGCTCTTCTGGCGTCTCATCTTTTCGACTCGCTTGAGAACATTGACACAGACACACGGGTTGCTGTCCTGAATTCAGCCGTCTCCTCGACCATGCTTGAGAAAATGGCCAAGGCCAGGGGTATTTACTTCGAGGAGTCACTCACGGGCTTCAAGTGGATGGGAAATACGTCTCGCAAACTTGAGGAGTCTGGATATTACGTTACCTTCGCGTTTGAGGAGGCTCTCGGCTATATGTTCCCGGAGGTCTGCTACGACAAGGATGGGATTACGGCGGCCATGATCTTCCTATCAGCCCAAGCAAGATGGGCCACGCAAGGTCTCACTCCCTACAGCAAACTCCAAAAGCTATTTGCCGAATTCGGGCACCACGAGACTTTAAACAATTATTTCCGGTCGCCCAACCCGGAAACAAGCATGGTGCTATTCGACGCCATCAGGGCTGGTCAATTTAAGTCAGAACAGAAGTTAGGATCCTTCAAGATTCTTCGATGGCGAGACATGACAGAAGGCTACGACTCCGGCACGGAAGACAAGACGCCACGACTTCCCGCTGATAAGAGCAGTCAAATGCTAACCCTATGGCTTGATCGGGACGTACGGTTCACAATTCGCGCATCAGGCACCGAGGCTAAGGTCAAATGTAAGTTCTCCCTGTACACCCAGTAAGGATCAGTGCTAATGGCACATCTGCAGACTACATAGAGAGCTGTGGCTCCTCTCGTGAACAAGCGATAGATGCTGTCTGTGACACCCTCCGGGCAGTCATCAAAGAATGGATCCAGCCATACGCCCCGTTGTTGACCTACAGCAAACAGCTCCCCACATCTTCTGGCCATATTCTTCAGCTTGACTAGGATTTCATTTCGGGAGGCAACTTTAGGAAACTTTAATACGTCACCCCTTTAGCCGACATGGCTTCAGCACCCATAATATTCTGAACAGAGTTAAAGGACCGTTTACGACCCCTTTCATCTAGCGAAGGCTACATCACGGAAGCCTACATAGACCCATCTGCCCGACTGGCACAATCAAGGATATACCCAGGACAATTCAGCAAACCACATCCACGTGTCGCACAGCATAAACAGTAAGAAAGATCCAGGCTTTTAGCACCTAGCCAAGCCCATCTGCAGCGAAGCAATATACCTCAGTAAACAGTGCATAAAATCCCACTCTTCCCCCACTCCAGCCCACAACCCCCCTTCGTTAACCTCACAATCCTTATGGCAATCCGCTGTCCCTGCTGGTACACATACAGGAACCGCAGCCAAAGCCCCGAACAGCGCGACATCAACATCAACAGATATCCAACGCCCTGCCGGCCCCTCCTACTCCCAGACGCAGAAGCAGAATCTGAAACAGAAACTGAAGAAACAGAAACTGAAGAAACAGAAACTGAAGAAACAGAAACTGAAGAAACAGAAACTGAAGAAACAGACACAGATAGCACCATCTCTATACCGAGACCATCAACTCCGCGCCCACAATCACCATCACCACCAGCGAATACCCAACTCCATATGTGTCCACCCGACCCCAGCCGCAGTCGCAGTCGGTGCCGGTGCCAGCGCCCAAAACGGGTCGAGTACACGGAGAGAACGTGTGTATCCTTATCCCACCTCCCCATTCGCATGCTTGAGCGAAAGTTACTCTAACTGTGCTCTATACATCCAGGTGGGAGTGCAAATCTCAGTGTCCGCAACCGGCCGCTCGTCCTCAATCCCATGCTTACGCCCAAGCCTACGACCACGGCCACGCCCGCGCCTATGCTCACGCTCAGTTCGAGAGGCGTCCGCAACCCGAAGCCAACCCTTGTTCCCGTCCCAGGTCGCACGATGAATGCGCGTGTCAGATCCAGATCCAACTGGACTGCCAGTGCCAAATCCCGAGCAAGAGCCAAGACGACGCATCACCGCATTATATGTCTGGAGCCCGGGTTGACAACTCGCCGAACATGACGGCCTATGCGGCTGCTATGGCCGGGCCGGGAGGATGTGCGTATGCGCATGCTATGGCGCATGGTGACCTTGATTATTCCCGTTCAGAGGGATGTGGTGGGAAATGTGGTCTGACGAAAAGCCACAGTTATGAACGTGAATATGCGCCTGCGAAAGAGCAGGAGATCCATTGCGTCTGTTGCGTTTCTGTTGGACCGCCTAAGAAGCGTCAAGAGGAGTGTGAATGTGAGAGGAATAGTCATCGGCATCGAGGGGTGTATGCGTATGGACCTCCAATGCCACCGGTTATTGTGGATAGTGCGCGGGGAGGTTGTTGTTTCTTCAGATAGATGAATCTGTTGTCTTTAGTAAATCAGTAGATGTTAGGAAAGAAAAGTCCAGTCTATGATTGATTTAAGCCTTTTATTCATAACTCAATACAGGACAACCAACATAGGAAATATAATGAGGTCAATGCTACACGGATGATGCTAGCATGGCTAGACTAGAGGATACAAAAATGGCGGGATATGATGGGAGGAGATGTTTAGAAGTGGATGGCCTTGTCGTAGGTGGCCATGGCAGCCTCCTTGAAGGCTTCGGCGAGGGTAGGGTGGGCGTGGCATGTGCGGGCGATGTCCTCGCAAGAAGCGCCGTACTCGACGGCGAGAGTGGCCTCGGCGATCATCTCACCGGCGTTGGGGCCGATGATGTGAACACCAAGGATGCGGTCAGTCTCAGCATCAGCGATGAACTTAACCTGACCCTCAGTGTCGAGGTTGGTCTTGGCGCGAGAGTTGGCGCTGAAGGGGAAGGTACCGACACGGTACTTGACACCAGCGGCCTTGACTTCCTGCTCGTTCTGGCCAACCCAGGCGACTTCGGGGTGGGTGTACATGACACTGGGGATGACGCCGTAGTTGACGTGGCCGACACCCTTGGTGATGTACTCAATGGCGGCAACGGCTTCCTCCTCAGCCTTGTGGGCAAGCATGGGGCCGAAGGTGCAGTCACCGATAACACGGATGTGGTTGACCTTGGTGCGGTACTCCTGGTCGATCACCAGGCGGCCGCGCTCGTCCTTCTCAAGACCGGCGTTCTCGAGGCCGAGACCCTCGGTGTATGGTCGGCGGCCGATGGCGACAAGAACGACATCAGCATCCAGAGTCTCCTCCTTGCCGCCCTTAGCAGACTCAACGGAGAGAGCGACGGTAGCACCGCTGTCGTCACCCTTGGTGACCTTGGTGCCAACCTTGAACTTGATACCCTGCTTCTGCAGGATCTTCTGGGCCTGCTTGGCGATATCGGCGTCCATACCGGGACCACCGATCTGGTTCAGGAATTCGACGACGGTAACCTCAGCTCCGAGACGGGACCAGACGGAGGCCTACATGATTAGCGGTGAAAAAAAAGGTATGGCGCATTGGGAGAGCCTACCATCTCCAGACCAATGATACCACCACCAATAACAACCATCTTCTTGGGGACCTCCTTCAGAGCAAGAGCACCAGTGCTGGTAATGATTCTCGTCTCATCGATATTCAGGCCGGGGAAAGGAGTGGCCTCACTACCAGTGGCAATAATGATGTTCTTTCCGCGGAGAGTCTGCTCACCACCCTCAAGCAGGTTGACCTTGATGGTGTTCTCGTCAACGAGCGCACCGGTACCCTTGACATAGTCGACGCCGTTCTTCTTGAACAGGAACTCGATACCCTTGGTCAGTCCCTCGACGGAAGTGTCCTTGGCCGCCATCATCTGCGCGAGGTTCAACTTGACGTCACCGACCTCGATACCGCGCTTTTTCGTGTCATGGAGAACCTGGTGGTAGAGGTGGGAGTTGTTCAGAAGCGATTTTGAGGGAATACAGCCGACGTTGAGGCAGGTACCGCCGAGACGGCCGCGCTTCTCGATACACGCGGTCTGTGTCGGAAAGGGATTAATCAGCGGTTATCCCAACAGGGTCGATTGAGGAAGCAGAAAGATCAATTCGCACCTTCAGACCAGCCTGGCCGGCCTTGATGGCAGCAACGTATCCAGCGACACCACCACCGATGATAACGACATCGTGTTCACCTGTACCGAGCGCATCCCGGCCGTTAGCTGTGGTCCTTCGGAAGCTCGGGACAGCTGCCCAACAGATGTCCTTGATGACGGAGAGGCACGACCTACCGGATTCTGAAGCGTATCCGCGAGTAGATCGGAGGATAGGGAAATAAGGAGCGGGAACAATGTGCGAGGGAACGGGACGAGCAGAGCGGACAGCAGCCCGCGGCGTCGTCCGGGGGAGAAGACTCCGGAACATGATGAAAGTGCGGAAATAAGAAATTAGAAGTGATTAGAAGAATCCCAAACAAACGATCCTCCAGGTAAACAAATCAGGAGGAGAGGGGAGGGAGCGGTTGGGGGAGTGAGTCGTGATCGCGGAAAAAGGATGTTGTAGCTTTGAGAGGTTTTGCCAGACTCAACGAAAGCTGAGCCGAAGGTATTGATACCGTAATGGGATCCGCATATGTAATCAACCGGCCACTCAGCGCCATTCTATTCGGCTCACCGGACAACTCCTCGATACTACCTTAACTGCTGGAAGCTGCAGCTATTATTTGAATCAGTCATGATTCTCTACGGCCTATGTCTAGGTTATTGTTGCTGCCATCCTCTAGACGGAAGCTCTGTAGCATGTATATTCTCGTACATCGGTAGCCGGCCCACCGGAACTCCCCGTCGAGTGGATAAGAATAAAACCCAATCAGGGCATCTCCCCAGCTTCATCGCCAGGGCTATGAATATTAATGTTTAAGATATCTTTCAACGAGATAATTCCGATCCGGTTGTGGTCAGACTGGGCGATATCTATACACCAATGACAGTTCCCCTGCAGCAAATTATGCATGTTCTCCGCGAGTATCCGCGGGTAACGCAAAACAAATACTCCGTTTAGTTGGCTGGCTATTATCGGCGTATCGGCGTCTATATGGAGACTGTCCTCGAGATTGGGTCTGGAGATCACAAAGCCGTTGATTCGCGGGGTATGCGTCGCAATTTAGTGCAGTTTAAAGCCCAGTTGTTCCAACTGCGTATCGATTCCATTAAGATTGATAATCTTTTTCTCACAGATATATATCTCAAGAACAGCAAGCCATAGCCAAAATACCGGGTCAACTCAAGTTGATGGCCACTCAGAAATCCAGCAGATATGTTTTGGCCATCGAAACAATCGGCAACCATCTACTACAGAGATGCTATGGTTTCGCTGCACAAGGTTCGATAAAGAAAACCTCTGGGCAGTGTATCGAAAGCGGACATCTCAAGGCACTGTCATGAGAAGTCACTTGGCTAAAAAGCAGTTATTTAGACGACCGCATCCAACGCTGCTTCTTAATTTCCCTTTGGCGAGGACTTGCCATCACGGCGCGCGAAGCCTGGCCCTGGCAACGGTCTGATGTTCAATGGGAAGTTATCACGGATGAGCTGCATGCTGCGAGTCGCTCATATTTCCTGAACGATATACCTCGAAGGTCTCAGAGGCGTCAAAGCAAATGCATGCAAGAAAGCCGCGAGTGTTGAAATCCTCAAATGCTGTCCTGAATTGCCCTCTGCTCTGGGGAAGGACCACTTTCGGACCAGGTTCGAGCTCTGCCCGGTGTGATATCAACGCCTGGAGTGGTATCAATGTTCAAAGCCCGTTCACTGGCTTGTCCGTGAGCAATAGTTATCATCGAAATGCCTCGTCAATGAATACGCGATTGGAATTCGGATGCTCTGGTGCGTTGCAGCATGTTCTATATGCCTGTGATGAACCTGGGCATCGCGGATGAGATGGCCAGAGGACTTGGCTTCCAACCCCGATGATAGCCGATCACCGAGAGGAAGTTAATCTGAGATCCTAAAATGAGTCGGCATCTTCTTCATTCATACCAAAGGATAAACATAACAACAAGAAACGGTTATGCTTGCTCTCAACCATCTCGAGAAAGCCACCAGCCATTCTTTACGGTCACGCAAAGCACTATCCGTCGGACTGTTCCCGTCAGAGGACCGGAGCTGGGTGTCGAATGCCCAGGCGGGAGAAGTGATCAGATATGGTTTGCATAGGAAATAAAGAACAAGGGGTTTAGGGAGAGATGGTAGACGAATTGCAGGTGCAGATCCCACAATTTGGGAAACACTCACGAGTGGCCGGGGGCTGACCTTCACTACGTAATGTGGTGGCCGGGATTCAGCCGAGTTTCTTCTGAAAGCTTGTCAGGGATGCCGAGCACCATCACGCCAAGAGCATCGGCAGACAACAGGAGAGCTGGACCTGGGGATAGAAGCTGCTCTGCCGACTCGACCTCAATCATCTTTGATGACTATGGTTATTGATGATGTACACCACGTTTCGTCCATTCAATCGACCCCTCCCCCGAAAGAGGAAAGTCGGAGTTATTCCGTCGATGGCCATCCAACCCCAGAATCTCCCCACGGCCCACAAAAACCCCATTCGCAAGCCATGGAGAGGTGGACACTCCTGGCATAGCTGGCAGTCTGAACTTCTGAAATCAACCGATCGAGGTTCACCAATCAAAATTTAACCCCTCAATGTCCCTGACCCTGCCATGAGCATTTAGCCGGATAGCCCGTGCAAAGTCACCCCAAAGACCCGTCGGATTGCCGATGATGGGCTCATGATTCGGGGTCGTGCGGCGATAAATCCCGTCTCTCACCTCCAACCTCCAGCTTGTCGCGACCGACTGTGGGGTTTCTTCCAGTTCTTCATCGTCACACCCCCGGAATGTAACCTCATTCAGCGGGCCTGGTTCTCCATGGCTTCCCCGACCCTGATTTGGCCTGTCTATGAGGTCGTCATATGCAGTTCTCGAGGCAGCATAAATACTCGTGTAACCCCACGTCCCCTCACTACTTTTTGGCGTGCGAGCTCTTCCACTGTGGCGGCTTGAGCCTTCTATACCTTCATTGTTGATACACCCAGCACTCAACATGAGTGACCAGATATCCTCGTGGAATGTCGTCCACAGGTTTGAGAAGCGCGGTCTTCTCATTGCCATCAACTGCGTTGCGGCCCTGTCGATTCTCTTCTTTGGATATGACCAGGGCATGATGTCCGGAGTTAACAACTCCAAGGACTACATCGACCTCATGGGGTTTGGCTACACTGAAATGAAGGACGGCCATCCCTCCCCTGTGGTGACAAACAGCCTGCTTCAAGGTGGCATTGTCAGTGTTTATTATCTAGGAACACTCTTCGGCGCTTTAATTGGTGGCTGGACTGGAGACAAGGTGGGTAGAATCAAGACGATTGCCTTTGGTTCAGTCTGGGCGACCTTCGGGGCTGCTCTACAATGCTCGGCACAGAACCATAACTGGATGATCTGCGGTAAGACATGCCTTCCCGGAGACTCTGCTTCTTCGAGCTAACTTAAGTAGCACGGTTTATCAATGGAATCGGAACCGGGATACTCAACGCCATTGTTCCCGTATGGGCAACCGAAACCGCAGAACACACGAGCCGTGGCCAGTTCATCGCAATTGAATTTACCTTGAACATCTTTGGTGTTGTCCTCGCATACTGGCTTGAATTGTAAGTAGTGGCAGATGGAGATTGCGTCGATTTTGTACTGACTGCGACATAGTGGCCTGTCTTTCATAGACAACGGTGCATCACCCTTCCGCTGGCGCTTCCCGATTGCTTTCCAAATTATCTTCTTGATCGTCCTGTTCGCCGTTGTTTGGTTCTTTCCCGAATCCCCACGTTGGCTGGTCAAAGTTGGTCGGGAGCAGGAGGCTCGCTATATACTGGGTAGACTCCGTGGCAGCAGCGGCGAAGATGCTATCCGGGCCGAGGCCGAGTTCCAGGATATCCTTAGCGTCGCGGAGGCCGAGAAGTCTATGGGTCATAGCACGTCTTACCTGGCCATGCTCTTCGGATACAAGACTGGGAAGCTTCATCTGGGTCGCCGTGTTCAGCTTGTGGTATGGTTGCAGATCATGCAGGAATGGGTTGGTATTGCCGGAGTCACTGTTTGTAAGTCACCTTTGCGCAACTCTTTGACCGCAAGCTGATCAATCTTGTAGATGCGCCCACCATCTTCAGCATCGCCGGATTTGATTCCATGAAAAGTCAGTGGATCAGCGGTTTGAATAATGTCTTCTACATGGTATGACCCTTACTGGTCATGGTGCATGATATTTGCTGACGGATTAGTTTGCTACTGTGATTTGCGTATTCACTCTTGACCGGATCGGCCGTCGGTGGACCTTGTACTGGGGAGCGGCAGGCCAAGGAATTGCCATGTTCCTTGCTGGAGGGTTCTCACGCATTTCGATTGACGCTCGTGACGCCGGAAATATGGCACGGGCTGAATCGTTTGGTGCCGCCGCGGCTTCCATGGTCTTCATCTTCACTGCAATCTTCGGAGCCACCTGGTTGACAACTCCCTGGATTTATCCCGCGGAGATCTACCCATTGGCCGTGCGCGCCAAGGGTAATGCCTGGGGTGTCGTAGGTTGGAGTATCGGAAATGGTTGGCTGGTGAGTGGCTGTGATTATTTATATCTTTTTTGCGGACACTGACCGATATGTTGCACAGACACTCCTCTGCCCTGTAATGTTCGAGTCAATTGGAGAGAAGACTCTTTATGTCTTTGCTGCCAGTAACGTGATCGCCATCCCCATGGTCTGGGCGCTGTACCCCGAAAGCAACCAGCGGACGCTGGAGGACATGGACCTGCTATTCGCAGCTGATACGCCCTGGGTGTGGGATGCGGAGAAGACATTTGCCCGCCTCAAGGCCGAGAACCCAGGCTATGTTGAGACTGCGGCGAGGAAGAATAGCATTCTGGATGAGGAGGCTGCCAAGTCGGTCACTTTGACGCATCACGAGAATGCTGCTTGATGTGTTGAAGCGAGAGAGACATATGATAGAAGTAGATGTCGGATTTGGATACCATAGCGAGAGAGCCAAATATTAAGCAGTCCAACTTTGCCCATGCCCTCGCCTTCCACCCGGGTGATTACTTTCTGGTTAACAAGGCTGAGTCGCCTCGTGGGCAGTAAGGCCAGAACAAGCACATATTCAGAACTAAGTGTCAGTGCCGTAAGATATATACAAACACCTACTAAACCTAGAAATGCCTGGTGCCGAAGAGCTCATGCGGGGGAAAAGCTCGGATAAATCCCCGCATTACTGAGCCACAGTCACAGCACTACTAGCGCATTCACCAGCCACACATCTAATCTCCGATACGTGGCACTCGGCGCATATATAATCCGCACCGTCGCTCCAGCTCCAACACCGAAAGCACAGCTGGCATTAGCATCACATTCACGACCCGCGCTATCCAAAACTTCTCAACTTGCCACTCATTTCAATCTTCGTCTCTCGTTCTCTTTATCTCCGCTGCCTTGAAGTCAGATTATCCACACCGACACCATGTCCGACCAAGTACAGGAATTGCTCAACATCCCTCAGGAGTTCCTCCGCGATGGAATGCAGTTTGTGAACCGCAGCCAGAAGCGTACGTCGGATCTTGCCTTGTTTATCCCCCATTTGAAATGCAATGCTTCGCTGTTTGGTTTGTCTTGAGAGGATCGGAGCTAACAACGTCCAGCCGACAAGCGCGAATTCATCAAGATCAGCCAGGCCGTCGGCACCGGGTTCCTGATCATGGGCTTCATCGGTTACATTGTTAAGCTGAGTATGTTTCCTCGCTCTGCTCAAACTCCGCGAGCGGTTACCGGAATAGAGTTGAGTGCTTGATACTAACCTGTTCCAGTCCACATCCCCGTGAACAACGTTCTTGTCGGTGGCGCTTAAATTCAACCCTCGGTCGCTTTCATGTTGAACGGAGTGCGGATATCGAATTGAACTGCTTGTCGCCGGAATCAATATCCTGGGCACCTATAATCCGGCTCGTGAAGGAACGAATGGAGAAAAGAGAGAAATGAAACTTATACCCACATCGCACCACATCCAACCCTACCGCACGTGCCTCATACAGTCCGGCCACACGGTGATATGGAATGCTCTATCCAATGGGGCTGATCAGCCGTTGCATCTTGTCTGTCGGTAACGTGGAGGAGATCTGCGGCACGCATATCATTTTTCTACTTGAATCAGGGTGGCGTTAATGTTCTTTTTTGTACCTGGATCGATCCTATCTTCTTGTTTGTCCTTAATACTACCCGAGTCAGCATCGGGATTTGATATGCTGAAACCAGCGTTTCATGACTAAAGTTTCTCGAGTCTTAAAAGTTAGTGCTGTCCCCACGCTTGTACTCCGTCCTCCGTAGCCTTGTGGACTGGTAAGCACCATTGCTCCCTGACGTCGTGAGGATCAGCGCTACGTCCCTACAATGACTCGAGGGTGACATTGAGATGGGTCTGGACTCTGGACTCGGGTCGAGAATAATATTGTCCGGTGTCCAGTGCCTGGTTGCCTGCCTAATCCTAGTCAAGAGTCGGCCATCATCCAGGGGTACATGCAGTAGCTCGCTTACGTCGAGATTATCCATCGTCCATTAGGCATCACTATCCAGTAAATTTCCCAGGTAGATTACTCCGAACTCCGTAGACATGCAAGCACTGTCATGAAACGGTCGACGTCAACGTCCGTGACTAAGATAAGGCAGGTAGATGAGCGCAACATGAAACCCATTTGGGACAAGGATGATGGCTTGGGCAGACTCGGCTCCGGCCCGCGAACCCGATCTGCGTTGCTCTGACGGAGAGTCCGGAGTCGCGAATAAACGACGCAATGTGATTCGTCAATTCGAGATCAATACTTGTCTGACGTGAATTAAATCGCCTACCGACTCCCGAGTATCATCGTATCTCTCATCTGTCATACTCATTCATCTATCTACGCAGTCTATCTGAAACCGCTCAGTTCCGTGGACTTGATCATCCAATCCTCCTGTCATCCTCGCTTCACCGACGCCTCCGAGCGAAACCCGTCCTCATCTAGATAGGCCAGGCCAGACCAGACCAGGACAAAGAACAAAAGAACCACGTTCTCTACCACCGATAAGATTAAGACGGCTCAGACCACGCCACCCTCACACCCCCAACGCTTCGAAAGCCTGGGCACTGCACACTTACTCAAGAGTCAACCGTCCAACCATCTCATTCTGCAACCGGCACGCAGCCAAACAAACAAAGCCATCCTGCCTCAGACCCAAAACGGAAAGGCACTAGAAGCCGCCCAGAACTTCGAAAGATCCTTCCACTGCGGCGCTGCGCTGACTGCCCCACTACTACTCTCCTAGACCTGTCGGCTCTGTCATTGTCGCATCGCAGGCTCGCAGCTGTCTGTCGCACACGGTCCTCAGTCCTCGCGCAGTACGCACACGGAGTCGGACGCGTTTGGAATTGCAGAGTTAGACACGTGTATCCAGGCTAAACTGCACCTAGATAGGCTAGCCCAATCCATCCAGCGTCCAGGAGTGAAACAAACAATTCCTCCAAGAAGCGAAATGGAAATGCCCCTGCCAGCGACAGTGCCAATGCCAGCCGAACCCAGTCCGGCTCTTAGGCTCGGGCTTGGGCTTGGGCTTGGACCTGGCCTTGACGTCGCAGTTCGACATCAAGTCGGAGTCCCAGTTCCAGTCTCAGTCCCACCTTCTGGCCCCCACGCCGGCGCCGGCGACTTGTCCGATCACCAAGCGGCGCAAGACCCAGTCGCAGTCCCACCAAAACTCCAGGTCCGAGTCCAGGATCATCGGATTCGGCAGGGCCAGGTCCACCAAGAATCAGATCATGACGCCACCGCCGAGCGCGATACAACCTCGTCGGCGTCGCAAGCGCAACAAACAAAGGACTCGCACAACGCAGAGTCAGACACGGACACGGACGCGATTCTGAAACTGAAACTCACAAAGAAAATCACTCAGCACCCCACTCTCACGCGCCTCCGCAAAACACTCTATTTGTGTCTGCTGCAGATCCCGCCTGGACAATGGACGACCTATGCGGCGCTGGCGAAACACGTGAATTCTAGCGCGAGGGCGGTTGGGACTGCGATGCGGCTTAATCCGCTTGCGCCGGGTGTGCCGTGTCATCGGGTGCTGGGGAGTGATGGGGGGCTGGGCGGGTATATGGGGACGCCGCCTGCAAAGGCATCGGCGCAATCTAAGGGTTCTGCGATTGGGAGTGAGAGAGGGAAAGAGGGTAATTTGGACAGGAAGAGGAGGATGCTAGAGGAGGAGGGGGTGAGGTTTGACTCGAGGGGACGAGCGATGGGGAGGGTTTTTGTTGCGTTTACTTCTACTTTTTGATGAAACTTTGGTTTACGGATAGGAATGGTGTTGGTGTGTTTGAATGGCTTATGATATCATGTATTGATGTCGATAAAATGCCAGGTATCTCCAACGCCGACCGTCTATAGTGTATAGCAATATGAGAGACATGACAAGATATGACAACCAAAGCAAATGCGAGTGAAAGAGCAACAAAGAAATGTCTCGCGAGTGTCATCGTCTCATAACGCCGCCCAGTACTCCCACACCGCATTAGTCGTCAACCATGAAAGAAAAGAGGAAAGAAGAAGAAGTGGTATAAAACAGGTCGAGTATCGAGAAGCAGAGTATAGAAACAGTAGTGAGGTAACGGTCACGACGAGGTGTAGCTGGCATTCAATAACGTGTTTAAACAGTCCTCAGTCGCTTCGCCGCGCGTCGCTTCGGCACATCCATGTGGTGGAACGAGCGTAGGTGCTCGACGAGGTGGTCACGTCGCGGGAAGCCATTGTTGTCCTTGCGAGAGCAGTCCGGTACCGGGCAGTTCTGGAAGACCGGGTAGTGTACTGTGCTTTGGTGGCGCTTTAGATCCGCTGGGCGGGTGAAAGCCTTGCCGCAGTCTTCGCAGCTGTATGGTTTGGCTGGCCTGTACAATGGTTAGAACTAGGCAGAGAAAAAGAGTGATCGGACTACTTACTTGGCCGGCTCTTGGCTAAGGCCATCCAGAGGAAACATGGACTGCTCAACAGGCATCGAGGTCGGCGACCAGGACGGAGTTGAGCTAGACGGGTATGAGGTCGGCGCATCCATTATAGGAAGCGTCTCTGGAGTGTAGACGAATGTCGGGTTGAATCCGTAGTAGGGACCATGGCTGTCTACCGACGAGGGCTCGAAGTCAAATGTTTGCTGGTTGAGCGGAAAGTCGGCAACGCTGCCTGGACCTGTGCTGGTGCCAGCGCTGGTGCCGTGTCCATGGCCGCCGTGCATGAAGTACATGTCTAGGAAGCTCATGCTCGAGTCGTCACTGACGCCGGAGTACGAGGAACTGGGGGAGTAGGACGAGTAAGACAAGGAGGAGTGTGAGTGCTCCATTGGAGGGCAGGCGATGGGCTGGGACTGTAGAGTAGATGTTAGCATGAGTAGCACATAGGTAATGGGGATCAAGGTAGTACCATTGTGGGTTGGAAGGGCATGTTGAGGGTAATCTATGACCTGATCGGAGGGAAGCTATGGAGTGGTGAAAATCTGGGGAAAGAAAGTTGGAACCATGGAGTGTGGGCAGCACGAAGTTAGGAGTTGGACGAAGCAGGTGACCGGGTGCAGGGAGGGCTTTTATAATAATTATTCGAAGTCTTTCGAGTCGGTTTCGCACATGCATTAGTTAGTTGACTTAGACCCAGGCGATACGAACACATCCATGACGGATTATCACCTGGTCAAATGGCCAAATGCGCCGGGACAGGAAAAGATGGCCATGCATGCAGACTAGACACACAGCCCCCCAGTGGCCGGGTTGCGATTGGCAAGTCAGGGCAGTATCCCTGCTAGTGCTGACGCTAGAAAAAGGATCGAAGCCTGGGAAACTTCTGCCAGCCTTCTAGCGCTGTTCTAGCGGGTTTCGGTCGCCAATGATAGGGCCAGCTTGTCAGGGCCGATAGCGTAACTGGGAAGTTGGAAACAATCAACTGAGTTGTCTGGAGTTCCCCTCGTCATAGCCATCCCCACGATGTGCACCCGGGCGGATAACCGGCTGTGCTCTGCTAGAACAAGCCTGGGTGCATGGCCGAAGAGCCTGATTGCCTAGGACTGAACGAGTGCTCTTCAGAGGCCGGGCTGTTCTGTCCACTGCAGGGAGTCAACTTTGTCGGGAGGAATGCGGCTCGAGTCGCCTGGCACCAATCAGCCCTGGCAGCCTGGAACGAGCAGGGACTCACTTATCGCGCGAACGTGCAGGATCGTCATTTGCTGGACATTACTTGGCCTCTCGGAGGGTCCCGACGGACAAAGTACGAGCCATCGTACAATTCGCATTAATTCTCCTCAGCAACTCTTCAGTGTCTTCACAGACTGTACTGCAGTCACTGCACTCGGCACGATTTCCCCGGCCGGGCGTCAGGGATCCGCACTAAAAGACCGGACAGCCTTGTCTTTCGTCATAATTTAATTCATGTCTCATAAGTGCCATGAATATGATGAAATGATAATGAAGGCTGGAGTAGCTGGGCTAGTCTGTGTTGAATGTGCAGAAGCTGAGTGGTCGGTTGGAGTTGACAAGCGGTCTGGATGTGGAAGGAGGCTGACAAGGCAGACTCTCCCTCTCTCCTCCAGTAGCCTCTAGAGTCGACTGAGCCTCCGTGCAGTCCGATCAGCGATCTTCTCCAGGCCCTCTCTGATCGCGATCCTAACTCCATCCAGGGTACGGCGTACGCTAATCGAAAATCCCTCACAAGTTCATCTGCAAACTCGCCTCATCGCCGGACTCGAACTAGTTCGACGTTTCGTGTATACGTCGCATGGCTTCACCAGCGTTCGAGATAGACACCCAGTCGATCCTCTATTTTTGTCAAGATATTAATATACTTGTCAAGAGCATTTCTTTGTGTCTTTCTTTGTTGATTAAATCTCCTACCGTCTGGTCCGTGCGGGGTAGTCTTTCGACTTTTTTTTCTTAATTTATTTTATTAGTTTTCATTCTGTATGGTGTTTATTGCGTTCTTTGTCGCAATGGCCACAGCCACATCAATGTTTCCAGTCTCCGCAACTCAAGCTTATTAGACCCTACAGTTTATCAAGGTACTCCGCACTCTTACCTAGTCCGGAGTTTGAAGAAAAACTACAGCCTCTCCTCTAAGGGTGTCTATTCATTGGTTAACCAAGCAGCAGCTCAAGACATGGCTGCATGTCCATAAGCCGCCACTAAAGAACAGCGTCGAACTCCTGTCCCGCAGACCCATTCATAACACCTGTTCCTGGACCCATCAAGATACATACAGTAATAAAAAGATATGGTTGACACCGTCTCACTTGCAGACTCGTGATCGAAGAAAGCAAACCAAACGCATCAAACCCAGGAAGGAAATGCAGGAAAGCCAGCTCACAACTCGTCCTCTAGGTACTTGTAGACAAACTTGAAATCCGCCTTGCGACGATTCATCCTGCAGCCTGGTTAGAAAGCTAGCTAGCCGAATACGAACGGGGTCCTTACCAAGTGCTTTCGTAGTCGAAAAAGCGATAGGTGCCTTGTTCGAATTCCTCGGTGATCGTCTTGGGCTCTTCGTGCCGCTGGAACCATGTTTGGTACTGTTTGTGGAATCGCCAGCTTTGACCTTTGAGCGCCTTTGCCGACAGGTATTGCTGGTATGTACCTTGGCGGTAATAGAACAGATAAAACAACGCATCTGTATCAATGCGCCCTGTCTCGTAAAGTCTTGGGTCATCAAAGATGGCCAGAGGCTCCTGGGGGTAGTAAAGGGGCGTATTATATGGGTTCTGGGGCTTGTAGTGACGGGGCTTTTCTGCGTCTCCGGGCTCCGGGCAATTGGCAGCGGATGCTGTGAGAAGGCGCTGCACAGAAGGTGGCTGGCTTGAGGGGTTCGTTGATGCGCGGCTTTTGGTGACTTCGAACGAATGAATCAGATCCTGTAGACCTGGAGGCAGGTGATAGATGGACTCCTCTCCTGACTGGATTTCTTTACTTGACTCTCCGTTGGCGGCAGCTTGTGATTTCATGGTGGCCGCTTCTGCCTTGTCCATTGCAGGAGTACTTGGCACTGTATTTGAGGCGCTGGCGGCAGCAGAAACCTTGGGACTGAAAGCAGGCGTTCGCGAACGACCCTCCTCTGCGACTATCGCTGCTGTAGGTGTTGCTTTCGGAACAGGCTGCGCTAGGGTTACAACAGGTGAGGCGGTAGAGGAGGCTTTGGAGGCGGGCACTGCAGCGGGGAAGGCGGGGCTAGCACCTGGAGGAGGCGGCAGAGGAGCAATTCCCACTCCGTTCTTATCGCTTGCGGCAGCAGCAGCAGCAGCAGAAGCGTACTTGAGTGTTTCACCGGGCAGACGCGTGGGAGGAGGTGCAGGCTTCATGCCAGACGTTGAAATGCTTGAACTTGACGGATGTAGTGTTGCTAAGACCGGAAGCGGGGATTTCATTTGAGCGGAGGGTCTGCGATGGCTGGTCGCGCTGGCTTCAACTTTGGGCTTCGGCTTGGGTTCGACCTCCTCGTCCTGCATTGACTGAGTGTCCTGCGACGACACCCGGTCGTTGTCACCGCCTAGTCCGAATTGCGCTTCGGCATCGTCGCCCATGTTCAGATCGTCGTACAGCGTCTCGTCTTCCCCGGCGTAGTCGATCTGGTTACCGTCCTCAACGTAGTATTTGATGCTCTCCTTGAGGTCCAGCACCTGATTCGTTTCGATGTTGCCATTCTGGAGTGACCGTAGTAACAATTCCAGTTTATTTACGTGCCACTTGTGCCGCTCAATAAAGTTCGCAAGATCTCCTAGACGATTTGTCTTGGTAACATCCTTCTTTCCTTTCTTCATCGACATTTGTAATGACTCCTCTTCCGCCTCCATTGCCTCGATCTTTTGTTGCAGCTCGTCGACCATATTGGATAGGAAATCGCAGGTCTCAACTTTCTCCTTGTCTTTTGGATCAAGTCGTGATGCGGCAGAGAGTCCCTCTTTGGAATATGCTTTCGTCTTCATCTCCTTCTCGACGGCTTTGAATTGCTCCATGCACTGCATCTCCGTTAGCTATGAACGAATTCCCCGTTTATCAGCCTACCGTCTCAATGGCTCTCCGCTGCTCAAGCAACGGGCCTTTGTCCTTGACCTCATTGCCAGATGCCCATGATTTGATTTGATCACGATACCGTTGGAGTTTCTTGATCTCTCGTTTTAGGTTCTCTTCGAGCTTGTCACGTTGTGTGGGATTTGTAGCGGCGCGAATCTTTTCGTAAATTCCTTCAAACGTTTGAATACCCTCCGCGACCTTTTTGAAGGTCTTGTCGATCTCCTGCTGCGTCTTTCGGGACGTCATTGCTGCCGTCTGTTTCTCATGCGAACGGAGATGCCAAGAGATGAAATTCCGCAGCTACCGCGCTGGATGGGTTATCGGGAATGGTCCGGAATAAATGACCGGGGATGGGTAGATGTAAGGAGAAACGTTGGTTGCCCAGCGAATTTTTATAGCAGGAAGTGTTATCGTGACAATGATGGAAAGCCTCCACTGGCCAGTGAATGTTCCATTACCTTTTGCGGTGGCCACAAAGCTGGGGATGTGCTAAGATAGGAAGGCGGTCACATAAATTACTGCCTCCACCTTGCCTGTTTTGTCCTTGCGGGGAAACAGCTTGGACTGTGCACTAAGCGCAATCTGTTGGAATTATATGGTATCGAAGCCGCTGCTTGTTACGCTTAATATCTAGCTGGATCGCTTATGAAAAATTGCGTGCACTCGGTTGGTGGTACATACACACGGGGTTTCGACCTGGCTCGCGCCGGCTAATGTGTATGACGGCTACAGCAACGGACAGGACTACCTAACAAGATATTATAATGAAAGGTACGAAATCGTGATTCTGACTTACTTCAGTTGTCTAATGTCTGCAGCCGTGATTCAACGAGTCAAATCGGCCTCCGTCACCGTCGATGGCCAGCTTATCTCCAAAATCGGACGAGGGCTTCTCGTGCTCGCGGGAGTCGGGAGAGAAGATACGGAAAAGGATATAGACACCATGGTCAATCGGATATTGAAGGCGAAGCTATTCCCGGCGGAGAATGACAAGCAGGCGAGTAATCCGGGCGGGGATCTGAGTAAGGCTAACGGAGCCGATCAACAGTGGAAACGGAATGTGCAGGACATTGACGGGGAAGTGCTTTGTGGTAAGTTCTCTGGGCTTCGCCTTTCCACCATATACTGATTCTTGCAGTATCTCAATTCACGCTTTTTGGCGAATTGAAGAAAGGCAAACAACCAGACTTTCACCAAGCCGCAAATGCCGAAATTGCGCGCAAACTATACGACTACTTCTACCGGCAGCTGAGCGAAAACTATAAACCGGAGCGAGTCAAGAATGGTGTATTCCAGGCGATGATGGATGTCGAACTTGTCAATGATGGGCCGGTGGGTGTCGACTACCGCAGTGAAGATGCGGCGGTTAGCTCTCGCGTCTCCCGTGGATTTCTCAAGATAGATAATGGCAGAGCTAACCGAGTCTGTTTTTAGGTCACGATCGAGGTCAACACACGGTTACCGAAGACAGAGAAGAGCGCGGATAGCACAGACTCATCGGACTCGAAGAAAGCGGGAAGCGTGGAGTTCAAGCTGCCCGCAGAGCTCCTAGAGTAAGACGAACAGAGTACAACTGTTCAGGTTATCATGATACCCTTACGACAAAAAATAGACATGCTTATAGAACTCATTCCGGTGCCATGTACATATACAAAAATATACATAGAAAGCTAACAATCTATACCAGAGATCAGAACAATACTAGATCCACTGAGTGAGCGATCATTTTAGCTTGATTCAAATAGAACCTCCGCTATCGAATTAATTGATCAAACGAATAATAAAAGAAATAGTAGCCTGAACCCCTCACCTGAGCATCTCAGGAACTAGCCCCTCGTTTTTAGATTCAACGACCGGGGCTTCACAGCGCAGAGCCGGGGGCCGTGGCGCGGTGATGGAAGCTTCCTGAAGCATCGTAGCTCACCATCTCCAGCCCACTTTGGCACCTGTCTTTTTCCCCTCTTATAACTTCCTTCTCCTCTCTCTCTCTCCACTGTTATTCGCCCTCTCACTACCTTCCTCCGCTCCACGCTATACAATCTCACATTTACAGCCATCATGGCCGAGTCTCAGCGTACGTTTTCGAGCCTCCCCGCTTTGCGATCTACCAAATTCCAGTCCACTCACAAGCTGCTGATTCAGGTCGCTCTCGCGTCTTCTTTGACATTCAAATCGGCAAGCAGCCGACTGGCCGCATTGCCCTTGAACTGGTGAGTGTTGCGTCAAATATGATCAACGCTACAGTCTTTGCTAATTGCCGCGCATAGTTCAACGATGGTATTGTCGACTGTTTCTAACGACTTTCCGGGACTCTTCTGACCTTGTTCTAGTCGTCCCCAAAACGGCAGAGAACTTTCGCGCCCTCTGCACTGGAGAGAAGGGAATGGGAAAGCAGGGAAAGCCATTGCACTTCAAGGGTATGGCACTTTCCTACATAAATTGGCACGCGAAAAGCTGACTGGAGCTTCCACATAGGTTCGATCTTCCACCGTGTTATCAAGCAATTCATGATCCAGGGTGGTGATTTCACTGCTTTCAATGGCACTGGCGGCGAGTCGATTTATGGTGAAAAGTTCCCCGACGAGAACTTCGAGCTCAAGCATGACCGCCCCTTCCTCCTTTCCATGGCCAACTCCGGGCCCGGCACAAACGGCAGTCAATTCTTCATTACCACTGTTCCCACTCCTCATCTTGACGGCAAGCACGTCGTCTTCGGTGAAGTCCTTAACGGCAAGAGCGTGGTCCGGAAGATTGAGAATATGTCAACTCAGGCAGATAAGCCTCATATCGATGTGACTATCGCGGAGTGTGGTGAACTTACCGGCGAGAACTACGACAATGCGGACAAGCAGACACCCGACGCTACGGGCGACCCCTACGAGGATTTCCCCGACGACCACCAGGGCGAGGAGCTCAATGCTCCTGTATGCTTCAAGATCGCGTCAGAGTTGAAGAACTTCGGAAACACCGCCTTCAAGAGCGGCAACGCCGCCCTTGGTCTTGAAAAGTACCAGAAGGGCTTACGCTATCTGAACGAATTCCCTCAGCCGGAGGAGAACGACCCCAAGGATTTGGCGCCTCAGATGAAGTCCCTGCGTTTTACCCTCCACTCGAACTCTTCACTCCTCGCGAACAAACTGGGACAGTTCAAGAACGGTAAGACCTGGGCTACATACGCCCTGGATGTGGCCGACGAAGCTAGCGCCAAAGACGCCGACAAGGCCAAGGTCTACTATCGCCGTGCCGTTGCCGAAAGCGGGCTCAAGGAAGAGGATGGTGCCCTGAAGGATTTGGAACAGGCTTCCAAACTCGCTCCTAGCGATGCCGCCATTGCAGCCGAGACTGCTAGAGTTAAGCAGGCTATCAAGTCCCGGGAGGCTCGGGAGAAGGCTACTGCTCGGAAGTTCTTCTCATAGGCGTCATTCCTATTTACGATTCATGAACCTTTTCTACTCCTCCCTTCCATGCTTGAAGCTGTGGGAATAAAAAGGCCCCAACAAAGAGCCTTTTGATTCAATACCTTTCCATCTACGTGGCTCATGTGGTTGAAGCCTTATACAGTATCCAATTTGACAGCCTGAAATATCAGGGGCGCTGCGTGGTTGTTCTTCTCCTGGTAGCGTCAACTCCCACGTAGTCCTACCACATATTTATGCACTCGGTGGCTCAAACACCACAAGAGGATTAGTTACGTGCACTCAAAGCAGAGAATGAAACTTGGTCAATGAGTGGACCGAAATTCGATATTCGTAGGGTATAGTAGTTGCTGCCTGAGGCACCAATAATCGCCTGGGCATGTACCGTAGGTAGACTAAGCCGGATAGGAACTCCAGTATCGAGACTCATTGAGAAGCCCAAACCATCTCATTTCATCCATCTCTATGGTCATACTATCATCAGCAGCAGTATAGGCCGCACACGCCCAGCGATAATGTGAGGACTGAATTATATCTTTAAGTCCATTTTAAATGCACCCCTCGAGAGTAGGCCTTTCCTTCCCGGAGCTGGACCGATAGCTGACCCATCTATACAGACACCACGCGCGCCTCCTCGCCAAATAGCGCGCCCCAAGTTCGCCTCCACACCACGCTTCTTGTTCTCGCAGCGAGCAGTAACTCAGCACAAAGAGACCGAGGCTCATGACTCTATCGTTCTCGAAGATGAGGCAAGCCCATTACCAAACCCGCGTCCGACTCCAACGCCGGCGCATGATGCATCGCGCCGGAAGGAAGCCATTGAAGATTCGGAGAGCGACCTGGACCTAGAGCAAGATCCCAACCAACGGACTGCCGATGGGGCTGGGCACAACAATGAAGAGATTCCGAGCAGCCCGCCGGCAGACATGACCGAGATAGCCGCAGAAATTGAAGAACTCTTCGGTCCGACAAGGCATCGCTCTAAACGGCGCCGTATTTCTGTCTCCGCCTCTGCTACCCTAGCCACGCCTGAGGTTCAGAAGAAAAAGCCACACGATGCTATTTTGACCTCCTCCCCGGAACCCTGGCCATTTGCTTCTACACTTGCAACCAACCACGATCCGCCCTCGCCATCCCTACCATACCGTACAACACCTCAAAGCCTCAGGACGCCTCGACCACAACCACGGGCACCGACACCAGAATTAGCAACGCCCGCGACAGCCAAACCTTCCGTCCGTGGTTATCCACGTTTTCTAGTCTCATCTGCATCTCAAGCGCCTCCAAAGCCGGCCTTCGTTTTACCCCGCTCGCCCTCGCCCGATCACGCAGGTCATGCAGGGTCAAACGCTATTCCGACGCCATTCTCCCCATCATCTCATGCGCTTCGTCGCCGCGGGCGGCAGCGTTCGTCAACACCCAGCTATCTCCCCGGCGGCATGGCTTCAGAGGTGCGCAGCTGGGTTTTAGAGATGGGGACGAAGCGCGAGCAGCAAAGGCAGATCCAGAATGCTCTGGGTTCTGGAAACACCGGTGTAGACTCGTCCTCGGTCGACCCTTCGAAATACTCGATCATGCTGCGGATATTTGATGTCCGTCAATCTGCGCTTGGGAGTTGCGGTCCGCTTGCGTTCATACGAGGTCAGACTGTGGCAGCAGCGTCGGTATCTTCTGAAGGTCAGATGCGTAGTGCCGATACGGATGCCGATACAGCAGACCATAATACAAGAAACGTCCTACTTATGGGTGCTCCGCGGTTGCGCGCTGGTGAGCTGCGGCCCTTGTCCCGGGTTCCTACTCTTCAAGCAGGGGACATGGTGGGTGTTCTCCGCGGGCTAGTTTGGGAGTTACCTGACATGGAGAGTGGTTTATCTGCTGGTCGTGAACATGAGCGGATCTTGCAGGGCGAGAACGAGCAGTCTCCGGGGTTGGTGCTGGGGAAATGGCTGGTTGGGATGGAGTGGGACGTGATATCCCCTGCGTAGATGCCAGCCTTCCATTCCTAATGTTGTTATTGTTGAGATTATACGTCTAGCGCCATATTTATGCGCGACCTTCAACCAAGTGATACCCTAGGCTTTTACTTGTCAGGACAATGTTTCCTTTCCGAAAGAGATACCCCTTTAGAGATCATGGAGTCATATCTATACAAGAAACTATGTACAATGCGACTTGTCTTTAGACCCAACTGCCCAATGCAACCTGTACCCGTACGCCTTGCTATAATAGATGAAACCCACAGAATAAATGGTTAACATAGCAATGAGCTCTCATGAGAACTTATCCTCCTCGGACGCCACAACCTTCAGTGCATCAACAGCAACCCTAACGCCCCATTTCACCATGACGGCCTCCTTCTCCGAAGCAACAATGTCGGTTTTCGCAACAACCTTTCTTAGGAAGTAAATACATCCTTTGACGATCTGCGGCGTATCCCGAGTCTTCATGAAGATCTCCACGAGGGGTTGTTCATTGAGAGCTGGTTCTTCTTCGCCCTTGGACCTGGACTTTTTCTTCTTCTGCTGCTTCTGGGACTGCTGGATGATGCTGATCATGAGCAGCTCAACGAATGTCTTTGTCTTGGGCTGCAGGTACGCAAAGTTGAGGGTCTTCAAGATGCCGAGTGTGAGAGTGCCATCTGCGATTAGAGAAGCGTACATCTTTGCCAAGTTAACGATGGCTTTCATGGAGAGTGGGTTCTCTTCATCTTCGCCGTGAGCACCGGAATCGTCGTCATCTTCGTCGTCTAAGTCCCCTGACTCGCCCATGCGCTTGAAGATATTCCACAACGTGAACATGAAGGAGACTTTGATGCGGCGACCGAGCTCTCCGCACAGCCGGCGCGCGATCAGCGTATAATAAGGGTTATGCGCATCTTCTTCCATGGCGCAGTGGGTGAGGACGCGAGGAATCTCGAATTCTTGTGCGCGCTTGAGGCGGAGCTTGAGCAGGCGGACGTGTGCGTCCTGGTAGTCGTTCGCGGACATGATAGCCACAAAGATGGAGCGGCGGACATCAGTGTTCATGCGTTGTGCCTTAGCGATTGAGGCGTAATCCGGTTCGGCATCGCTGTCGTCGTCGTCCACCCCGGTGGGTTGGTTGGAGGCGGACTGAGGGAGTGAGGAGAGTTCCTGGCGGGCAGATTCAAGAGGATCTTCTTTCCAGCTAGCGCCGACAAGCCACCATTTGCCCTTCTTCGACGAGTTGTGGATATCGCTTCGGGAAATGCTGATGGGTTCTGAGGCGCGGATGACGCGGGAGTTGTTGAGGGAGCCGAGGATCTTGCGCATCTTCGTGATGTGCTCGGAGGCGATGGTGGAGTTGGCGGCAGATTTGAGGCGGTTGTTCTTGAGGTCTGTAATTGTGTCGATCATGAATTTTGTTCGCACGGATAGGGAGGCTTCGCCGGCTTTCGCGATGGCGGGTTGGATGAGAAGGACGATGTCTTTGAGGGAGGATGGGTCGTCTTGTCGGAGTTGGGGTCCGGAGTCTGTATGGTCAGTTATCGACACGCTTTGGAAGGTAAATGGGGGTGCTCGTACTTCGGATGACCTTGAGAAGAAGCTCGGTATTGTCCTCATTAATGTCCTGCAGAAACAGCCGGATATAGTCAAAGACCAATGTGCTTCCAATGACATGGAAGTTGTAGAGCTGCGAGAGAAGCGAGATCAGGTTGATCATCTCCTTGCCCTCAAACTTGCCCCTTTCATCTCCGCCAGCGTCAAAAGTTTCCACAATCTTTTGAACGATTTCCGCGCCAAAATCCGATCCCATGACCTTGTACACAGCAGCGATGAAACCCGCATGCAGGATAATGAACGTATCCGAAAGCGCAGACCTCTCGCAGATGAGCGCAAAAAGTAGATTAAGCAGCGTAGACGTTACATTTTGGCGAGGATATTCACGGTAAAGCTTTTCGAATTCCGCCAGGATGGAGATGAGGTTGGCCTCAGACAGCTTGTTGAGGTGACCCTGCGCCTGTCTTCTTAATCGCGTGAGAGACTCGGACTCAGAATTTGAGGCTGCTCGTAATGAGGGAGGAATATATTTTCCTGGCTTGTCCTCGGTTGCCGCAACAGGCGCAACGTATGGATTCTCTTTTTTCTTCGGCACGGGCTGCTCTTCTTCGCTTTCATCCTCCTCGTCCTCGTCCTCGTCGAACCCATCCATATCCTCGTCATCGTCAAAGTCTTCTAGATCTTCGTCACTCATTCCATCGCTGTCAGACTCTTCAGGTTCATCAACAGGCAAGCCCTGCGCCTTCCTTCTCTTCTTCTGCAGCCAGTCATCCGCCTCCCGCTTGCGCTTCTTGTTTTCATCCGCAGACCCTTCGTCCAAGTCTCCCAGCAACTCGTCCAATCCATCCCCCGCGAACGATTTAGGAACCTTCCCCTTCTTCAGACCAAGCTTTTTCTCCAGCGCAGCAATCTCCGCATCATCTTGTTCCAGCTTGTCCTGCACTGCTTTTGATACCTTCTTCCGCGGGACTTCCAAAACTTTCTCGTCTTGCGCATCACCGCCCTTGGACTTCTTCGAGCTGACGTTAGGCTTTTCCTTCTTCTGCTTTGCAGCCTTCAACTTTGCCATGACATTTCCTTCATCTTCGTCAGATTCGCCCAAGTCCCCATCAAAGTCGTCCTCATCATCGTCGTCATAGTCGCGACTGCGGACACCAGCGCTTCTCTTCGATCCCGGTCCACCGCGCTTGTTCCCCGCGCGCTCCTCCCGCCGAAGGTCTTTGCGGGCTTTCTCGTTCCGCTTGTTCTTCTGCTCGCCGAATCGGTCACGGATGCCGAGCTCTTGTCGCAGATCTCGAGGTAGCGATGTCGTATTATGCCTGGGGCGAGGCATCGTATCTGTAGCTGATTATCGGCCGTGGTCGATCTTCAGAGAAAAAGTTGCGGAGCTATAAAAATGTCAAAAATATATTGACTGAAAAAGACGGCGGAGCGGAAGGCGGTGAGGCCAACATCGGAGATAATCTCCCCACAATCGAGCGCATCTGGACAAGTCCCAAGTACATCAGCTACTTTACAGAGTACAAGGCAATTGCTTTTTGATAAGCAAAAATATCGCGAAATGCCGGCGCCTCTTGGTCATGAGGAGGTAACTACTTCTTATACCCATCCTGTCAATTAGGACGTCGGATTACTGACAGCCACAATCTTCAGTTCTTCACCTCCCTCACAACCCTCCTAACAAACACCTCCCAAAAGACCCGCGGCTCCGTCTACCTCACACAAACACCGCTCCTGAACTCCCAATCACCAGATACCGCCGATAAACAAACACTGCCCTCAATCCTCATCCGCGCCTCAGACGGCAACACAAACGCACCCAACCCAAAGACACACCCTGAGATCAAGGACAAGAAGACGAAGAAGGAAACAAAAGCCAAGGTCTCAACTGTTGTGCAGCCGGGTGAGCTCGAAGCGTTCTATGCGAGGTATGCGGAGGTCTGTAAGGCTGGGATGACGGGGCTGAAGAAGCGGGATCGCAAGTTGAAGAAGGCGAAGGCGAAGGGTGGTGCGGGGAAGGTTGTTAAAGCTTAGGAAGGTATGGTTAGGACCTGGCCTTTGGAGATTAAAGATTCGGTTCTTTGGTGATGGCTATAAGAAGGAGGGATTGCATTTACGGCGTTCGGGATATTTGTGCTTTTGATTCTGTCTATATCTGACACGCCGAACTGTTCATATGGTCTTGCGGCTGGATTAAGCATAGCCGCATCGTGAGTTTGTTTCTCATACCTTGTAAATCTATCACGGTCAAACTGTGGAAGACTGCATGCACTACGTGATCATGTGGTCATTACTAGAAACTATTATGAAGATGGTAAAATACATACAAGATAGATATACAAGCAAAGAAGAGAAGCGCAGTATGCAGGGTATACAAAGCAAGGATCCAAAGAATGATCATGTCGAGGCGTTATCATGGAAAATTGCAAAAAATAAATGGCGGAAGATGTAAGTCAAGAAAGGCAATCGAATGTTAGTGGTGATCTCGAATAGAAAGTCCTAGAATCCTCGTTTAGTCCGAAACGGACGACTTGCTGGAGCAGTGCGGTGCAAGTGGAAGATCAAAATCATCCACAGCCTCGTGAGGACGAGAAGCTTGACGTTCGAGTTTTCGATAGAACTCTCCGGCTGGTGAGTCGAGTGCTGGGCCTATAACGATCCGTGCGGCGATATGGACGAGGACTAAGAGTAGGGAGATTGGAGGAACTAGGACTAATGTGCAGGTCTTCTGGATCAACGAGGCCGCATCGTGCTTTTCTGGGTTGGAGAGTACTAGGGTAGATGGTGGAGGCACGGGTCCGGTTTCTCGCTCGCAGGATGCCTTTGACCGGCGGCGGAATTCGAGACTCATGCTAGAAAGGTCTGAATTAGATGCGGTAGACGTGGCACTGTGAATGCTGGAAAATGAGCCCGGTGTTCGACGCAACCTGAAGCTTTGGTCGTCAGGGAACAAGTCTTGTGCAGGTGCGTACAGCCGGTCCGTGGATTGCAGAGTATCTTGACAGACCAGTTCCTCTGAAGGCTCCTGTATATCACAAGGTTCATACCGCGTTCTGTGTGTCACATCCGGTGATGTGGGCGACGGGGGTGTCAGAGATGGCTCTGGTGTGATGTCGATCGAGTGGGAAGACTCGACACTCGAGGAAAGCGCGTGTTCCTGGTCTCGAGTCTCGGAGGTGTCTTCAAACCTCGCCAGCAAGGTATGGAAGCTCTGCTGTGTCTCGGCCACTGCTCGTCTCGACCAGTTGTTAGGTTCTGGGATATTGATAGGCTCTGGCAACCTATCGTGATCATCCGGGATTGTATCCAGTCCCGTAATGCTTCCCTTGGGAGTGAAGCAAGTACCATCAGTGGCTGTCCCGTCTGTGTCCTCGCCTGCGCTGTGCGTATCAGGAGTGGCGGCTCCTTTTACCTCGAGAGACTCGCGACCGTGAGCCGACTGTGTAGGAGCACTTTCTCTTCGTCCTTTCGGGCGCCATGCTTTCTTCCGTCGGGGGGCCTTCGCCTCTTCTGGAATCTCGACGGTAAATCCGCGCTTGAACGGGCACGGGGTTACTTCATAGCGGAGAATCTGAGGCAGCGCATTCTTCAACCGCGTAACAAGCTCCTTATCCTGCTCGGTTTCGTTCGGCAGCTCAATTCGGTAATATGTGAGGGGACGGATGCGTAAAACAAAAGTCGATTCCCGATCCACGCACCAACACTGCGAGTTCTTCAAGATGGCATGAACGACACTGCCGCATTTCAGGAACACTGTCAATCCGTATACCTTTTCCAGCCTCAGCGGTGCGAACGCGACCGTCCGCTCGGTAGGAGACCGCCACGGCAGTGTCTCGATGGTATCAACGGGGTAGTCGAAGTCGGACGGCGTGGTACTCGATGGAATCGGGGCTACAGCCCGCGGCGCAAAGTGGACGACCTTGGCAGACGGATGATAGAAAAGGTCATTCTCAGATGGTTTGTATGAGTCGGATTTGCGTTGGACGGAACGGTTCAGCTTGGTCGGAAGGGTGAGCGACCGTCGAGGGGGTGGCGCATCGAAGGTGTCAGACATGGTGGTTCATGTGAAAGCAAAAGGAACAGAGGTTACATTGATTGAAGAAAGGATAATGAATGAGAGAAGAAAAGAATGAGAGGCGGGCAGCTGAAACAATAATGACGGGTCTACCAGGAAAGAATGGCCATCCTTGGACGAGTGCACGAGATCATCGACCAAGGATCAATCGAGAGGCGAACGAAGCACTAGCGAAGGACAAGGGTAGGATAATGATAAAGAATGGATAGTGATCTCAGAGGATCTCAAATCTTGTACTAGAGGAACCCCTTAGTGCTGCATTGACTCCAATAGAATGCAGTTATCTGCAAGCTGCAGTTGTTTGCAGATGCTGGGGATTCGGTGGGGCCGCGATGGCCTTGGAGTCAAGGCAGAAACTGTTTAAAACTATGACAAGTAGGAACTTGGATGCCCTAATTTCTCCTGATTGCACCGGAAACACACGATCTGGTCATACTGTTGCACAGACAACTACCTCCAAGAGTCATATTACCCTGATATGTCGAACGACGAAAGCCATGGTGCTCTGTGCTCGGTGACGTAGTGGTGATTAGTAAGCCTAGGCAGTCGTGATTCTTTCAGCAACAAGCTCCTGGATGATTTTTCAGCTATTCTTTCTATTGCTGAAGTTGAATTGCTGGACGCCAATCAGTAACTCGGCTTCAGTTTTTGAAATGTCGAATTTTGAACCAAATGCCGTGATCCGCGGCGCCCAGCTGACAGTGGTCGGCAGTAAGTCAACCGGCCTTGATGCTACAAGCTATGCTGACTTCTGAAGCTGTGCGAGCTCTGATTAATCCAAGACTGTTCAAATATGATCACTTCCGACAGGCAGCTCTTGCTATTGCTATTGGAATCATCATCCAAGTCGTCATCCAGATTCCGGTATGTCTGTTTTATGAGTCGGCGACTCGGCATGCGTGAGACTAATATTCGTAGATCATTTCCGTCAGGCTGCTCATTTGGATCACTTCATGGATTGTTGATCTGGAAGATACTACCTGGGATAATAATCTCCTCAACGGCCTTGACTTCTTGAACAAATCCGTTCTGCAGGTTCCATTCCTTCTCATGACTCTGCTGAGATACGTCGTGCCGACGCTTGACGAGATGTAAGTGCTCCAGGGATATGTGGGTGGTATGATACTAATTGGACTAGCTTTATGGACTCTTTGAATTGGGTTGACACCACATATGTCCACAAACACAAGACTGAGGACCCGAAGACTTTGCGCGCGATGTACTATCCAAACCTTGTCCAATATCCGACAAACGACAAGGGCGAATCCAAACCAATTGTCGAGAAATTACTGGCGTTTCTGAAGAGGTATGGGCGCAAGGTCGGCATGCTTCTAGGGATCTACCTCGTTTCTCTTGTGCCCATCGTGGGCCGTTTCGTGATGCCCGCGGCCTCGTTCTATACCTTCCACAATGCCGTCGGGACCACACCAGCTGCTGTCATTTTCGGAACCGGTATCCTTCTTCCAAAGCGATATCTTGTCACCTTCCTGCACAGCTACTTTGCTTCTCGCAGTTTGATGCGAGAACTGGTATGTTCGCCCTCTTGTTGTGGCAGCGAAACCCACTAACGTCGCAATAGCTCGAGCCATACTTCTCCCGTATTCATTTTACTTCCGAGCAGAGACGTCACTGGTTCAAGGATCGCGAAGGAGTTCTCTTCGGCTTTGCGTTCGCTTTCACGTTTGTCCTGAAGATCCCGATCATCGGAGTTCTGATGTATGGCGTGGCCGAGGCCTCCACCGCGTATCTCGTCACCAAGATCACCGACCCCCCACCTAGCCCCGCTGAGAGTGAAGGCTTTGCGGAAACCCAGGTTACGTGGAAGAACAAGCACGACTTCTTGGGACTGTCTCTGGATAACATTGATAAGCTCAATGTGGCAGCGCACGATCAGCAGCCCGCACCAAAGCCCACAACTCCAGGGCGAAGATTCGCCTAGACTGATACTACCCCATATAATAACTGTTATTACTAGCCATTCCTTATCTATCTCAATTCAGCTGCCTTTCTGGGAATCCGGGGTTTAACCAAATGCCGCTGATAAGCTCTGATAGCAGACGATAAGCGTAATGGTCTTGGACAATGATTGGCACAATGGAGGGGAAGTCGCATTGGGGTCGTACTCATGAGGGGTCGATCCGCCTACTTATACCACCATGCCATGCCATCTTCTTTGGTCTACGCTATCCTCTAACACAATCATCATGGGCACCGGACCTATCCGCACCGCCATCAAGGTAGACTTGAACAAACCAGCCCGCGAACAAAAGGGCCTCCATGTATGATCGTCCCACAACATTCTTCTCCACACTGGGCTAACCACTGCTCTGCAGAACAGATGGCATCCCGATGGTATGCTACTTTCTTACACTATATTCCATCGAGCAATCACTCTTACACACTAAAGTCCCTAGCTACGGAACCATCGCCAACAATGAAGTCGTCAAGATCGAATGTCTAGACTGGACCGGCGGCCAGATCAAGAACAACGACTCGGCTGACGACATTAAGAACGTCGACCTGACACAAATCCACTACCTCTCGGGCCCATTCGACATTGAAACGGCTGAGCCAGGCGACGTCCTCCTCGTCGAGATTCAAGACGTCCAGCCATTCGAGGATCATCCATGGGGCTTTACAGGTGTCTTTGCGAAGGAGAACGGCGGAGGGTTCCTTGACGAGATCTATCCCGAGGCGTAAGTCGTGCTCTCGTATCATCGAAGTCATATCTAACCTTCGCAGCGCCAAAGCCATTTGGGACTTCGAGGGCATCTTCTGCTCCTCCAGGCACATTCCGCATGTGCGGTTCGCCGGCCTCATCCACCCCGGTATCCTCGGTTGCGCTCCATCCGCAGAGGTGCTTGCTGAGTGGAACCGGCGTGAGGGCGAGCTGATCGCGGCCAACACTTCCACGCGCGATGTCGCAAAGCCTCCGGAGCCGAGCAACGCCCACGCCGGCAGTGCAGGCGAGGAACTCGCAGCGAAGATCGGACGCGAGGGAGCGCGAACCATTCCGGTATGTCTCCCCCATGCACCCCTTATTCCTATTCCATTCTCACAAAGTATAGGGCCGCCCAGAACACGGCGGTAACTGCGACATCAAGAACCTCTCTCGTGGCTCCAAAGTATACCTCCCCGTACATGTCCCAGGCGCCAAATTCTCCGTTGGAGACCTGCACTTCTCCCAAGGCGACGGCGAGATCTCGTTCTGCGGTGCCATCGAAATGGCAGGCGTGATCACGCTCAAGTTCACCGTTATCAAGGACGGCATGGCCAAGCTAGCTATGAAGTCGCCCATCTTCCACCCGGGCCCTGTGGAACCGCAGTTCGGGCCTGGCCGGTACTTGACGTTCGAGGGCTTCTCCGTTGACGAGAATGGCAAACAGCATTATCTCGATGCAACGGTTGCGTACCGTCAGACTTGCTTGAGGGTTATTGAGTACCTGAGGCGGTATGGGTACAGCGACTACCAGATTTACCTCCTGCTGAGTTGTGCGCCCGTGCAGGGGCATATTGCGGGCTTGGTGGATATCCCGAATGCGTGTACGACGCTAGGCGTGCCGATGGATATATTTGATTTCGATATCAGGCCCGAGGCGGAGGTTGCAAAGCTTGATATGGGGACCTGTGCGTTTACTTCGAAGTAATCTGGTCCTCGTCGAATCATGTCCATTCTATCATGTTACGTTATGTTCTATATACAATCTTACCCATATCGCATCAATCAATCATGCCAACTTACTCACGCGGGCAGCCCTAACTCAATCAGCCCATCATCCCATCCACACGTCACGTCATGTCCTGAGAGATAGGAGACCTACGCATCCGCAGCAACAAGCCCAAAATACTCCTCAAACCTCTCCTCCGCCTCTTTCACACAATCAAACCCATAGATCTCCCGCTGCACATCCGCATCCGCCCACTTATCCGGCACAGGCCCCTTGCCCGCCTTCAGCGCAGCAAACTGCTTGTCGCGCTCCTCCTTCGCCGCACCCTCACCCAGATGCAGCGCCCGCCCACTCGCAGCCGCCAGCTCAACAAGCGCATACGCACGCTCCTTGCGCACCATCTCATACACCTTCAGCGCCTTGTTGATGCTCTCCGCGTCGGTGGCGGGCAGTCTCGAAAGAACAACCGCCAGCACGGCCCCATCCTCAATCGCCTGCGCCGCCCCCTGCGCCAGATGCGGGAGCGTAGGGTGGCACGCGTCGCCAACGAGCGCCGCACACCCGTCCACCCACGTTGGAAGCGGCTCGTGCGTGCGCAGCTTCCACTCGCAGACTTCGCCCTCGGGCACATAATTCAGCATGCGCTGGACGAGCGGGCAGAAGTCGCCGAAGACGCCGAGCATGGCGGTCTTCGAGCCCTTGGTCGTGTACGTTGCGTTTGTGGCGGCGGCGAAATTGCTGTCCGGCTGCGTGGTGCTCAGGTTGTAGATTGTGTTGTTGGAGACCGGGTACGCGATGATGTGGCGCTTCTCGCCGATCCAGCGGACGACCTTGTTGCTTGCGAGGAGGGCCTTGAGGTCGGCGTCTGCGTTGGGGTCGGCCTCGATCTGGGCCTTGTGGATCATGATGCGGTACGCGGCTTGGTTTGTGTCTTTTACGTCGGGGACGGGGATGATGGATAGGTCGTTTAGCATTGCGACGCGGGCGATGGATTTGATCCCGTCCGCTGCGAGGAGGATGTCGGCTGTTTCCTGGTAGGGCTGCTTGGATGTGTCGCGGGGGGTGACGGTGAAGGAGGGCTTGGATTGGGTGCCGCGTCCGAAGGAGTGGACTTCTGTGACGGGGTGCGCGAAGTGGAAGGTGATCTTGTCGCTGTGCTTGAGGCAGCCCTGGTAGAGGCCGTTGGCTAGCGAGTACCGGTGGCCGACCATGTGTTTGTAGCCGTAGGTTGACTCGATGTAGTGCAGGTCGACGTGGGCGAGTTCGGTGTTGGATGCGCCGACTGCGTATCGTTAGCCCTGATTCCTGAGCCAAGCACTCTATCCACCCGTTCTCTATATAAAGAGTTGGGTAGATGACGAGTACACACCTCGAACACTCGTCTCCTCAATATTCACAGCCTCGGCCTCGATCCCCTTCCAGACACCAAGGTGGTCAAGCACCCGAGCCATATTCGGCGCGAGCTGGATGCCAGCACCCACGAAGCCGAGGTCCGACGCCGTTTCATAGACGTCGATGTGCTTGAAGCCCTTTTCAGCGAGGGCCAGGGCGGACGTGAGGCCGCCCATTCCTGTTCGCCATTAGCGTTGCTTTGAATCAACGAACGAGGGGGTGATATACCGGCGCCCAAAATAGCGACATTGAGATCTTGCGGTGCCATTGTATTCTATTCTATTTTTCTGGCTTGTAATACTCGATGAGGTTCTCAACTTGTCAAGTCTGGTACGCAGGCGATGTAGTATATAACGGCTGGGCGGAACAGACCTTAGCCGGGGTCTCCTCTTCCCCACGCGTCCCACAATCGAAATTATGGGGGATTGGAGCCGGTGTCGTTTTGGGGTTCGAGATTGAGGAGACATGGGGAAGAAAGCTTGGTAATGGGATTTGATTTGGAGATCTGGGGTTGGGATGTGGGTTAGCGAAAAAATCATTCAAAGGTTGCGCTGCTGTGGTTCGCCACGTCGGTAGTTGTACTTACTTTCTAGACTGTGAGGTAGAGGCTCCATTCTAACTGGACTACTGATGATGTCGGAGAACTAGAGAAGATGGAAACAAGTGCAGAAGTATGTGATGTATTACATTAAAGATGATAGGCAACTATAATACATGAATTATGTATTTATGTCCAAACCTCGTGCGCAAAGTTTTCAACTCCTCACACCAAGAAAATCAAAGCATTAGCCGTAAGCGTAAGCTATTTAAAGGCTGTCACCAACGATGTAGACAATCCTGCCAACAGGGGTGGCAAGTTCAGGAAGGAGGCCATGGAGCAGCTGAGCAACACCAGGAGCAAGCTTGATCAGCAGTGCGCCGGTGTCACGACCAATAATAATGATGAGGTCCTCAGAGTCCTGCGCCAGAGGGTGCTGCAGGAGCTCGGTCACAGAAATGGCAATGTCGATAACGGAGCCAATGAGACCAGAGTAGTGGTTCTCACGGAGAACTTGGTCAGGACGGCCGTCGAGCGCAACGGGGAGAGGCCCGCTCTGGCCCTGCACAGTGTAGCGCTGGACGTCACGGGTGAGCAGGCCGCCGGTCAAGCCACCGAGGAGGCCACCGATTGGGTTGTTGATGGCGTCGAGGCCGAGGGTGATGCCGGCGCCGCGGAGGAGGTCGGCGATCTCGGGGGCGAGGCGGACAAGGAGGATGTGGGCGTCTTCGCCGACGATGGTCAGGATGCAGTCGATGATGGGGCCGAGGTCGGCAATGAGGTCACCAAGGGTAGCAGCGTCACCGACGATTTCGCCAATGGAGTCGCTGAGGGAGACCCTGCCGGAGAGCAGGTTGTAGACGTCCTCATTGACCTGGACGAGGAACTTCTCGCCGTCGGCACCGGTGACATACAGAGCACGACCGACCTGAGGGCCGAGGTCCTGGATGAGGTGACCGGTACCGTGGCACTTGTCATCTTCGCAATCGCCGGTGGGCTCAACGCCGGAAGGGCCAGTGGCGGTAGGAGGCTCGGTCTCAGCGGGCTCGGTTTCAGCGGGACCAGTGGGAGCAGGCTCAGTTTCAGCGGGCCCAGTGGGAGCAGGGCCAGTCTCACCAGGGCCAGTGGGAGCAGGGCCAGTCGCACCGGGGCCAGTGGGAGCAGGGCCAGTCGCACCAGGGCCAGTGGGAGCAGGGCCAGTCGCACCAGGGCCAGTGGGAGCAGGGCCAGTCGCACCAGGGCCAGTGGGAGCAGGGCCAGTCGCACCAGGGCC